TGCCATACAGTTTTCTTCTTTTTTCGCCCAATATTTGATCACATTTAAGCTTGAGTTATCTACTTGTCCGTTCCATTTATTGTATTTGAAATGTTCATAATTTAAAAATGTAAAAAAATGAAAGCGAGCAAGATCGTATTTGAAAGCAATCTTCTTGGATTCAACCCAAGTAACTCATGGTAATATTAAAATGTCATTGTCGTTTACGGATATTCCTTGTTTATCGTGCAAGCTGCAATACGAACTCGTTAGGTTTTCACCAAATTTTCGCTGTTTTCGTTGATTTGGTGCAGTATTGCGCGTAAGAGGCATAATTTTTGCATCGCTCTCTAGAGCAAAGAGGCAAGCATGCACAGGAGGCCAGGAGACGAGAAGAGAAGTCCAAGTCCACGAGCTCTGGTCTGTCTTGTGAAGAATTCATGGCGAGGCCGCGATATTGCTATCCTCACGGGCGATATCTAATGCGGGCATAGCTTGGCAATGGTAAACTCGAGAGCGCGCGCAAGGATATGAAAAATTAAGGAGAAAGCAGGCGGCGGGAAAAGGGCGTTAACTGACAACTGCACACGCAGCCGACGCTGCTGCGTAAATTATTCAAAGCGCCGCTATGATCTATGGCAGTCGGCCTTATATATACCATATAGCCAGCTGCAAGGGCAATCCATCCCTCGGAGCTAACATTCAGTCCCTCGGGAAGCGTCTTTTTTCTCGATCTGAATGCTCGAGGCTTCTTTCTCCTTTCTTTTAGAAAAAGGGAGCTGTGTCGCGCGCTCCTCAGTTTGCTAATGGCCCGCAATAAAATATCCTTAAAACGAGCCCTTTTTTATGGGCCAGTCGTTTTGCCATGATCCGCGCGTGCCACAGTGCTTACTTTTCTCGCCGACGCGCCGGCTTTTCTCGGGGCTTTTATTTTTGAATAAAGCGGCGAAATATCGCACGCATCATTTCCCAATGCAATGATACTTTCGGTCAACCCGCGTTGTTGCCAATCTCGCGGTTCCGGCTCTTTAAAATCGTCTCATTGTTAACGGCAACAGTTTTTGTTTCCCATACTTGGATGTCAATATCTATGGATGCACAGGAATTTCTTAGTCAGTTATTTGCAATTCCAGCCGAGTTTGGCATTGACTTCTTTTTGGAATTCCGCACGAGTACTAACAGGGAGTTGAATATTTGACAACGTGCATGTAACGTCGTCACCAGAGGGCGTCTCATCTCGGGTGAATTTAGCCCCCCACCGTTTTTAAGGTATCAAGTGAGTGTGAGCGCTCTCATCGTCTAAAACGATTAGATAATTGTGTCATTCGCCTGTCATCGTCAAGAAAATAAAATAAACTCGACACTGTAATAGTGTTGTGCATCACTTTAACCTAACACCAGTTTACTCCACCAGATCGCCGATTAAATTTTCACTGCGGAAAACATCCGAGATAGCTACTTTGTGAATACTCGCCAAATTGTCATTATGCAGCTGGCGAGCGCCGGATTATTTGTCGAGAACGAGCTTTGCGTGTCTTACATAGCAATTTGCTGGCTCGAACACTCATACTTGTCCTAGCTCTTACTGAACCGAAGAGCAATCAAAATAACAAATGGCAAACGGATTCGTTACTTGATAAACCTGAGAAAGCCCCTCTTCGAATTTCTTAAAGAAAAAATGAGCAGCCACAAGAATCGTCAAATTAGCAGTAACAGGAGTCCAGATTGGTAACAGCAACGAGGCCGGGCGCACTACCGCAGGCTAAAGTATCCGATGGGTGATAAAGTGCAAGCTCCCTCTCGCTAGACTCGGAACTAATGAACAAAAACAGGCATTAGCCGAAACTAGTTAGGTGCAACAATGCTGCCTGTACAGAGTCGAGCAACAATGACATTCCACTTTGGCTTTTGAGTCGCTTCGATATATCGCCTATCCACGCCAATTACAGATTACTCTGTGCTTTTTATCTCTCACGCGTGTTCACCTTCATCCACTTCGATTGTAAGTATATAGATTCCTTCGTGCGCAGACTAACTTATGAGATACATGCTTCCATGCTGACGTGCGCGAGCGATAGTCGCGTTATATACGTGCATTCAACTTCTTCCGTGTGGAGTTATTTCTTCTGATAAATAATAGCTGTCGGAGTACTTCGTATCATTATCTACAGTTTCCTTCTTAGATTTATCCGCAAGCGTTATTTTTTTCTTTTCGGTGAGCGAACGCGCCGATTATTTTCAATTCATCATCCCATCTTCAATATGCGGATGTGTTCATCTACCTAATCAAGACCTATTTGAATTACTCTCCAAAAGTGTAAAAGGCATTCTTAAACTAGTGCGCTTCGACGTAGCTCTACCAACCCTATCATATCGTGTTGTTGTAAAAAGGAAAAAATCTGAGTTATAACAAGTTCTCGCAAATTGTTCAATGAGACCGCAGTTCAAACTTTTCCATCCTCTCGCAGTCGTATCGCGAAGAAAGCCCACGCGCAATGAAACTTGAAAAAAGAGAATCACCAACCCTCGAGACTCGTAAAAAAAGCAGTGGCGTTAGGTTGGGTTGGGCTGCTCTTATCTAAATGCGGAAACTTGGTGGTGAGCGCTGTTGAACACCTGTAAATTAACATTTTCCGAAAAGAAAAAGAGGCACCAGCTTTTCGTTCGAAATTTCGCATTTTCATTTGCATTTTATACGGCTTCATTAAACTTTTCGAATGCGCGCGTTCCAATTTCTGCGGGGTATAAATTCTTTATCGCGTGCTTTACGGTTGCACTCCAATTTTACGATAGATCTACCCCCGAAACTTTTTCATAATTGTATCGGCCAAGTTTCTGAACAACCCATTACAGGGAATTAGCTTTTATGCTAAACACAAGAGCCTCGCGATCAAAATTCGTCGTATTATCAAAGTTTTTCCGGGTAAAGCGAACCTTTCAAATAATCTTCTACTTTTATGGCTACAGAGGTACATTTGTCCATGTGCTCACTAATAACGCTACCTAAACATTTCTTTCGTTAAAAGAAATTTTTTAATGATACATTACAAAAATATAGTATACAACAAGGAATCGAAGTTCATAAAAGAATATTCGTTAAAAAAAAAGTGAAAAATAGCTTATAAAATAGATACCAGAAGAGAGGAGTATATATTTTCATATGAAAAATATATTTGGACGAGGATAACAATTTATGAATTGGGAGATCAATTTTTAAAGGAAATAGATTCTCCGCAATAAAAAATCACATCTCAAAAGGCAGAAATAAACACTTTGGACAAAATGTAAGACGAATTACTTGAAAATAATCTAACCAATGCCCAACGGGGCTTCAAACAATTAACAGAGAAAATTGCGATTGAAAAATGTTCTAATTCAAGGATAGCAATGTTTTAAAAAATTCACATACTTTGAAATAATAGATGAAAAAAAATGGAAGTACTTAGATTATTTATGGATAAGGTGTGTGCAGAGCGGCACCGTACAATCTTATAAAATAGTGATATAGATATCACGTTGAAGTATTTTATTCGTGATCTGATTGATTGAGATTGAATTGAGATTTTAATAATCAAAATTCAATTTATCATAATTGATACAAGTCATTTTAAAAACAATGAAAGTAAATAAATAAGACTCATTTTATGAAATTAGCTACAAATTAAAGTAAATCGTTTCATAAAAACAATATTTCGTAAAAACGATTGTTCTAATTATTTTTTATTACTAATACTCTGATTTGATAAGCTGATTGTTACATTAATGTATAAGATTGAAGTACATTTTGTAATATTGCCATTTTCATTCGAATATATAAGCGTGTAATAATAATGATTTGACTCGCATAGTTAAAAAGAATTAAATGATTTTTTATTGCAGTTTTCGATGTGATAAATTAGAAATTAGAAAACGTGAAACTGTTTTTACTAATACGCATTTTTTCAGTATTATTGTATTTTATAAGATAAATATATATTTTATAAAATAAAGTGAAAAATTCATCTTTGAAAATAATAATTTAACAATTATATGCGTAATAATGGCATTAAACGTATCCACTTTAGAATTTTCTAACTTTGTTGCTTGCTTTGATGACAATTTTATTCATAATCAGTGCAGATCTTAACCAATGTAAATTTAGTCCTTAGAAGCTTTCATAAGTATTTTACTGGTTTTTACATTTTCTTTTGAATAAATATCATTTAGTTGTATTAGAAATAAATGTATCTAGACTAGTACATGAGAGTTGACAATAACTTTAGAATTTCACAGCTTTGTTGCTCATTCCCTTGACAGCTTTTTTTCATAATGCTGCAAGTCAACACTGTCTTCGAAGCTAATTCCTTAATTGTCTAATTATTGTCTAAAAATTGATAATTCTTAGACAATAAGTAAAAATAAAATGTTAACCGCGTGATAGTAGTTACGTCAGCTAGCATGTACGCTATTATGAGTCGTTCTTTAGGGTTGCTGGGTCTTGAGTGAAGCTTGTTTTGCATTTAATCGCCAACTGTAGACTTTATAAAACTACCCGATTGATTTGTTAGCTATGGGTAGGAAAATGATACAACAAGAAAATACCAATCCTAACGATATTGGCTGGTTAAAATTATGTTAGGGGTGGTTTTCAGGATTCCAATATGTATATTTCCTTTATTTCATCATATATTGTAACAAATGGCTGCTCAGATAGAAAAAATTCAGTTATTTTGATGAAATAAAAATGTCAATGTAATCGTTCATTTTAAACGATTCGAATTTGTACGTCATAAGAACTGGCAGTAACTATAATTGTCGTAATTAAAATATTCGTCTGCATATCCGAATGAATAACATTCGGAAAGAGCGTGCAATCTCTACTGATGCGCGTACCTCGTAGAACGTGAAAATGGATATGTAATTCGTAAAGAAAGATGCATGAAAGCGCCTGCACGAATGGCAAGCGTGACTGCGCTCTCACCACATAAGAGAGCCTCCTCGGTCAGGTGGGAGAGTCGGTCTGCCGAGCAACCAGCGGAACAACGCCCGAGAGTGACGTTGATGTAGTTGCGACTATAGCATATACGCGCGATCAGTCGTTGTTCGCCAGCAACGAAGATGCCGGACTCGCGACGTGCTTCCATTCTAATCCTCGCGGTACTTACCGCCCTCGTCACAGGTCTGATCCATTCAAATAATCTTGTTTATCGCTTCTTTGTCGACCGACTGTGTTTGCTTTTGTCATGATTACCTGTGCGCATCAAGTCGCGTGTGGTGTAGGTGTACCGCCATGTTGGATACGCGCGCGGAAGAACGAGAATACTAAGTGTTTTCAGTTGGAAAACATTGTTTAATTTGGTGAAACCGTGCGAGCGTCCTCGTTCGGCTGATTGCCGATGAGCGCTCGATTACGATATCGATGCAAATTAAACATGCGAGTGAAAGCTAATATGCAGATGAAAGACGATAATAGAAAGTTGTTGTTGTTGCTTTTCAGGCGGTTCCGCGATAAAATGCTACCAGTGCAGCAGTGATACTGATCCTGAGGGTCAAGATGTTTGCGGTGCTTACACGTCGTTCGATAAGGAGAGAAACATTCCTGTCGAGTGCAACAGCGATGAGTCAAAAATGCCTGGCACCTTCTGCGTCAAGCTTACTCAGCAGAGCCCACGCGGATTTATTTGTGAGTGCGCTTTGACTTTTCGTTTGGTTACTTGTTATAAGTACCATACCCGTCTGTCTTGTAACGAGCATGAGAACTTATGTTTATTTTTAAAAAATCGCTTTCGGACTTCTCAATATAACCTTACTGTCGAGCATAGCATCAACCCCCGTTAACTCGTTTGTCCAAAATGATCGACAGTAAGACACTTTCGTTCGAATTGAAGCGATAATTTTCCTCTGAACAATGACAATCGTATTAACTGCGAGCGAAATTGTCGTCACTTCACTGAGACCACTAACCACGCTGGCCACGCCTAATTCTTCAATGGAAGCGTATACGAGTTCACTTTTGTTGAATCGCTACTAAACCTAACCAATAAAAATAAACAAACCAACAAATACAAAGTGTTATTAAACAAATGTGAAATCTGTTTAGGGGACGGCAGGTGGAGGCAGGTGATACGAAGGTGCGCCTCAGTGGCGAGCACAGGTGTGACAGGCGTCTGCAATTGGGGCGTCTACGAAAATGGTGTGTACTGGCAGGAATGCTCGTGTTCCGAGGATGCCTGCAATTCGTCAAACAACGTTCACGTCAACATTGTCGCAATGCTTACCAGCTTGACTGCCATCCTATTGCCTTTCTGCACTAGTATTTTACATTAAGCTTCGTAGATTTTTTTGAGTGTCTTTCCAAAGAGGATGACGTACACTACTTTGGGAGGTGCTTAAAAACAGAGATTACCACTCATCGTTCACAGGTATCGTCGGCAGGGCGTTATCTCAACGTAGATGTACGCACCACGTTTACGGACTTACAAGGAAGCCACAGATCTGTAAATAATTCTCTAATTTATACATATATACACTATGTTGATCTCGAGTATATCGTTTAGTGTTTACGAGCGACGAAGTATGTTTGTTTTTATACTTATATTACAAATAAAAAAAAAGAGGAAAATAACGACAAAAAAGAATAGCAAGAAATTTCACCCTCTATCTCTCACCCTCTTTCTCTTTCTTCAATTTCTAGTCAAAGAAGAGAATCCATTAGACACGTTATTCCGCATTTTCACGATCAACGACAATCGTGAGACAACGACAACAGTGCTTAAAAAAGCTTCTGCTGCTGCCACGCCGTCTTTATCTTCGGTCTTCGGAAGTAAAGGGCTACGAGCGTCCTCTTCTCTCTCTCTCTCTCTCTCTCTCTCTCTTTCTCTCTCGACTTTTCCGCTATTTTACCAAGAGGACTATTTCTGATTACAAATTAGGATAAAAACTATATTTTTCTCTTCGTTTGAAGGCTGTGCAGTGAAGAAAGTCTAGAACATTTTGACCTACTTTCGCTGAACAACGCATTTAACAGAGAGTATTTTCAAGTGAACGAATATAAAGATAATCTGGAGCTAGCGTTAATCGTTTGATTGTCAGAGTAAGCGTAAAGCACTGGGAATTCCATGAAAGCGTTCCAACACTTGATCGCATACTGCATCAAATCGCTAAAGTGTGTTTTGACAATTTTTTAAACTAGCCAATGCATTTGCTTCCGCACGCAATGCAGTTGTCATGTGCGTGCAGTAGATTGCTGAAAAATATTTCTACAAAATCGTACGATGCAGTGTTGGTGTGATCGAATATTCAGAACCAAACGATACATTGTCCAACACCTACAATTGCAAATCAGCTATTTGAAGGTTGTAAGTAGTGTGGCGTTGGGGGCGGGGGGGGGGGGGGGGGGGGGGTCACACGCTCTCGACGCTTCCAGCGCAAAGCACGTTGAAGCGTTGAAGCATGCAAGGCGTAAGTTTTTATTGCGCTCTCACTTTGCGGAGCGTCATGTTAATTCAACAGCCACAGGTTAATTACGTCAAGCGAGAGCTGGTGCTGCTGCGGCTCTACGACGACTAATGCTTTACTCTAAAAGCGCCAGACTAAAGAGACAATGCAGCGCCAAGAGTGCAAGATTATTCGGTGTCGTAGCCTGGTGAGCCTTGCTACAGCAGCCAAAGCCCTCCGAGTATAATTAAGACAAGAAACGCCACATGCCACGCGCCATTTGCACCGAGCAGAGGCTCGGACAGCTTCTTGCATAGACCTTGCGGCTCTGCTTCGCTTGCACACTCTCTTTCGCACGTCGAGCAACTTTGTTCGGCGGAACAAGACTTTCAGAGCTAGAGTCGAGGGCTCGCGCGCTTTTGTGTCTCGAATACGAGGGACGATAAGATGCGTTAGCGCCGCCAACGAGAAGCCAATATGCGAGGAGGACAGGAATCGCGAAGCCAGCCATTACTGGCTGGCGCCAAGGACCGTCCCTTTCGGCAAGCTTCATTTCTCTTCTCGGATAAGAGTATTTAGTCGTTGTAAGCTCCCGCGCGTGTTTCGGCTGCTGCTCGTTATTACTTGGCCATCGCGAGCGAGCTTAATTAACCAGCAGCGCGGAAATTTGAAAAAGCCCGCAAGCCCGCAAGCCCGCAAGCCCGGGTCCGACCATTATCGCCAATTACACTCCTTTGCCCACGAGACGCCGTCCTACATTCTCGCTCAACGCGCTAATTCTCCATTTTGTCGTCGTGCATTACCTCCCTCGATCCCCCCGAGCATGTATGACAATACCGCGCGATCTACGCGCCTTATCGCTCCAGTTTTTCTTTATTTCTTGTTTGCGGCTTTTCACATTCACGCGTACAGCTTTCCCATCTTACGTCAGTTAGGTATCGGTCGACTTTACATATTCCTGTGAAAATCAACTTCGAAACGAGCAAACAAACAAACCGATTCTTACGATAAAGGAAAGGCTCATTAGCCGTCTCCAGGAAAGAAAATCCGACGGCGTCCATCGCAACGTAAAAAGAAGGAAAGAGAGCAGAATTTTCACCAGCAGCAATATCCGTGGAAGGCGTCTCCTCTCATAAATATTTAGCGCCTTGCACGGTCGTCCGTCTAGGATTAAATAAAGCAACGCCTTTTCGTGACGCTGAGGCAAGGCTTCCTTAATATGATATTACTCTCCATTATGCGCCATTACTTTTTATGAATACAAAAGCAGAGGGAGTGTGTGTGTGTGTGTTGAAGCGGAGGACGAGACGAAACCTGTAAGCTAAACAAAAGTCAAAAAAGAGAAGCGCAACGATGAAAGGAAAATGACGGGTCAATTAATGCTGCGAAATAAGGAGCTTGCGAGCGCGACCTGATTTCCTCTCTGACTAGATTCAGAGATGTTGTAAAAGCACGCTTGCAAACGAGCAATAGTAATATTACGCTTGAAGCAAGTGCTGGCAGATGTCTCAGATTGCGATGAATAAATAATGGATGGAACGCTGCGAAAGGTTGCCGCGAATTCGTTCGTGCAGTTGACAGTTCTGAACAAAACTCATCGTTCCTAAAGCACTCTGCTTACAACTTGCCAGCCACGCGAACGACAACGGCGTTCGAATCAACGGGACGATCCGTTGATCAAAGCGACGTAATCAAGTTGGCAAATCTCAGCCGAAAACGATGCTTTGCAATAAACGCGCAAAGACAGCTTGATTTCCGCGCTGAAATTCAGATGCCAAAGCCTGCTTACAGACTTCCGTTTTCCATAGCAAGTTTCATTATAGAAACGATTTCCTTGCAGCTCGACTTTCTCTCGTTGCCACTCTCAAATACAAGCGACTCGGCTAAGAACATTCCTCACCGCGCGTTAAAATACTTTAATACCACTTTACCCATCTTTTTAACTTTCGGATAGAGTCTCCACCTCAAAGTAATTCTTTGCTCGCGAAAAGAAGAAAAGAAAGAGAGGAAACTGGCGAACAGAATGAAAAAAGCTCTCAAGCTCCTTATTACTGAAACAACGTGCAAAGAAAAAGCAAAAAGCAATGGCCATTCCATAATAGGATTTTTATGCAGATCATCTTATTAGGTGAGTGCGGGGAGCAGGAGAGTTGCTAGTTTTCGAGCGACTAGAAGCAACGGGAAGACAAGGAAAAGTGCGTGCACCACGGCAAACATTGCTAGCGGTGCTCCGAAGTGAAATTTTTCGAGCACCCAAAAGAGATGCGTTTTTCGCTCTCTTTCAACATAACAGCCACTTTGTTGAGAGAGAGAGAGAGAGAGAGAGAGAGAGAGAGAGAGAGAGAGAGAGAGAGAGAGAGAGAGAGAGAGAGAGAGAGAGAGAGAGAGAGCTTTTTTTCAGAGTTTTTTTCCTTTTTGAATAGAGGATTAAGTACTCTCGCCGTTTTTTCTTAAGGCAATGTATCATGCTTCGCGAGTCGGAGTGCATATCTTGCGGAAAGAAGCTTGTGCGAACGTTCAAGTTTTCATGCTCAAGAGACAACAGAGTTGTTTTTGTGTCTTCTCGACATCTGCTCAGATCACCAATTCTATTACAGGCTTCTTTACACTCATCTTTTTTATCATTTTTGCTTGCGATAGTTTCAACGAATACGCAATCGATATTTGGCGCAAGCTGAACAATATCGAAAAACCGCGATTGGTGCACGTAAATTCACGTTGTAAATCTTGGAGCAGCTGACGGAAATCGAAGCAAAAACTCCGTAAGTCTTTGATTTATTTGCGCTAAGTGTTAAGCGCAGCGCCAAACGACAAGAATTTCGAATTTATTCGAAACTTTATTCGTTATCAAAGTCCGATCTAGCCGTAACAAATAGTTTCAACTTTCCAATAAGCGCGCAAGTCGTGACCTAATTTTTTTCTTGTTGCACGAAATTAGTGGATAAATTACTTTTGCGTCCAACACATGCCAGTATTCTTGTTTCCAGAAGGAAATATATAACTCCTAACTTTACTTTCCGTATTTGCAGGCTTGCTAACAAACAAAAGATTTTCAAAATTGTAGCTAAATTTCGTTTGAATTTTGCTTTTTCTGTAAGCTTTTAACAGCTCCATTCAGTTTGTAACTTTTTATGATGAATATGCTGAAAAATGAGGCATTTTTTGCTATTAAGAGAATAGTTACTTAACGTGTCGCTCTGTATATCTCTACAGATATTATCGCAATGACAGAGGTGAGCGGGAGAGATCGACTTATGTTTATGCTATTGAGCGTGTTCAATAAAGCCTAGTAAATGTAAAGCAAAGTATCAATCGTTAAGTTGGGGATAATCGAAACCATGCCTAATTCATCCCCATTCGGTAAAATGTAAAGATCCCGAACATTTATCCAGCGTTCCTTGAGAAATTCCTCGATTTTTTTGTTGACAGATGCAAATACCTCAATTAAAATTTTTATTAGTTTTTAACGCCAACTCTTATTATCTATATCACTTATTTGTATAAAAGTAATCACAAATATAGACAAATTTTGACAACCTTTCAAACATTAAAAATATTATTTTAGCGAATAAAATTTCCTGTATTGACCTGTTGAAATCTAGCCAACGCGACCGTTAGTTATTTTGCACAATGGCTCACAGTCCATTGGAAACGCGTGTAAATCACGAAAGTCAATTACACTATCGGATTCAAATTAAGTTCCACATAATTAACCACAGACTCTTAACACTCAATTTTATTAACCTTTCAAAATATTCTTTCTACACATAACGACCATCAACACATTTATATAAGTTTGTACTCGTCTATCTCATCTCGCGCTACGATTTGTCAACAGCCGACAATGTGAAACTCGCTACGAATTTTAAAAGATGAAAAAACTATCGATATATCTCGTTTGCGCAGACGCAACTCATTTCATCACATTTGTTTTGTCTTCCTTTCTGGTTTCTACAGTAGCCCCAGAAGACACACTAACACCATCGAACAAAGTGACGCGTCCGAGGCCGAGCCTTAAATATACATATATATCTATCGTGGATTCAAGTGCGTGGTGCTTTCAACGCCGAATGCAGCAGCAGAGAACGAAAAGAAGGAGACGAGGAAGAAGATTGTGTATCAGCAGCATCTCTCGATTCACGATGATGTGCAGTTAATTAGTTGTGGCAAGCACACGTTAGTAAGTGATTGTTAAAGCAACAACCATCAATTGGCGTACTCGTAAAAGAGAAAACAGTCGCCAGGATGAACGTGGCCGATGGGCCGGGGTTTACGCGCTACGAGGTGCTCATGCTTCTCGCAAGATTGTCCTTCGTGACGGCGATCGGATTTTTCAGTATGCGATGGATCATGAATCAACTTGATCCTAATAACAAGCAGAAGAGGAAGGCTAAGAAGAAGGTAAACCTAAATCACGTTTTGTACTATTGCGTCAGTCCCTTCTTCCGGTCGTTCGCGGCTCGCTCTTGTACATAACCTATTTTTTTTTTTTTTTGTTATCGTTCACGCAAACTTCCAACCTGATTTTTCCGATGACTGACTGGTCATTATTCCAGGCAGAAGAACAGTTGCGAAAACTAGCGACTACGGATGTGGTCAGTTTGACGAGATCCATTGACCTCGAGCAACTGACTGATTATGAAATGATGATTGCTAGTCATCTCGTTGACCCCAAGGATATCAAAGTCTCGTGGAATAACATCGCCGGCTTGGAACACGTTATTCAGGAACTCCAGGAGACCGTCATCTTACCTATCCAGAGGAAAGAGTTATTTGAGGACTCGCAGTTAACTCAAGCACCTAAAGTATGTTTGAAAATGACCCTTTCATTCGAGTTCTCAACATTTTGCTAACCTGTGTTATATCAATACATTTTTTAAATACTAGGGTGTCCTTCTACATGGACCACCAGGTTGTGGAAAGACCATGATTGCCAAAGCTACGGCCAAAGAAGCTAAAACTTGTTTTATAAATTTAGATCTCAGTATATTAACTGATAAGTGGTATGGAGAAAGTCAAAAGCTTACTGCTGCAGTATTTTCTTTAGCAGTCAAACTCCAACCATGTATTATATTCATTGATGAAATTGGTAAGCTCACATCAATCATTTTAATCTAATATAATTTGTTGATCAGTCTATAGCACTTGATAAAATTTTTCAAATTATTTGAAAATAGACTCATTTTTGAGAGTGCGTAACTCTCAAGATCACGAAGCTACAGCAATGATGAAAGCGCAATTTATGTCTTTGTGGGATGGTTTGATCACTGATCCATCTTGTACCGTTATTGTTATGGGAGCGACTAATAGGCCTCATGATTTGGACAGAGCGATTCTCAGAAGAATGCCGGCAACTTTCCATGTGGGCCTACCTGTAAGTTTTTCAATTGTTAATGAATATTTTATGGAGGAAAATGATCCAAGTAACATTTTTTTAACTTGAATATTTTAGAATGAAATGCAAAGAACACAAATTCTCAATCTGATATTAGAAAATGAGCCGATTTCAGATGACATCAGTATTTTTCATCTGTCAAGAATGACTGATGGCTTCTCTGGGTCAGACTTGCAAGAACTTTGTAGAAATGCATCTGTGTATCGTGTTCGAGACTATATCAGAAATTCTCAGTAAGTATTATTTTCAAATCATATTAATTTTTATTTAAATGATCAATTATGTAACTTGAAATGGAATTTTTTATTATCATTAGTGCGACGCGTGGAAATGATGATGAAGTGTTTCACGATGCTGTGCGACCCATAACAATGAACGATTTGGTGACTTCTTTAAAGAAAATGAAAACTTCAAAAGTGCAAACAGGTAGCTTAGGTATGGCTAAACTGGATTTGGACTAAAGAAATTACAAATCGGAACTGTAAAAAAAGTGTGATTTTATAGTTTTTCGCCTTACCTATATATGCCGATAGTTAAAGTCGAGGAAACATCCTTTTCTTGACTGATATCTTCTATATGCGTCTCTCGTAAAATCAAATGGGTTTCATTTTTCAATAGAAGGACTTTTATAAGAAATAGATCTTTTTAATTTTATCTATTGCATTATTTTTGATCAATATGTTAATTCACGAGTGCTTAAATTATGTTTATATCGATCGAGAACATAATTTTCTATTTTAGCTATACAATAGGCATTAACTTTTATTATTACCTTTTCAAATATTTTCATAATATTTAATCAGTTGAAACGCAAAGAAAGAAACTTTGCAGTTAAATTTATTTGAATAAATATTTTTTGTTTATAACTCAAAGTACATCATTGACTTGAACGAAAAGTTTGAATATGATGTGCAATATACTTGATAACAGAGTATAATAGTGTACAAATAATTATCTCCGACTTTCATGGAGAAGAAAAATAAATTAGCTATAACATAATCATGTTTTTGTTTAATAAACACTGTACATGAGATACAATTGAAAAATTAATTTTGAACTTGTAAATATCTTTACGATTGCGACATAGTCATAAATGTACTGTCAATTTGGTTTTTCCAATCGTGTATATTTCTAAATGGTTACATCCCTGTGAGATTTCGAACAAAGAAAACTCACTGGCAAATAAAATAGCGACTGAAAATAACAGGCAAGTGTTTATAATTTATAACTTGCATTAGGGAATTATTTTTAAGCAACTTATGCATTTTTTTATTCACGGATAAATATAAAGTTCCCTGCGGTTTAACCGACACAAAAAAGAGCCTCGATCGTCAACAAAGAACGAAAAAGTTGATGTAATTTCGATTGAATGTAGTGGTATGATATAACTTGAGATGCCGCTCTGTTGGTATGAATGCTCTTTTACCAGTACCGTAGCAAGAAAATAAGATATGATATATTATACAGGATGAACAAAAAGTCATGTGAATAAAATACGCTAGACGGAAAATGATTTTGAAAGAAAAAAAACTTTGTGAATCCTTCACAACTCTTGTGAACTAATTGCCGAACAATATGTCAAGTTTACGCTAATATACTTATGTATGATACGTTAAAGATGAAGATTTGAAGCTCAAGATTACGAACAAATTTCGGTGATATTGAGTGATCTAAAAATTATTTTTTCGTTTTACTAATTATGTCTTACGTACTGTATAAATGAAGTAAAGGGTAAAATGCTACAATTTAATGAAATTTCAAAATGTATCTAGCGATGTTTGATGTTTTTTTCCTAGGAAAACAGAAATATAAAATAAAGTGTTGTAACTTACAGATATACAAATATCATATAGTTTGTATGACTACATAACAAATATAGCGTTTCTTTGCATTATACCATCATAATTTTCAATCTTCGTTCGTGCGAAAATTCTCTATACTTTATATACATTTCAAAAGACTTGCTTATTGGGCAGTTATTTCGTACGTTTTCTAAGTATATTGTAATATAAATGGACACAGTTACGTAAAAATTGATTTATTGGTAAAAATATGTTGTAAAAATGTTTTTTCTTGATTGGTGTTACGTTAATTTAATATAGTGATATAAGTAAACTTGAAGTTCTTTTTTTTATAAGTCACCTACTTTAGGTCTAAGTGACCTACTGTAATTTTGACAATGTAGTCTTGTTTTTCTATAATAAACTGTTGTTACTTTAATAATATTGTTATTCGTTTTCAAACTGTGCAGGGTATGAAAATAAAAATTGTATAAATACAGATATAATTTCGAAATAGCCTTAGCGAGTTTTTTAGAAAACAAAAGATGATTTATAGATTACTTAATCGTACTAACGTATAATTTTCTTGACATTTGCGGTTTGTTTGATAAGTAATAATTTTATCTTGAAACGTAATTTAAAATATTACTGCTTGATTAAAGCGTTTAATACCGCGATTCCTAGATCGAAGCTTAAAAAGGAATTGGAAAAACTTCTCATTGTCTCGCGTGACGAGTCGTCAAATATTTGAAAAGCAATTTTTTTAAATAATTGAAGAAGCTTCAGAGGAGCACGTAGTATTACGTTAGAAATTAATCGCAAAAATACCACCAAAAACAGCTGAAAGGGGGTACCAGTGGGCGAATGTCCGTACCTGCGCACTCCATCGCTAAGTGCAACGCGCGGACGCGCGCGCACACACACGCACCTATACAATCGTGCTACCATCGGATGTGTGTAGGTATACAGCGAATTCGCGCATGTAAGCGCGAGTGTGCAGCAAAGAGAGCGGATTGGAGCGGAGCAGCAGTAGCAGGCAGGCAGACAGGCAGGTCGCTCCGAAGCGGTGGCGGCGACGAACAGCAACGCAGCCATAGCCCGAACAGAGCTTCGCTAAACTCGAGTCGAGAAGTGAGTACACGGTCGCAAGAAAGGGAGAAAAGCGTCGACGGCAGTGTATACGTGCTGTAAGTTTGAGAGTGCTGCAATTGTGTGAAATTCGCCGCCTCGGACAGTAGAACTTCGACAGAAGAGCTTCTGCCGCTGGACGGCGGACACAAAGAAGAGAGAAAGACCTAGAGAGCGAACCCGAATCGAAGATAATGCCTCATGGTTAATGCTGAACGGTGGGTATACTGTCAATTGCTGAGTAAAACAAGCAAACGATCAAGAGACTGCGTTGAAATTGGTGCCGGCAACACCTGCAGCCACGGTGCCGCTTACCCCGGTGCATCGCTGCATTCTCTCGTCGAGCGAACGAGCGAGCGGTGAACTCGCCGAACGATCTGCGCGTGCGCCTCTCTCTCTCTCTCTTTCGCTCTCTTCTCTTATCTAGCTATCTCTTTCGCGCCGCCGTCGCCGCCGCCACAGCTTTATCGCGAAAAAAGAGAGCTGCACGCGACCAGTCCGCGAGAAAGAGGTTGACCCTTTTACGCTCTCGCCCTACGAACGATTTGACGCTTTTTTTGAGCTCTAAGTTCCATTCGTTTTCGGAGTTCCGGAACCTATTTTTTCTTAATTTCGGGAAGAGGTCGAGGGTGGGTCTCGGCAAATTCCACAACAAAACCCCATGTCAGAGTACTTCATCTTTTTATATATAAGTGATTGTTATTCGGGATTACAAGTTAACTGGTCAAAATTAATCGAAATTGGTGTTTTCAATTACAATTGTTTATTTTAATTGTCCGCCTACAACGAATTCGACTTCTATACATTATTAAACGTTACAAAAATTATTGAATAAAGATCGCGTAATTCTTATTTTGTCTATGTAATTTTGAGGAAATCAATTTCGAACAGTAATACGATTAATAAAACTGATGCAAAAACTCGTTTTCATTGCATCTGATAGCTACACATATACGCGAAGAAACCGTTTCAAACTTCAAATCAGTCTTAAAAAAAAATCCGCTTGACAATTATTTGTTCAAATAAAAACAGCCTAGATATGTCAATCCGCTGGAGAGCCGGCGGCGCAGACTGCACTAAGAGAAGTATGACATCAGCCAAATATAAAAATTGATATAGGTCACTTAACTCGAGTTTGTATTTGAAAGTGATCGATCACGTCTCGATCATCATCATTATCTTCAAGATCATCATCTTCATAACTTCATAACCGTGGATATATATATACTCCTTCCTCGCGATACCGATTCGGCCTTAAACACGTGCGATTGCGGCCATGAGAGAGAGAGAGAGTGTTAGTGCTACATGGTATTTGCACACTGGCTCTCTATACATATATCGTATCGCGCGCGCGACAAAAGAACAAAGCGGAACGGCCCCGACGAATTGTGTGTGCGTGCATGTGGACGAGACACCTGCGGGAGGCGGACCAGTGCTCTTATAGGAGTGCCCGAGATTTTTTTTCTAATCGAGTCCGGACTCTGGAGTTGATTGTCCAGTGTTTATGTGTGTGTGTGTGTGCGCGCGCGCGCATGCGTATGTGCATGTGTGTGTGAGTGTGGAGGATCGATGGCTACGGGAATCGCGAACGACCAGAGATGTACTTAACCTAGAACGAGAAATCGTAGCTCGATAGCCTCGAAAAATCAATAATGCTTCGGTAAGAATTGGGACTCTCTATAGCTTTCTAGGCGCGTTTCGGGACTGCATTTATCTGCTACTATCATCCCTAGTCATTAAACATTTTAATATACTTTATACATTCTCAAATTGATATGTAACCCCACGATATATCTTCAATTATTTGCATTTGTTGTCTTGAGTATCTTTGCTCTCTTTATAATACTTATCACTAACTTTAACTCAACTAAATCTTTTTTCTTTTTTCTCTACTTAGGATTGCAGTATGTATGCGCCGTGGTGCGTGTAAATGTTGACCCAAGACATACACAATACTCCAGTCTGATGCATGGATTTAACGTAATAGGCTAGGTATTTAAATGAACTGTAATATTCAAGTGCGCTTGCCAATGGATGTGACAAGCGTGTGATATTTAGATTTTTAAAGATTAAAAAAGAAGAAATGCTCATTCGCAAAGCGATTGTTGTGTTGACTGAATTAATAGTGCGCTCTACTTCTGGTATTACAATGTCTGTGATCCTTGCTACACTGAAATTTGATTATATCGCAGACAAATTCCACCATGATAAGATTGTTTGCCTCAAATAAGATATAACAAATCTGATAGAGAAAATCCAAGACAATTGTGCTACGAATGGGAGTAAGATATATATAGCTATATGCACATCATCATTGCATTACTGTGCTTCCACAAAAAGTTAAATCATGCAGTCACCATGAACCTTCTTTTAACTTGAACTTTTGCTGTGCTGTGCAATGTGCTTGTGTTGATTATTTGTGTACATGGGAGTCTGTTGCACAAATCTATTGAAGGACAATTTTAGATACAAAGTGGTAGTTTGACATTCAATAAAATGGGGTGTGCTTGAGAGGCTGTAAGCCTGTCCAATATATTTTAGATTACATAGGATGGACAAAAGAGAGAACCTATGTTCTGCGAATTGATGGGTATATGCTTTTCCTGTAGGAGATCCACTAGTAACCGAATAAACAACAAGATCTCTGAGCATATTTCAGCATCTGTAACTCCTCTCCATGTTCGTCTTGAAGAACCAAGAAGACCAGAGTTGGGCTTGTGCGATACCACAGCTCTTAGATTACAGGTAATAATTGACTATGACAGATTTTATTATAAACTGATATAATTGTATAATTGTACTTTATGTAAAATAGAGTGAAGGTGCATACAGTAGCAGGGGAATTGGTGAAGAGCCTGGTGAGGAGGAGATTGGAACTGAGCTGCTGTCTGGAACAAGTGAGCTGAAACAGAATCCAGCAGGAATGGCCAATACCATAAGTAACATGAAAATGACAAACCCTATTAAGGGCTTGGTCAGTAAACGCCGAAAGCGGTTTACCAAGGATGGGTTTGATCTAGATCTTACATGTATCCTTTATCTATTTTATAATTATTTATCCTTATATTGCCATTTATTTCGAAATCAGCATGAGAATGTTTCCTTAATAGATAATTATAGATATAACCAGGAAATTAATAGCAATGGGTTTCCCAGCAGAAAAGCTGGAAGGGGTGTACAGAAATCATATTGACGACGTGGTAAAATTGTTAGAATCTAAACACAAAGACCACTACAAAATATACAATCTGTAAGTATTAACTGATTTTTAAATTTACCAAATATATACGAGTAATCGATTTTTTACTCACGCTTGCAGCTGTTCGGAAAGATCTTACGATTGCAACAAATTCAAACAGAGGGTGGCAATTTATGCATTTGACGATCATAATCCACCCAAAATGGAATTGATCAAACCTTTCTGCGAAGACGTACACTCGTGGCTTACAGAAAATGAGAACAACGTCGCAGCAGTTCACTGCAAGGCTGGAAAAGGACGGACAGGTGTCATGGTATGCTGCTACCTTCTCCATAGTAGACAGTGCGAAACGGGCACAGAAGCCCTTAATCTTTACGGAGAAAAAAGAACGACTGATAGGTAATGTCATGCAAAAAACTGTTAACAATCACTTTATTAGATTTTCGAACTAAATGTTGCGTATTTTATAGGAAAGGAGTAACGATACCGTCTCAGAGGAGGTATGTTAATTACTACGCTACGCTTGTCCAAGAAAATCTTAACTATCAACCCGTAACTTTAACATTGCGGGAAATCAAACTGGATCCGGTACCTGTTCTCAACGGATGCCAGAGTTGTGGGTATCTTAAAATATTTCGGCACATCTTAAAAAACAATGTTAATAATTGCAATCTATTGTTTACTTTTAGACCATTTTGTGATATCTGAAGCTAATAACAAAATATTTAGTTCAGAAACCTATGAAGTGCGCAAAGGCATCTCCTCACTTTCTATCCCCCTTCAACAGAACGTTCAAATTAAGGGAGACATAAGGGTAGATTTTTATCATGTACCCAAAGTAAAACGAAAAGTAAGTTTATCGTCAACCTCTAAAACCTGACTTTGGTAGGTTTCATTATTTAAAAATTGTAATAATTGTTAGCAGGAAAAGTTGTTTCACTTTTGGTTCAACACATTTTTTGTACGCGAGTATGTAAATTCTGAAAGCGACAACGGAGGACCAATTGAAAGGACGACTCGAGCGTTAAGCTGTGACGGAACTGCTATGGAGTTACCGATGGTTCACACAAAACCGAGAACAGGGTCGCTTGCAAGTTTAGGTCCTATGCCTCCAACACTTCTATTGGTCATTGACAAGTTGGGTTTGGATGGAGCTCACAAAGACAAAAACCACAAAATCTACCATGCGGACTTCAAGGTAGTCTATTTAATCGGGCTTTGATTATTCATGATGAAGGATTTAAATCGTAATAGATTAGTGGACTCCAATCCGAAAATAAAAAAATTGATATACAGGTCAGTTTGTATATGCAACGAGCGGGCAGCAGCATAGCGCTACCAGCGGTCTCACCACCACCCGTTGGACGACCCGGCGAGGGCATACAATTGGGTATAGGTGGCCAAGAGACGCCGAGCGAGTCGAGCGAGGCCGATAGCAGTGAGTGCGATACCACGGGCGACGAGGACGGTTGGGAATCGGGTGAGTCCTCATCTGCATCTCTGGTGGTTAAACGCCAATCCTTTTCATACACCACATCATACGACTGTCCAATGAACGCACATAACAAAAGTGGTGTTGCCACCACTAATCGCGACGGGAATAACAGCAGCAAAGCTCATTCCCCCGGTGGCATTGAACGTTACTCCGGTTTCTTCAGGCCTTTCTTCCGGGACACGTGACATATAGTTCAATCTTGGCAAGCAGACTTCTCTGTCATCGGTCAAATTTACACAATTTTTACGCCCTCGTTAGTGCATTTGTCTCGATATGAAAGACACACTCTCGACGTTGAAGTATTATAATTACGGTGATGATTTCTTGCTTAAAAGTTTCTTGACAATGTTAAATAGACAATTTGTTTCGCAGTGAATGTGCATTTTTCTCTTTAAGGGCATTGAATGTGATTATCGGAAATTAATTTTCGTACAATGATCTGACGCGTAAATAAACTCTTAGTATTGTCGTAGTTATGTAAATAGTTTTAAAGGAGATAAAGAAAGTGATAATTAAGTAAAAAAAAATCATATTTTTAATGTACCGGGCAATCTGAAAATCGAAAGAATTTTAGAAAAGACTTTTAATATTTAATTGAATTAAGATTATTGTTAAGTTTAGAACATGTATTATATTTTTTTTAATAAATTACAAAAAACTAAGCATCGCTAAGTGTTGATACTAATTTCGTTTTCACTCGCATCTTTATTAATTTTTAAACATTTGTACCAGTTAGTTTAAAAAATGACTGTTTAATAGAAAAAACGTCTATTTAGTTGAAATGAAAAAATAAATATTAAATAGTAGCAAAGTTTACTGCAGTAGATGCGCGTCGAATATGAATTTTTTTTCAATTAATCGCTTATCGAGTGTTAGCCTTAATTGTTTTATAAATTTGATAATTAGACGAGATGTCATTGTTGTATATCGTATAATAGAGTTGATTGTTACATTAGCATTATAATTTGGCATGTACATTAATTGAATTGCAAAAGAGTCGTCGTTGAAGCATTATAGCATGAAATTACCTGAAGGTTAAAAAAATAGATCACAAAAAGAATAAAAGATTAAAAAAAGACTGATTTAATATTATCTCATCGAGCCATTAGAATGCAAAAAATATTATTAATGCAGCATTCTCATATAACTTGCACGTATAGTAAATGAAAATTATACATAAATTAAAAGTATGCGAACGGCCTTGCCATTAATCTCTCTCGAAATAAATAGTGATCAATCTCGTGAAATCCTCTGTGGATGTTTCGTTAGTGTTCATCGGCAATAACGTAGCTTTCGAGCGGTTAATAATTGGATAGGGGTGATCGTTCAGGTGCTACCGTGTGGAATTCCGCTCCTGCCCTCCCCGTCCGCAAGGCAACACTCTCTATATATCTATCTCTCTCTTCTCTTTGACACTAAATACAGAATCACTAAAAAGGAAAGCATGGACGTGTAGCGGCCGAGAGTTTTTATCACTTGGCACTTATTATTATTACTATTATCATCATCATCACCATCATCATCACCATTATTATTATTTTTGTCATCTGATAAATTGAATGCATTAGTTGATTTTTTTGCGTAGTTATATATTCCTGTAATGTTTAACTTTTCTTTGTGATATTATATATTGTACATTTCACTCTATTGTTATTGTTATTATCTTGATTATTATTATTATTTTATCATTATTATTATTATTATTATTATTATTATTATTATTATTATTATTATTATTATTATTATTATTATTACTACATGTATATCATCACATCTCTGTTAATTTTGCTACGTTTTATTAGAAACAGATACACACATACGCACACACATCACCGCAGCCACTGCTATCATTATTAATATTATTATAATTATTACTATTATTTTTCATGATTGTGTTGTATATCTATTATCGCTAGAACGATTCCAATATGTAATGATCCATTGTTATAATACCTTGTACTTGTGTAATTATTTTTAATGACGACATTATATGCATTATTTGACCAGAACATTGTCGTATTTCACGTCTCTTACAATGCCTCGTCAATAACGATTTTCCTAACTTCAAATATTTTTTATTTGGCCTTCTCTAAAGTAGCGCTGCTCTAAAGCACATCGATATATTCTCTTTCAGTATTATTTCACTGAAACTGTTCAAAGCAGCGAGTGCGCTTATGTTGTATCCTCATATATTGCCAAAAACATGTTGCAATTTTCTATACTCATAGAAATTATTTAAGCGCATGAATCTTGTTATTTTCAAAATAAAAAAAAATACATCCTGTATGAATAAAAGTACGTATATCACTGCACTACTTTTTCATCTGCCCAGGCACGTGAACCAAAAGTGATTTGAAGTATTGACACATTGCCAAAACAAAAAAACAATAAATACCGAATGTGATCAATCGCACAAGACGCATAATCCAAATTCATCAAGTACATTATGTGTTTTTTCAAGTAACCACATTTTCAAGTGTGAATTTATTGCATGATGCGTGATTTGTTTTTGTCTTGCGAGTTTGAAAGATTGTTTTTGAATTCACGATTGACTACGCTAGAGGTACTTGTACGTTTGTTAGCATATTCATTCGAGGATAAAATAACTCTGAAATTTGTTATCAACAAAAGTACAGGAACACCTAGCGCGTAATGTATCTCTGTAAAGCCCACAGTAAGAAGCTACAACCGAGCAAACTTATCCTTTTGTTTCATTTCTTGTAAGCACTATTAGTTTGAGCGTACAAAAGTGTGTGCATATCAGTATTTACTTGGTATATTCCCATTGTTTTTTCCTTGTGTTTTCTTATTGTTGTGAGTTTTTAAATTAACTGACAAAAACAAAATATGTCTGTTGGCATCCTGACAGTGGACTTGGATAGTGGACGCGTGGGACGTTATCGCCTCCTGTCGGATGGAGGCATGATAGACGTATTGTGAGCTCGCCCATCATCCTCATTCATCTTGGAACGAGCGAATCATTTAAAAAATAGAAAGCAATGCAACTTATGTATCGCGCTCTGCGATGTGTTTTTGGATGTTCATCTCATACATCATTTTCACATACATGCGTTATATGTACTTACACTTCCACACGTATACATCCGTAAAATTTTATCTCGCGTGAACAGCCACACGGCACAAGTGTCCAGCGTTTTCATTTGAAGCATTTTCAAAAAAGCTGAGAATGTTACGTTAATCGATGATTTTCACATTTTTGTTCTCTTGTCTCTGTCGCTCCAAATTTGATAAAATGTCCTTTGTATACCACAAGTTTTTTCTGATATGTACATTAAGAGGATTGCTTATCACCAATTCGTACTTACTGATAAAATTGTATTACAATGAAGTTGAGATTGTAGATAAGCACTTCTCTCAATGATCGTATACCAGAAAACTGGATTGCTTTCGAAACAACGAGCCGTTCGTATAATTCATGATTTCTCACCTCATTTCGATGTACAGTGATGTTGTCATGCGTTTAGAAAAGAAAAGAAAAGAAACAAAATTGTAAAATACACTGGTATCATGGTAATCCACCGGATCAGTTCTGTACAAGCTTTTTTAGCGCATCTAGTTGCATGCCAGCGTGTTGTGAACACAATTATTTCGCAACGGCACTTGGTTACAACATTTTCCAGTCTCTCGCTCGACCTAAAATCTAGCAGACGTGGATCAAGACAATCTGTAGAAGAGACTAGAAAAGCAGCCAAAATAGATTATGTAGATAGACTTGAAGGCGTTGTTCAGCACGTGAAACATATACGTACACATACACACTATTTTCGACGCTTCCTGCGATTCCGTTACAATTAATTATCTCGAAATGGCTCCACGCAATACTTGTGTGACAATGCAATTAAGCGAGCAATTTTGAATATTGCAATATTATGTAAAAGGATACTCTCGCGCATGTGACGCCGAATCGCAGCGATCGGCGTCGAAAAGCCGAACAAACCAAAGCATACAAACAACCATAACAACAAAACATCCCTTTCTCTATTTTTTAAAGCCTTTGTTCGATTCGGGATCGTAGGCAAACTAAAGCGAGTCCACAAACGAATCAGACATCAACGAGGAGACGACAAGCCGAAACTCATGGTTAAGCGTTGAGAGTATAAAAGAAGAGGAGTCGCGATATTTGGCGCGACGCTTTTTTATCTTGTAACGTGTGTAAAGTATGCCAGAAAGGCAAAGAGCGGAGAAATAAATTATGAATGTAAAGCGATCGCAAGAAAAAGAGAAATAGGAGGAGGAAGCGCGAGAAAGAGAATACAAACTATTTTCATAAGAGAGAAATTGTAAAAGTCAATATTATACTTAGGTATAGGAGCGAAGACAAGAGCTAGGCGATTAAACAAAAGAGTCGGTATGGAGATTATTGAAAAGCTGATCAGCGTCGGACGTTTCAACGTGATTTATATATTATATGCGTCAACTCATCCCGCACATCTCTGCCGAAAGACGGCGGAATCTCTAATTAGCATCCGAGCTCGTGCTACAAGTCCAAGAAAATAATCAGTGGCTAAGAAAAAATGTTGAACTGATAAAACAAATAATTAGCAAAATTTTCTACTTAATGATTGTTGGATAAGCCGTTTCTTCGAGCAAAAACACCGATGGTTGTTCGGAAGAAAGAAAAGTATGCGTAATGATATTCATTGTCAATCGTACGTTCGAAAAAAACAAATTGTCGCTGTGTTACGATGCTCACATATACTTTAGCTTACTCCGCGCGGAGTACAAATACAAACTTTTTTCTCTGTCACTGTTCTCTCAGAACCAGATGCCACATTTTGTTCAAACGCTTTTATTTCTTTCCATTTCGATAGGTGTACTTGTACAATTCTAAACTTGAGCATCATAACTCTCACAATTTCCACTAAACTAAACTAAAAGAAAAAAATACAAAAATAGATTAAAAAACTAAAAAGCTCATTCACGGTGTATATCAATCAATTAGAAAAAATAAATAAAATACTCGATGTGATAGGGCAATTTTTAACGATCAGCTGACCACTTAATCTAATCTATGAACATATATAGCAAGAAAAACGTAAGACAATTTTCAATGTGCTGGGATGCGCGACTTTTAATCATAACGAAAGAAACGAATACAGGAGCTAATAATGGGAAGTAACGAGCGGCTTAACACACTATAACGTTAAATCAAAGATTTATTTGCATTAGGTTTGTTTGAAGCGAAGGAATCTCTTTTATACAGAGTAATGAAGAAGACGGCGACGAAACAGAATTAAAAGAAATAAATGTTTAATACGATTTGTAGAGAAAAATCGTATTAATATATCAATGCAACAAAAAACAAAAAAAAATACAAAAAACATAAATACAAGATTCTATCTCTCGTATTTTGTCAAGTGCATGCGGGCGAGCTTGCGTGCGTGCGTGCGTGCGTGCGTGCGTGCGTGCGTGCGTGCGTGCGTGCGTGCGTGCGTGCGTGCGTGCGTGCGTGCGTGCGTGCGTGCGTGCGTGCGTGCGTGCATGTAAATGTGTGTGTGTTGAATCAAAAAGATGAGGTTTTGCTTGTCTTTGGGCAAAACAATGACAGCGAGGGAAATAATGAGAATGAGAGAAAGCGTCTAGACGAGCATTTGCGCCGGAAATTATCTGAAAAAGTTTGCACGCCTTTTTTGTACTTGACAACTCGAAATAACCACACAAACACATCTACATGTGATGTATCATTTTTTGGATGTCGTATACGGTTAGAAAAACAAATAACAAAATAAATAAGCAAAACGTGATGTTTTCTATTGTGTCCCTCAATGTGTACATAATGTTTAAATGACTCGACTATATCACTAATGTGTAAACTGTAAGGTTTAATGTGCAATACAAATGTTCCTTAAAGCTCATCTCGAAAGAATAACAAAAGTGAAGAAAATCATGCCGTTCGCTGACAAAAGTACAAAAAAATAAAAGCAACTTTTTCATATAATTGTCGTCGCAACTTATCTATAGCTATACGTGGTCGGCGTATGTCGTTATGACTTTTCCTCGGAGATGAAGGGCGGTCCTTAGTATCATCTCTGAAGATTTGCCAGTATACGTCAGGTCGCAAGTGTGCGGAACACAAGTTTTGTTTTGTATTGACGAGGACGATATCTCCGTTGTAAGAAAGAAAGACAGAAAAGAGTTTGACTTTTTTTTTCACGCAGTCACGTGAAAGGCCAGCATTACTGTCCGGAAGAAAGAATTTATCAGCGAGAAAGCTTTTTATTTCACTAACTTATTATAATAAGGAACGATCAACATTCGATTACCATGTTGTTCCATGTAATCTATTTTAATAAGAAATAAAGCGCATCACCATGTTGGCTAACAATGTGCTATCTTATTATTTATTTGTTTTCGTTTTTTTTTCAGTTTTTTTACGTTTTTGCAACATGACAATCAACTAAAACTGCAATTTTTGCAATCTTGCACAGATCTAAATTGATATATATCCATTACTGAAATGATTATAATTTCTTGTTTCAATGATGGAATCATTTATCATTTTTTCAATCACTGTGAACTGCAAACAAAATAATGTTTTAAAAAATTAACACTCAAACGTTGATAGAATTGAACTAATTTGTAATGATGATTTGCAACGATTAATAAATACTTAAGTAAGTTCATTTGCCTATATATCAATATTAAGGTTTAAGGTATCACAAAAATTTTAAATTTTGATGATTATCAATATTGGAATATTGTTTACAAGTCCTTCCAAACTGTTTAAAAGTTGATAAACGTACATTGTATTGACCTGAAAGGATAAGAAATCATAAAGTAATAATAGTAATAATAATAATAATGATGAAAATAGTAAGCTGCAGCAAAACAATAAATAATAACAATAACAATAGCAACTGGAATATTTGGCGTTGATTCCGTATTACCATGCCAATTTATTGAAATAATTATTAACTGTAATGATTTGTGTGACTGCCAAATAGGAAGTTGCATGAAATTAATACTCTAAGACTAAAAAAAAATTCATGTAACACAATAGAACAGACTTTGATACATATATTAAATACGGGAGCATATTAGCAAAAGTTGACTGGCTGGGTTTGCTTTTACAGGGGAATCGACGTACTTGTGACTTGTAGGCGCGTATGCATAGAGCTATATCTAGATACTGACTGAGAATGTGGTCCGCGTGCGGAGAGATGGCATTGAATCAATGGTTCCGCAAGGCTAAAAGACTGCACTCCCGCTCCGAATGACGCTCCTTCTAACAGAAATAGATGTATAACGAAAAGATATATCTGCACGCCTTGCGATGTGCTTCATTCGCTCTCGATATCAATGTCGCTGTTGCTGCCGTTGCCCACAACCAACTTCGCCAATGCCGCTGCTGCCACTGCCTGCTACTGCCGAGCTACCTTTGTTTACTTTAACAAGCATGCATTTTTCTCCACTTTCCAATTTATATATACTATTTTTTTCATCATTCCCTCTCTCTTCCCCTCTCCCTCCCCCCTCTCGTTTCTATAAAGACGCGTCTAACGAGGCATCTGATATATTACAATATATTCGCTCGCTTGTTCGTGATTAACAGTATGGACCATTTATTTGTACAGTGGATTGTCTTGTGTGATTAGCCGTAGCTCTGCAATTAATTATATATTTGCGATTAATTAATTATCTTGTGATTTCGAAAAATAACCCTACGATAAACGTTCGGCATAATTGATGACGTTGAGCATCGTTGCTTTTTTTTGCTTTCTTTTTGCAGGCTACACACGGAGAATGCCTGCGACCTAAATTCTCTCTACCGACAATGTTCCTCGTTCGGACACATAAACATAAATATTAGAAATATATTGTTTTATTTTTTTCTCTCTCGTATACGATCTGTTTTCGCCTAATAAAAGTCAATGTAAAGAAGAAAAGTCAAAAGGAAAAAAAAGAGCGACAAAACTACACGCAAACTTACACGTAGGAGAGCCGCAACTCAAGCTGGCCCGAATTACACTATTAATTTAGTGATTATAACTAGCGATTATTATTATACGTCCCGACAGGTCTTCTTAGGTGATTGTTATGCGGAGAAAGTATTAGGATAATTCTTGGCTATTTCAATCAGCCCAAAACATCAATCACCGAATTTTTTTCAAAAATAGTATACTTCTTATCTACATAGAGATCAACATGTATGCACTGTTTTAAATCGAAATGTTTGTTATTTGTCGAGTTTTCAATTATTCAAAAAATTTGACAATTTTTTTAATTCAATATCTTACTGCCTATTAAAAATATCGGGATGATCTTTTTTCAAAATACACGGAAACACCTGTATTTTTAAGATATCAATAGCACCAATTAAATTGTTTATTTATCTCCAAATTATAAATAATTTTTTTGAAAAATCGTATTTACTCAAAAAAGGGCTTTTTTAATTTTGAAAATTTTGTGCATCATTAAATTCTTCATCATTTTTTACATACAAATTCGTACATAAAAATCAAGTGCCCACTTCTAGGATCGACGTAGCCATCGTTCAAGGCGAACGCTACCCTACCACCGAGCGCGCACCTATACGAGGCGAGTCACTTGGCCAGCCGCTTCGGTATTGTTGACTTCGTAGTACAAAGATATGATTATGCTCTATTTGTTAATGCTGTACAACTATTTACTGAAACAATTTAACAATCAATTAGTTATATTAGTCCAAATTGAATTTAATAAAATACTTTGATTTTTCATTTACATTGAGTTATATTCAGGAATGAAAGATGGTAGAAGTGTGAAAATTGACGGCAAACGAGAAAATCATAGAAAACGTATGTTATTTTTCGACACCTGGAAAACCGTACTTTCCACGCGTTGTATCGAAAAATACGGTACGACACATGTTCAGGAGAGAGTTTCTCGTCTCGTGTATTTTTTTACCTTCATTACCCTCGTGCGTAAATAACACACGAGACGAGACTTTACTTTCCCGCACTTGTATCGTAATGTACTAATTCGCACACTTATATCATAATCTACTATTACACTTTTAAAGAAGCATATGAATTTTTTCAAAGCGGTTTCCGGACAATAAGATTAGACACATATTATCAAAATAATAAATGAATGTTAGATGGTACGAAAAAAGTTGTTAAAAAATGATGATTATATTCCACTAAAGCAAGGGAAAATTTTTGAACATATGTAAACATACAACTGAGGCAAGTCGCTACAGTGCGTGTTTTGTATGTTCTGGCTTTAATGGTTTAGCTAATAAATAACTAAATTATTTTATAAATAATTCGACTATTAACATTAAATTTAAACAGTGAGTAATAAAAATAACAGATGTCAATTAGTTGATGTCGAATTACTTAGAAAACAGACATTACAGTGTTCAACAAATACATGTGCAATTTGTTACTATTTTGGCGTATACAATTATATAGCAACTAGTCGAAACGATTTTATGAAGAAGATGGAGGAAGATGACATTTTAGTAATGATGGACTTTACCAAGAATTATATGTGCTAATTTCACGATGCAATTCAATCTGCGTTGTATAACAAAGATCAAGTTACTCTCTCTCTGTGTGTGTGTGTGTGTGTGTGTGTGTGTGTGTGTGTGTGTGTGTGTGTGTGTGTGTGTGTGTGTGCGTGCGTGCGTGCGTGCGTGCGTGCGTGCGTGCGTGCGTGCGTGCGTGCGTGCGTGCGTGCGTGCGTGCGTGCGTGCGTGCGTGTGTGTGTGTGTGCGTGCGTGTACGTGCGCGTGTGCGCGTGTGCGCGCGTGTGTGTGTGCACGTGTGTGTGTGTGTGCGCGCGCATGCATGCGTGCGTATATCCTTTTTCTGTTTACAAAAAAATCAATGATATAATTATAATACAAGAAAATTTTACTATTTCAAAGAAATAGTAAAATTTTCAATTAAGCCCGTTATTATAAAATTTATTGTGTCAAAAAAGGTGATATTTTTAATGGGTTGCTATGTAAAAGTCCGTGTGATAGAATTGGAGGAGCTATAAAAAGAATGGCTAGGCCAAATGATATACGTAGTAAAGTAATTAGTATCTCTATGGTATTTTCCAATTGGGTAGAAAAATCTAAATGCCTAATATATATTTATATATGGTGGTAAACAAGAATATGAAAATTTCGAAATTAATGTGCACAGAATTGAAAGATGCTGCTGTTATACAAGGGATACGGTCTTCACATGCACTTATTCCAGTAAGCGATGGCAATATAATATATTTATCGCCATCAAAATTGTCATGGAAATTATTGGAATCTAGGTATTACTTTTATTTTATTCTTATTTTTATAATTTAGTTATGTAGAAGTTTATATTTCTTTTTGTTTTATTATTTAAAAAAAATGAACTTATGTTAAGTCAGAGATAAATTTTTAGTCTCAAATTTTCTGATTGGTAATAGTGTGTTGATGATCGAACCATGGACATTGCCACATCATGTGGTCAATGTCCTCTCGTTCAGCTCCATGTGACATTTAGGATCGTTAACAATGTTAACTCTATGTAGGAAGAGTGCTAGATTGTTATGATATTCCAGTAAGCGATGGCAATATAATATAATTTAAAGTAGAGAAAACTCTACAGTCAACTGAATTTGAAATAAGGTATGTTATTTAAATTAACCTATTAACGTTCACAGGACGATTTTTCGAGAACTGAGTTCGAATTATTATTTTATTTTTGAGAGTGCTCTTTATAATAGTGTTGGTTGACAATTCCGACGCAATGTTTTATCATTAAAAAATCAATAATAATCAAATAAGCTTAATTTTTCGATGAAATTGTTTATAAATACTTTTCGTTTCCTTAATATTTGTTTCTTAAGGGATTCTTATTTAAATTCTTAAGGGATACTTAACGTGAATTTTTTGCATGAAAACTATATATTCTAATACAAATTTTCTAAGAATAAAAATTTTTTAGAATTAGAGAATCCTACAGTTATTTCAGAATTTTTCGATATAATTTTCGACCTCATGACTTTTTTAAAACTTTTCTTAGATCACTCTAAAAAATGTTGAGGGTATTCGTTATTCAATTTTAAGATAATTTTGTATGTAAGAAATTTTGTTACGTGGTAATAATTCGAGCTCAGTTCTTGAAAAACTGTCCTTTGAGCGTTAATCGGTTAACTAGCGAAATTTTTTTGTACTGATCATCTACAGCATATAAAATATATATAATTGTTAATATATATTAAGTGGTATGAAATAAATATAAGTAAAAAGAAAAATTCAAAAATACATTTTTAATGCGACCGCAAAATCTATGACGTCGATTTCGAGTCTGATCAAACGTAGCTAGAAAATGTTTTATTAAATCCAATTCGAACTAATATAAATATGTACGTTAATAGTTAACTATTACATTGTTGAAGTAATTAGTTACACATTATTGAAAAATGGATCATATCGTATGTTAGCACTGTTAAGTCATCAATAGCATAACGGACGGCCAGGCGACCCGACTTCATATAGCTTAATGAGCGTTCAGCGGTGGAATAGTATTCGCTTTCAACATCTACACCGATTGTAATAACAGGCACTTAATTTTTACAACGGTTTGTTATGTATAAACTGATGAGGAATCCAATGGTGCATAAAATTTTTAAATTGAAAGATCCGTTTTTGAGTAAATATGATTTGTCGATAAAATTATTTACAATTTTAGGATAAATAAACGATTTAATTTTTGTTATTAATGTATTGAAAATACTGATGTTTTCGCAAATTTTGAAAAACAATAATCTCAATATCTTTAATAAACACTAAGGTATTGAATTTAAAAAAATTTAGATGTTCTGATATAGAGATGATGTGGAAATAGCCAAGAATTACCTATTACTACTGACTTTTCTTCGTCTTCTTTTTTTAGACTATTTTTATTTATTTATTGTCACGCGTTCAAGCGATGTTTTCATCTTTCGGAGAGTAGATTAAGTTGCAAATAGTAAATTTTTTCTATTGCCAAGTTGTCCTCCCTATCTCTCGATCCTTCTTTTTTATGTATACAACTTGTAATTTTTACCGTAGTATCAGCCCTTGTCCATCTATTTTCGTTTTTTAATTATTTTTATTATCATCACATTATTATTATTCCTACTATTACTATTATTACTGCTATTCTGATAATCGAAGGGAGAAATATCGGCCTCTGTAAAAATGAAAGTACAAATCCTTATTTATGAGTAATGATAATTGTCGTTTGTCGCTATACGATTGTAAAGATAAATAGTTGAAAGAACAAAATATACAAGGACGAGCCTCTAATGATCGACTGTATTTTTATTATATTAATCATCGTACTATTTTATATATAAGCGTTTATTTCCGACTCCTCTTTCTTATTCGCTCCTATTAACTCAATATATGTGTACAATGTAGAATAGTGATTTGAAAAGAAAAGTACAATGTTTTGCAACAAAAAATAGCGCTGAGCATAAAACAAGAAGCTTTTTTTGTCGCTGTACAGTGAATTTCGCAAAATTTAGTTATATATACACACACGTATGCGCGCGTTTCGATTAAAATTTGTTATTTATTGAGCATTGAATTTATGGTGATATATTGAGGAAATGAAAAAAAGAAGATAAATTTGTGAAAATAACCAATTTTTTTTGTCATACTCTTGATGACGTCGAGTATACGCATTTATAGATTTTTAAGCAATATACTCGTGACTATAATTACGTGTTGATAATTTGTTGATTTGGTCACTGTAGCGTCTCTCACTTATTTAATTTATTTTTTACTTTTGGACAATTACGAGGAACGAGTGCAATATAGATGAAATTTCGTCGATCATTATTAAAAAAAATGAATGACACTTTTGTTATCTCGGATCGCAAAACTGATGTTATGTATAATTAATTAATAAACATTTTGAGTTCAACTAATGCGCTCAAAACTCTCGACGAGTTTAAATTCGTCAAATATACTCTTTTTTCAATTATTCAAAAAATTCCAATTAAAAAAGTATACTGATGCATTTGTCAATGTTTGCAAAGTTATTGATTATTTATTTGTAATTTAATCTATAGTCTTTGTTATCATTGACGCTATTTACGATCAGTGAAGACAAAGAAAATAGTAAACTTTTGATGTTTTGTTAGGAGATTTGTTAATATCCTCAAAACCAAAAATTAATAAATAAACAGCCAACAATACTCTGATCAGAAGAATGACGAGACACGTTGTCGACTATTTGTAGAGCCTTTTGTTCTGACCACTACATTGTTGGCTGTTTATTTTTTACAAGGTTAACAAATCTGTTAATGAAACTTTAAAATGTTTTTCTTTCTTTCTTTGTCTACACTCATCAAAAACAGCGTAAATGAAAACAAAAAATGGTAAGCGAAAACAACATTCAAACAGAAGCATTGTTTTTATCTTTGTTCTAAGATATTTAAACACGTGACAACTTTTCCTCCAAAAAAGTAAATTATATTCAATAACTTGATTGTCTAATTCTAAACAAAGCAACAAACAAAAACATCTTGTGAAAATGTTTATACATAAAACCAGTTTAATTTTTTTTATTAAATTTACCAAAAGGTAAAATGAGTTTATACCTGCATTTTTTATTTAATCATTATTCCCTTGCCCTAGTCCTTTACCACATATGAAAAATTTTACAGGTCAGATTAATAATTTTTTTCTGTGAGGCAAATTTTAAAAAATACAAAATTTATTTCACTTTCCAATCTTCGAATTTCCAGTTTACAATTTACACTTTTTCAAATACATTCACAATAAAAGTATTTTCTTTGAAAAGAATAATAAAAAGAAGAATAATAACTAAACATAAATGAAATGCAAATTGTCACGACAGTTGACGGAACGTGTGCCGCGATCATAAATTAATATCATGCAGTTCAACAATGCAAAAACAATCTATTCTTCATTATTCTCTCAAACTATCTTCGAGATGGCAAGTTTTTAGTGTGTTAAATTTACTATAGCTTTATAAAATATTTATAAATAACAAATATTTATGGAATTATACACTTGTTTCTACATCATTTCACCGACCTCTTCCACGTCCACGATTAAAACCACCTCTACCTCTACTGGAGGATTTGCCTTTCGGTGGAGGGGACTTGGGTCTGAGAGCTTCGATCCGTTCTGTACAACCAGTCGTGATTTGATTAGTTGGAAAGTAACTATTATAGATATCTGCATTGAAATTGGTGTTAGTTAATTCTGGACCAACAGTCAGCCAACCTGGCCTAATTGTGCTATCTCGACCAAATAAGTGTAACCTAAGTAATTTATGAAAATTATTAATATAATTGTAACATGATTTTGATTTGTTGGTAATAAACAAAAATTTGATTTGTTTTACCTTCTTCTACCAAGGCAAAAGTGTTCTATAATGTGAAATATTTCTACAGGCTTTTCAATAGAACCATACTCTGGTTCTTCTGATATAATCAAGTCAATGTCAACATTAGCATGAATAAAATCACCATCAGTTGATCTTCGCACAGTTCCTTTGATACCCATCAAACAATGTTCTTTAGTCCTTTGAAGCACTGCTTTACTATCTAAATTCTTACTGTGGCCAGGATTGTTCATATTAGTTCTTATCCAACAAATATCTTCACACCGCCTGAAACCCCATTTTCTTAAACACAATCTCCCCATGTCAAGCCCATCACTACTACCACACCACAAAAACACAAAACTCCTGTTAGCTGCCACTTCACCTATATCCAATTCCATTATCTACAAATTAATAAGTCTGTATGATAATTGGGCTCAAATTGAACATGAAAGGTAATTTATGTAACAAACCTGATCCCAGTTCCAAAGTTGTACATTTGTAGCACCACAAGTTCTTTGATACTCTTCTAGTGGAGGTTCTATAAGTATCACATCAAACTTACAAGTAAATTCTTTTAAGTTATGAGTTAACAGATCAGTTTTCAGATACATTGGTGGAGTTGCTGTTTCAGCAATGAGGTCATCTTTTAATTTAATTAATTCTCTAAGTTTTGGATATTCTTCAAACCTGTCAGCAAGTCCAACATCTCTGATAAAATTTTGTGGACGTTGCCCTGTATCTATAAAGTGCTGGCAATAATCATTATGTGGATTTGAAGACTGAGTTCCTTTTGAAATGGTAGACGAGTCTTTGTAGACAATCTCATCGGTTATTGCACTGTTATTTTGCCTTTCTTAGACTTCATTGTCATGTTTATGGGCAGTCATTTTCACTTTTTTCTTTTGCGATTAATCAACTTCAGTTCCTAAAATTTGCCGTAACTCGTCAACACTCGATACACCAAGCTGAAAATTTTTGAAAATATTGGTTTGATTCAATTGAGTATTTACATAAATATAACCCTAAAATTAAGCCATCTTTATGATTGTTTCTTCTTGACAGTTGATTTTAAACCTTGAGTATTTTCAACTCACCGTTTGAGCTAACAACTTTTTACGTTTTTTTGAACGCTCTCGCAAAGATTGAACCACTAAATGAACTTGTGCGATTTAAGAAATAAACTACCAGTTGTGCAGTTCGTCTTATTGGTTTTGAATCTGCTAATTTGTTGATCAATTGTGTATTATTAGTTAAAAAATCAAGCAACATTTTTAAAACCATTGTAGTTAATGAAATTTCCTTATTAATTGTCTTTTAAATTGATTAATTCTTCGGTACATCAAACGAGCACATAGTGCGATACTTTAGAAGAAGTTCTCTCTTTAATTTTAATTGCTTTCGGAGAATTTCTAATTTTTGAAGCTGTTCTTCTTTACTATATTCAATGCCAGAGAGCCTTTTAATCTGTAAAAAATAATAAAGGAATGTAATTTAATTAAAAATGAATTAAAAACTGAATGTGAAAAAAGTAATAATATATACTTGAGCCCTAGCTGAGTCCAATTTCTTTTGCAATTCTAATATTTTTTGACTTGTATCTTGTGATTCTTTTGCTTTTTGGGAAGAGTCGTGGGGATCTTTTTCTACGCTAAAAACATAATTTTTTCTTTAAACACATACGTAAAAAACAATATTTTAAGTAGCTAATTCAACATAATTTATAAGTTAAACAAGATAGAAACTCATTAGCAAGTATACATGATGGGCTAATAAGTTGGCGAGTATGTATGCATACGCGTACGTGTGAAATAATAATCGTGAACCTTCGAATGATTTCATATATAATGGGCAGAATTTCAATATCCAAGTCAGCAACTGTAAATTGATGATTAATAGGTATTTCTTCTGATAATTCCACTACGTCCATTTTGATTTCAGTTTTAAGGAACTATTAAAGCATCATTCTTTTCTTTAACAAAAAAATTTTTCACTTTGGCGTGTGTATATCTGTACTTTACAAGTTTTTTATTTAATAATATTAACAATACTTTTATAAACTTAATTTGCAACTGTGATGCTAATTACCAAACAAGACTTTCTGATACATAATATATATATATATATATATATATATATATATATATTAGTTGCATTCAACCAACCAATCCGAAGTTGATCAAAGGTCTGCGCTGATATCTGACTTACCAGAAATTTAAAATATATTCATACTGTCACATAAAGAATGTACTAATAAATTATTTTAGGTCTGAAACTTCATAGATTAGCTATATAATGTATGACTATTAATTTAAAGTTATATTATTATATAACATTAAAAATTCACACTTTGCGTTTATCTCGTCACTCTCGTCTATAGATATGCGGCAGCGTAGGGCCCAAGTAAAGAAAAGTGACCAACGGTGCACTTCAGTTTATACATTCGCTAACACGGGAAATATTAAATTGGCCATGAATGTACAGACTGAAGTGTTCCACTGGTCACTTTTTTTTAACTCGATCCACCGCGGAATACAAACATACAAGGTTTTCAACATATCGATAATCGACACCAATGCATGAACACTTCACTGGGCATGTGATAGTTCAGTTGAACAGTAGACCATCTCATATACACATCTAACCCATGCTCGTTCTTTCGGACTTTTAACACGAGTCGGTACGTATGTTAGAAATTAGTCTAAATAATTCCAAGCCATCCTTAGTATAAATTAATGTTCGAGTCATCAGATACAATCATTTCAGCATAAGCAGTCGATATGAATAAATATTATTTTATTTATAATTAAGGAAATTTTTAATTATTTTAGGTTAAAATGGGACGCCGACCTGCGAGATGGTGAGTAATTTTCTGAATAATATCTCTTATTTCCATATAATTTTTTCAATTAGTTAAATATTTGCTTCATAAATCGATAATTTCCATGTGTAAATTAATTCTGGCGTTAAATCGTGATAATAAATGTGTTCAGTAAATTAAAACAATGATCTTTTGGTTTTTAGTTATCGCTACTGCAAAAACAAACCATACCCGAAGTCTCGTTTTTGCAGAGGTGTGCCAGATCCAAAAATTAGAATTTTTGATCTGGGAAAAAAGAAGGCTTCAGTTGAAGACTTTCCTTTGTGTGTACACTTGGTATCTGATGAGTATGAACAACTGAGCTCAGAAGCATTAGAGGCTGGCCGTATTTGTGCTAACAAATATATGGTGAAAAATGCTGGTAAAGATCAATTCCATATTCGAATGAGGCTTCATCCTTTCCATGTTATTCGCATCAACAAAATGTTGTCATGTGCTGGAGCTGATAGGTAATTTGAATTAAATAACAGGTCCAAAAAATCTTTATTTTTCATAATATTCTTAGTAAATATTTATATTCTTTAAGGCTCCAAACTGGAATGCGTGGTGCTTTTGGAAAGCCACAGGGAACAGTGGCCCGTGTTCATATTGGTCAACCCATTATGAGCATACGCTCTTCTGATCGTCACAAGGCAGCAGTAATTGAAGCCCTTCGTCGTGCTAAGTTCAAGTTTCCAGGACGTCAAAAAATTTATGTATCAAAGAAATGGGGTTTCACAAAATACGATCGTGCTGTTTATGAAGAACTTAAAGTAGCTGGGCGACTTGCACCTGACGGTTGTAATGTTAAATATTTGCCAGAGCATGGACCTCTTAATCAGTGGAAGAAATTTAGAGAAATTTTAGCTAATGCTTGAAAATAAATGCATTCTGTAATAAAGTATTAAAATTTTATTAAATTTACCAAAAGGTAAAATGAGTTTATACCTGCATTTTTTATTTAATCATTATTCCCTTGCCCTAGTCCTTTACCACATATGAAAAATTTTACAGGTCAGATTAATAATTTTTTTCTGTGAGGCAAATTTTAAAAAATACAAAATTTATTTCACTTTCCAATCTTCGAATTTCCAGTTTACAATTTACACTTTTTCAAATACATTCAAAATAAAAGTATTTTCTTTGAAAAGAATAATAAAAAGAAGAATAATAACTAAATATAAATGAAATGCAAATTGTTACGACAGTTGACGGAACATGTGCCGCGATCATAAATTAATATCATGCAGTTCAACAATGCAAAAACAATCTATTCTTCATTATTCTCTCAAACTATCTTCGAGATGGCAAGTTTTTAGTGTGTTAAATTTACTATAGCTTTATAAAATATTTATAAATAACAAATATTTATGGAATTATACACTTGTTTCTACATCATTTCACCGACCTCTTCCACGTCCACGATTAAAACCACCTCTACCTCTACTGGAGGATTTGCCTTTCGGTGGAGGGGACTTGGGTCTGAGAGCTTCGATCCGTTCTGTACAACCAGTCGTGATTTGATTAGTTGGAAAGTAACTATTATAGATATCTGCATTGAAATTGGTGTTAGTTAATTCTGGACCAACAGTCAGCCAACCTGGCCTAATTGTGCTATCTCGACCAAATAAGTGTAACCTAAGTAATTTATGAAAATTATTAATATAATTGTAACATGATTTTGATTTGTTGGTAATAAACAAAAATTTGATTTGTTTTACCTTCTTCTACCAAGGCAAAAGTGTTCTATAATGTGAAATATTTCTACAGGCTTTTCAATAGAACCATACTCTGGTTCTTCTGATATAATCAAGTCAATGTCAACATTAGCATGAATAAAATCACCATCAGTTGATCTTCGCACAGTTCCTTTGATACCCATCAAACAATGTTCTTTAGTCCTTTGAAGCACTGCTTTACTATCTAAATTCTTACTGTGGCCAGGATTGTTCATATTAGTTCTTATCCAACAAATATCTTCACACCGCCTGAAACCCCATTTTCTTAAACACAATCTCCCCATGTCAAGCCCATCACTACTACCACACCACAAAAACACAAAACTCCTGTTAGCTGCCACTTCACCTATATCCAATTCCATTATCTACAAATTAATAAGTCTGTATGATAATTGGGCTCAAATTGAACATGAAAGGTAATTTATTTAACAAACCTGATCCCAGTTCCAAAGTTGTACATTTGTAGCACCACAAGTTCTTTGATACTCTTCTAGTGGAGGTTCTATAAGTATCACATCAAACTTACAATTAAATTCTTTTAAGTTATGAGTTAACAGATCAGTTTTCAGATACATTGGTGGAGTTGCTGTTTCAGCAATGAGGTCATCTTTTAATTTAATTAATTCTCTAAGTTTTGGATATTCTTCAAACCTGTCAGCAAGTCCAACATCTCTGATAAAATTTTGTGGACGTTGCCCTGTATCTATAAAGTGCTGGCAATAATCATTATGTGGATTTGAAGACTGAGTTCCTTTTAAAAAGGTAGACGAGTCTTTGTAGACAATCTCATCGGTTATTGCACTGTTATTTTGCCTTTCTTTGACTTCATTGTCATGTTTATGAGCAGTCATTTTCACTTTTTTCTTTTGCGATTCATCAACTTCAGTTCCTAAAATTTGCCGTAACTCGTCAACACTCGATACACCAAGCTGAAAATTTTTGAAAATATTGGTTTGATTCAATTGAGTATTTACATAAATATAACCCTAAAATTAAGCCATCTTTATGATTGTTTCTTCTTGACAGTTGATTTTAAACCTTGAGTATTTTCAACTCACCGTTTGAGCTAACAACTTTTTACGTTTTTTTGAACGCTCTCGCAAAGATTGTAACATTATTGAAAACTAGATTTTATGTAATGTAAACGATGTTTTGACAAATACATGTATAGAATAACATTTTCACTTCTCAGTTGTGACTATGAAGTGTGAGTGTGATTCTGAACAAACCGAAAACTGAACGTTTATAGAAGGCCAGTCCTGTAAATAAGCCTGGGGCATGGAGAGTGTAAGGGTCTGTCTCCATAGGGCCTGCCTGAGTCCGTCCGAGCCGGCCGAGATTTTTTATGGGCACGCCATCTCTATAATTTCGTGTTCATGCGTTTCTCGTATTGGCTGCGTCCGATCGGGCTCGTTTATGTAAACGCAGCCATTCACTATGAAACTCGCCATTGGATACGAAATTATAGAGATGGCGTGCCCATAAAAAATCTCGGCCGGCTCGGACGGACTCAGGCAGGCCCTATGGAGACAGACCCTAAGTCACTGGTTTAAACCAGCAGTGCGATAAGAATCCGAACACTCCAACATGGAACGAAATTTCTATGTTGTGGCATTTAGGGTCTGTCTCCATAGGGCCTGCCTGAGTCCGTCCGAGCCGGCCGAGATTTTTTATGGGCACGCCATCTCTATAATTTCGTGTTCATGCGTTTCTCGTATTGGCTGCGTCCGATCGGGCTCGTTTATGTAAACGCAGCCATTCACAATGAAACTCGCCATTGGATACGAAATTATAGAGATGGCGTGCCCATAAAAAATCTCGGCCGGCTCGGACGGACTCAGGCAGGCCCTATGGAGACAGACCCTTATAAATCGATTTTATAACTATGAATGTCGTTTCATACTACTGTTCTGATTCCATGTACCTCTAGGTGTCTACTATAATAAAAAGTTGTAAAATACGTTTAAATTAATTTTATGAATGAAAATAAAAATAAGATTGAAAAAGAAGAAAACTTTACACTAATATTAAATCAAGTAGGAATTATTATTATTATAGAAACAGAAAATTGCATAATTTATTAATAATTTTATTCACCAGTAATAACTCTATTACATATATATAAATGTACAAGTTGTTGTATTTATAACAATATCACTATATGTTATAAAACTGTTTAATCTACAGAAAATAAATAAATAGCGTTATTATTAGTATAGGTTATCTTCTCCATATTATCGAATCAAAATAATTTATTATTATAAATTACTCCACATACTACCATTGGGTACAGTGAAAATAACTAAGAAATTGATGCGCTACTTTTTTCATTAATACTATTTAATATTTTCGATCAACGCAGGAAATTTCTAAATTGCTTTTAAACATCGCAATTCATTTGCACCATATCTTCGATCAATATTATAGTTTTGAATCAACAGATTGTATAGTCAATTTATTTCTTCAAACATTTTTTATACATTTTGCTTGACTCCATTGCGGAATAATACTGTGCGGGGTTACATTTGGTGGTATTATATTTGAAAATAATCTATACACGAAGCTACATATATAGTATCTATAATGAGTCAGTTTTCATATTGTAATTGTAAATTAAACAGTTGTTTAAATTATAATTACATTGTTACATAAATACAATAATTTTTATATTAATAAATAGTAGAGTTGTTGATAAATAAAATTATCAATAAATAATGTAATTTTCTATTATCATTCAGGAATTTGCTAGGTTTTTTAAGTGTTAATTATTTTATTGATACAGTAAAATTATCATTGTTTAAAATAAATATAATTTAATAATAATAATTCCTACTCGATCTAATATTTGTATTAATTTTATATATTTTTTCACGTTTATTTTGATTTTCATTCATAAAATTAAATTAAACATATTATAAAACTTTTTATTGTAGTAGAGACCTAGAAGAACATGCGAATCAGAATAGCAGTATCGAACGACAGCCATAGTTATGAAAAAGATGTAGAAATGGATTTCCTGGGTTTCGTTTCGGCTTGACTAGTAGTTTATGAAAATCTGTTAGATGACGCGCGATTACAACGACCTACAGCATTGACGACTTGTGACGTCACTTGCTACTATGCGTAAATAAAATTTGAATGTCCATTTTAGTTAGGTTTTCCTATTGCTAATAACAATTTAAATGGTTTTTAATTACTTATTTATAAACACACCAAATCGAATTTAGTATCATATCATAAGCTATATTAAGCTTCACTTCGCTTCAATACAAACATAACTTTTTAATTATTCATTAGTCAATCATAGGATGTCCTATCGCGTGTAATAAATATTTAATTTTATTAGAATATATATTAAATTATGCTCTTGTAATATATAATAACCCTGATATCCAGTACATATTGATGCTTCAATTACTTAAAATTATTAATTTATTCAGCGACTTACATTTCAAATAAATATTATAAATATTTTTCGATACTCCCTGTGTAATGTGCGTCTTTCCCGCACGCTTGGTAGAAAACGTGCGTTGAAAATCACACTTTCCACCCGTCGTATCAAAAGATACGGTACGGCCCATGTTCGAGAAAGTTTCTCGTCTCGTGTACCTTTCCACCCTCGCTTCGTTCGGATGTAAATGCCACACGAGACAAGAATCTACTTATCTGCACTTGTATCGTAATGTACTATTTTGGTTTACCCCATCAGTATATTTTCGCAAATGAGACATAATTTTAATATATAATTTATTAAAATAATAAAAAGTAATGATCATAGTTTTGTTAGAAAGCAAATTATAAGTTTTGAACTTTATGAAATTTGAAAAATTTTGATGAATCTGATGCATGGAATAAATATGAATAATTAAAAAATAATTAAACTATAAATTAAATTAATGAAACATAACTTTATACTCATCAATATTTTCATTTTACACAAATAACACAATTCAAACATCAATTTAACTAAGTATTTGTAAATTGCAAGGTAATTTGAAAAATTCATGATTATTAATATTTTTAATTATTTAGTCGAAAAGTCAAGTAGTGACAAAATAGACAGATGAGATCACATCTACAAAATCAATAATTTTATTCAGCAGTTAGTGATTCTGTAACTTTATGAAAATCTTATGAGAAATAAAGTCTTGTATTTTTTATCTATGTTTTGCAAAAATTGATTTTGATGTATTTATAAATACGGTGAATTGCTAGGTGACTGAAAATATTGCATTTTAATATATTACTGTTTATATTGTATTCACAATATAACTTTGCTTTATGATATTCAAAATTTACATTCCTCTGCTATCTCAATAAAATATAATTTATTATTAATTTACATTTGTAATTTGATCAATAAATCTTTGTAGTTTATTTCGATTGTTTTTTTTTTGCATTATCTTGTGTTTGTTTTAACTCATTTTTAAAATCTAATGTAAGTTTCTTTACAGCTTTGAATATTTGATAGCTAAACTCTTTTGTGTTTGTTGGTAAATGATGAGAACCACTAAATGAACTTGTGCGATTTAAGAAATAAACTACCAGTTGTGCAGTTCGTCTTATTGGTTTTGAATCTGCTAATTTGTTGATCAATTGTGTATTATTAGTTAAAAAATCAAGCAACATTTTTAAAACCATTGTAGTTAATGAAATTTCCTTATTAATTGTCTTTTAAATTGATTAATTCTTCGGTACATCAAACGAGCACATAGTGCGATACTTTAGAAGAAGTTCTCTCTTTAATTTTAATTGCTTTCGGAGAATTTCTAATTTTTGAAGCTGTTCTTCTTTACTATATTTAATGCCAGAGAGCCTTTTAATCTGTAAAAAATAATAAAGGAATGTAATTTAATTAAAAATGAATTAAAAACTGAATGTGAAAAAAGTAATAATATATACTTGAGCCCTAGCTGAGTCCAATTTCTTTTGCAATTCTAATATTTTTTGACTTGTATCTTGTGATTCTTTTGCTTTTTGGGAAGAGTCGTGGGGATCTTTTTCTACGCTAAAAACATAATTTTTTCTTTAAACACATACGTAAAAAACAATATTTTAAGTAGCTAATTCAACATAATTTATAAGTTAAACAAGATAGAAACTCATTAGCAAGTATACATGATGGGCTAATAAGTTGGCGAGTATGTATGCATACGCGTACGTGTGAAATAATAATCGTGAACCTTCGAATGATTTCATATATAATGGGCAGAATTTCAATATCCAAGTCAGCAACTGTAAATTGATGATTAATAGGTATTTCTTCTGATAATTCCACTACGTCCATTTTGATTTCAGTTTTAAGGAACTATTAAAGCATCATTCTTTTCTTTAACAAAAAAATTTTTCACTTTGGCGTGTGTATATCTGTACTTTACAAGTTTTTTATTTAATAATATTAACAATACTTTTATAAACTTAATTTGCAACTGTGATGCTAATTACCAAGCAAGACTTTCTGATACATAATATATATATATATATATATATATATATATATTAGCATTCAACCAACCAATCCGAAGTTGATCAAAGGTCTGCGCTGATATCTGACTTACCAGAAATTTAAAATATATTCATACTGTCACATAAAGAATGTACTAATAAATTATTTTAGGTCTGAAACTTCATAGATTAGCTATATAATGTATGACTATTAATTTAAAGTTATATTATTATATAACATTAAAAATTCACACTTTGCGTTTATCTCGTCACTCTCGTCTATAGATATGCGGCAGCGTAGGGCCCAAGTAAAGAAAAGTGACCAACGGTGCACTTCAGTTTATACATTCGCTAACACGGGAAATATTAAATTGGCCATGAATGTACAGACTGAAGTGTTCCACTGGTCACTTTTTTTTAACTCGATCCACCGCGGAATACAAACATACAAGGTTTTCAACATATCGATAATCGACACCAATGCATGAACACTTCACTGGGGGCCTATTCTGAAAAAAAATTTTGTGGTGAATCAGTTTGTCACTTCAGTTTACCACAGAATTAATCACTTTAGATGTGATAAATGCTTATGACATGTGCTAAAATTTTTTTTCAGAATAGGCCCCCTGGGCATGTGATAGTTCAGTTGAACAGTAGACTATCTCATACACACATCTAACCCATGCTCGTTCTTTCGGACTTTTAAGGGTCTGTCTCCATAGGGCCTGCCTGAGTCCGTCCGAGCCGGCCGAGATTTTTTATGGGCACGCCATCTCTATAATTTCGTGTTCATGCGTTTCTCGTATTGGCTGCGTCCGATCGGGCTCGTTTATGTAAACGCAGCCATTCACTATGAAACTCGCCATTGGATACGAAATTATAGAGATGGCGTGCCCATAAAAAATCTCGGCCGGCTCGGACGGACTCAGGCAGGCCCTATGGAGACAGACCCTAACACGAGTCGGTACGTATGTTAGAAATTAGTCTAAGTAATTCCAAGCCATCCTTAGTATAAATTAATGTTCGAGTCATCAGATACAATCATTTCAGCATAAGCAGTCGATATGAATAAATATTATTTTATTTATAATTAAGGAAATTTTTAATTATTTTAGGTTAAAATGGGACGCCGACCTGCGAGATGGTGAGTAATTTTCTGAATAATATCTCTTATTTCCATATAATTTTTTCAATTAGTTAAATATTTGCTTCATAAATCGATAATTTCCATGTGTAAATTAATTCTGGCGTTAAATCGTGATAATAAATGTGTTCAGTAAATTAAAACAATGATCTTTTGGTTTTTAGTTATCGCTACTGCAAAAACAAACCATACCCGAAGTCTCGTTTTTGCAGAGGTGTGCCAGATCCAAAAATTAGAATTTTTGATCTGGGAAAAAAGAAGGCTTCAGTTGAAGACTTTCCTTTGTGTGTACACTTGGTATCTGATGAGTATGAACAACTGAGCTCAGAAGCATTAGAGGCTGGCCGTATTTGTGCTAACAAATATATGGTGAAAAATGCTGGTAAAGATCAATTCCATATTCGAATGAGGCTTCATCCTTTCCATGTTATTCGCATCAACAAAATGTTGTCATGTGCTGGAGCTGATAGGTAATTTGAATTAAATAACAGGTCCAAAAAATCTTTATTTTTCATAATATTCTTAGTAAATATTTATATTCTTTAAGGCTCCAAACTGGAATGCGTGGTGCTTTTGGAAAGCCACAGGGAACAGTGGCCCGTGTTCATATTGGTCAACCCATTATGAGCATACGCTCTTCTGATCGTCACAAGGCAGCAGTAATTGAAGCCCTTCGTCGTGCTAAGTTCAAGTTTCCAGGACGTCAAAAAATTTATGTATCAAAGAAATGGGGTTTCACAAAATACGATCGTGCTGTTTATGAAGAACTTAAAGTAGCTGGGCGACTTGCACCTGACGGTTGTAATGTTAAATATTTGCCAGAGCATGGACCTCTTAATCAGTGGAAGAAATTTAGAGAAATTTTAGCTAATGCTTGAAAATAAATGCATTCTGTAATTTTTTTTTTTTTAATGAAGCTTTATTAACTCTTAATGCAAGGTTATTTAGCTATATACAAAAGGTTACATATTTATATAGTATTGGATAAATATAATGATATTTAGAAGAAAAAAAATAAAAAAACGCATAAGTACATAAGTCTAATGGAACTCTAAGTACACATTGTGGGATTTAAACTTTGATATTACATTTTTTAAAAAACTTACAGACTAACTGCATTACATTTATGTCGGGCTTGCTAAGGAAACATTTTATATCGAGTCGTAGGAACTGTTTATTTTTGGCTAAAGCCATTACTAGCCATTTTCTTTGAGTATCGTACTTTGGGCATTGCCATATAACATGATTGAGATCCTGAACCTCGGATAGGCACTCACATCTTGGATCATCAATTACCTTAATCTTAGCTAAGGATTCATTCAAACTAATATGGTTGCTCCTGCATCTACAAATTGTAACGATATGATTTCGATTGAGAGTACTTTTAATGAACCAAGGCTTAGTAGATAGATGATAGTATCGCTGAAAATAATATTGTCCTTTATTCAATCCTTGATTCTTAATAGTTTTAACGGTATGATTGGTTGTGAGCTTTTTGAACAGAGCTTTGAAATCAGTATATGGAACAGTTAAAGTCGTTGGAAGCAGCTCTGTGGCTAATTTAGCATGTTTATCAGCAATTTCATTCCCTGTAATACCTACATGTGCAGGTATCCAAAAAATCTTAATATTAACGTTGCTTTTTCTGTTTTCCAAGAATTTACAATATTTATTACGGATTTCTAGAATGTATGTATTACAATCGACTTGGTTTTTAGGGTGAGTCAGTGCTAAAACAGCACTAAGAGAATCTGTAAAAATATATATGTCTTTATTCATGTTGTTCAAAGCAATGTCCACTGCATCTGATATAGCCATACATTCGGCTGTATAAATAGAAGCTATACGTATTATACTCCTACTTAGCAGTAAATTAAGCTCTGGGCATACACAAGCGCTACCAACAGATAGACCCGAGTCACTTTTACTTCCGTCGGTGAAGATATTTAAAGCCTCTGTAGAATTGAATAGCTGGTTGAACATGGCGTTAGGGTTAGTGCATTTTTGCATCTCTTTTCCAAAATCAAAATCTGTCGCAATTGGAGTCTTTAATATATTATGTTCATAGTTATACAGAGTAGGAAGTATGTCCTGATCAATTAAATGTTCAACGCTAATTACTCGCAAGATACAATCATTTAGTATTGTAGTTTTTTTTCTTCTATCGTCGATTATGTTAGGCAAATACTTTTTAATCGTTTCGTTAACAAGTGATTCCTTAACACTAGAAGCTTTTAGTAAAAAATTAATACATAGCATCTTTGCTCGGTGTTCTAACATGGTCAGTTTAGATTCACCCAGAAGTACGTTGGTAGGGGTGCTAATTCTTAATCCGAGTGCCAAGCGTATAGCAGAGAACTGTATACGTTCTAACTTTTCTTTCCTTAGCTTTTGTACAGGATAGTAAATGAATGACCCGTAGTCAATAGAAGCTCGAACAAAACTTTTGTAAAAGGTGATAAGTGTAGCAGGATCAGCTCCCCACCACGTACCTCTAAGGAATTTGACTATGTTGAGGGCTCTGTTAGCTTTCTCGTGTACGTACCGCAAGTGTCTATCAAAAGTTAATTTATAATCAAAGTATATACCTAAGAACTTAACTGATTCAACCGATTCTATAGCTAAATCGGCTATAGTCATCGCAGATTCACCCGGTAGAATACCTTCAGTATTGAAATGCATATAGTTAGTTTTTCCTGCGGAAACATCTAAACCAATTGATCTCAACCTTCCAATGACTTCCATTAAGGCATCCTCTAATATTTTATTAGCTTCATCAGGATCGTCCGTTTCTATATACAGTACTACATCGTCAGCAAATTGCAAATTCTTAATAACTAAGTTAAGGCCTTGAAATATCCCACAAACATACAGAATGTAAAATAAGGGACTCAGTACTCCCCCCTGAGGAACACCTTTGTAGATATGTTTCGGAAGCTCGAGATTAATTTCTGAGAAAATTCGTCTGTGGTAGGTAATAAATTTAACAAATCTTAACACTTTAGATGAGCGGCCTAAATCTGCCAAAACCTGAAGCAGTATTTGGCTATGCACGTCATTAAAGGCATTACTAACGTCGAGGAAAACTGCAAGGACGTGTCTTTTATTGTTAAGGGCATTTTCTACATCTAGTTTAAATGTAGTAAGGTTGTCTGCACATGACAAACCTTTGCGAAACCCTGTTTGACTTATCGGTATGCTATTGTTATGTTCAACCCACCAACGCATTCTGTAAGAAAGCATAAGCTCAAAAACTTTACATATACAAGAAGTAAGAGCTAAAGGACGCACGCCATTACCGTTAGGCTTTTCTACAAAATGAATGTATGTATTTGTCCAACTATCTGGATACGTATCATTGGCTAGCATTTCGTTGAAAATGTCAAGTAAGATTAAATGGTATTTTATAGGTAAGTTATGCAGTGCTTCGTAGTTTATACCGTCCATTCTCGGTGCCGATTTGTTGCCACGTGATTTAAGTGCCGTTTTGAATTCGGTGAAACTAAAAGGTTCGTCAAATACAGGATTGTCAGTAGATTCCGGTAAACTATCTGGGTCGGCAGGAACCCATTCAGGGCAAAGTTCGTTATGGGCGGACTCAATCTTATTATTTTTTTGCAAGTATTCCTCGCGGCTAGTCGGATTAACCTTTATCCATTTGTTTTTGAAAATTTTTGATGTATTCCACGTATATGTGTTGCTAGTTCTAATATTAAGAGTCTCCACGAATCTACGATAGCTCCCTTTCTTTTTAAGCTTAAAGGTTTTTTTCGCAATAGCCTTATACTTCTTATACTCAATCCAATCACTCAGTTCGTTTGAATATTCCCATTTTTTGAAAGCAGCTTGTCTTAAACGTTTAATTCTATCGCAGTCAGAATCCCACCAAGCTACCGGATTTCGATGTTTTTTTTTATTAAACTTTCTTCTTTTGGGGGTATGTTTGACTATTGATTCTTTTATTATTTCCATGAAAAAGTCATATTTTTGCAAAGAGGTGAGACAGTCATAGTCTTTATTTATAAATTTAGCATATTCATCATTAAGCTGATTAGTAACTTGTTCCCAGTTAGTCCGTTGTGATTGAATTTTAAAGGATATTTTATTATATATAATTTTTTCAATGTCATATAAAATTTTGATTGGAAAGTGATCAGATCCGCGAGGATCATCAGAGACTTCAACCATCAAAAGGTGCGCAATGTTAATCGTTGAGAAGATGAGATCAATGTTGGATTTTTTGTTGGTGGCAGAATCAAAGCGAGAGAAAGTATTCGTGTTATGTAAAAATAAATTAAGTTTTTCCGATTGTTCAAGTAGTAATTTGCCATCATTGTCCTTTTCAGTACAGTTCCAAGCGATATTGTGTGAATTAAAATCACCAAGAAAAATACACCGTTGTCTTATATTAGTGTTACTTACAATTGTGTCCCATTCATTATCACTTAGTTTCAATTGGGGAGGTTTATAACATGCTATTATTGCAACTGATTCTTTTAAATTGGTGATTTCAATTCCACATAATTCCAGAGAAGGATTATCGTTAGTCAAGTTTTTAATTTCTACGTAATTGTAATTTTTTCGAATTAGAAATACAATTCCACCGCCTCCAGAGTTTATTCTATCTTTGCGAAATGTGTTAAATCCAGCAAATTGGAAGTAGTGATCTTCCTTGAGCCAAGACTCTACGCAGATCAATATGTCAAGCTCTTGTATAATTTTTTTAATTTCTTCAAGTTTATTACATACGCTTCTTGGATTCCAATACATTATTCGCAATTGAGTAGAAAAAACTTTGTCATCATAGTTATATTGGTTGTCTGAATCCATAATTTAAGTGATATTATTATTATTATTATTATTATTATACGGCTGGTTACATTATAAATATTTAGAAACACTCAAGGGATTCACTCAATTCACTTAGATCAGCTATTGCCTTAATCAATCAAGAGAATAATTCAGACAGCCCTCTCTTAAATAGATTCTTCAGGGGTGTTTTTAGAACCAGGCCAACTGCACCAAAGTATTGTTGCACATGAGATGTGGAGGTTGTTCTTAATATGTTAGAAACTTGGAACCCACTGTCAGCGTTAAGCCTTCAGAATCTTACTTTTAAGTTAGTATTATTATTAGCTTTAGGATCAGCATTCAGAGTACAATCTATTGCTCTAATTAAGATAGAGAACATCAGGTTTTTGAGTAATGGAGTAGAGATCAGAATTTCAGATCTTATCAAAACCTCAAGGCCAGGATCAAAGGATCCTATAGTGTTTTTTCCTTATTTTCCTCACAGAGAAACACTTTGTATTGCAAGAACTTTAATATTTTATATTGAGAAGACTAGAGATTTACGAGGCAATACAGACGAATTATTTATTTCTTTTATAAAACCTTTTAAAAAAGTAACTTCCCAGATGATAAGCAGATGGATTAGAACAGTTATGAGACAAGCAGGTATCGATGAGTTCTTCACTGCCCATAGTACAAGGCATGCATCTACATCAAGAGCTCCAAGGGAAGGATTAGACATTGGTACCATACGGAATGCAGCCAGCTGGTCTGAGAACTCAAAGGTTTTTGCTAGATTTTATAACAGACCTATTGTTAAGAGTACAGATAGGAATTTCGCAGCAGCAGTTATTGCATAACTTAAAGAAAGTGTTTATAATGTTCATTCTTTTAATATAAAGTCTTTTATTTCTGTAACGTAATTTTAAATATGTTCACATATATTATAATAAATACATTTAACAGAGAGGAACAGCTAATTTCACTCTAAACATCTACATATGGAATATCTTTGAACAAGCTAGGCGAAATATAATTGATGATCAAACGAACACAGTGAAGTTCGATCATAATTATATGAGTAGGCTTGTTCGAAGATATTCCATCCCCCCCCCCCCCCCCCCCCAAAAAAAAAAAAACAACAAAAACAAGAAATATATGTTAATGGTAATTTTCCCAACCCTAGAATCACCTCGCTTTTCTCTAAATCAAATGAAGTAGGAGAGGCGGGAAGAGAGATAGGACCTAGGAAGGGGAAAAAAGTGCCTCTTTTCCTTCGGTTCTATCTCTAAATAGTGGCGTCACCTGGCAACGAGTTGCGGTACTACATATGGAATATCTTCGAACAAGCCTACTCATATAATTATGATCGAACTTCACTGTGTTCGTTTGATCATCAATAAATATATAAATCAACTCATTTTAAAGGGTCATGTAGTAAATAGTTTTGAAAACATTTAATGCGTTATTATCAAGTTTATTTCAATTGTTAATTCTACACTGAATTATATTAAATAAAACACTAAAATGGGTGGAGGAGATTTGGTAAACAATAACTTAACCTACTAAAAATATTACTCTAATAATTTGTAACAAGTTGATTAATAAATATAATTATAACATTAGTAGAACTATAACTATAACATTGGATTAATTATAATTTGTAGAATTTAAAAAAATCCTGGCATCCATCCACAATGAAAAACATGGAAAGAGTTTGGAAAGCAGAGCAGCAAGACAATGAGGAAAAAAAACGTATTGCTGAGTTAAAAAAAGAAATAGCTATGGAAAAAGACAAAGAAGAGTTGCAATCGTTAGCAATGGAGAAGAAAGATAATCACAAATTGGACTGGATGTATAAGGAACACAATACCGTTGATCGAGAACAATATTTACTTGGACGATCTGTTGACAAACAATTTGAAGATATGGCTCAAGCTGAAAAAGCTGCAGAACAAAATAAGATAGGGAAAAATCATGTAGAGCATGGTATGTTATATTTTTTTCTATAATACTTATTTGTTGTCAAAGCTTCTTACATTGCATAAACACATTACATTACAACACTTATACTTATTATCAATAAAACACTGCAGAGTGCATACCACCATCAATTAGAAACTTTCAAGGGGATGAACAAGTTGATTTAGCAAGAAAGTTGCAAGAAGATCCTCTTTACGCTATCAAAAAAAAAGAAACTGAATCACGTGCACAACTTTTAAAAAATCCAGTCAAATTGAAGCAGTTGCGCCAATTGGTATATTTTTATTAATACTTTATTGTTGTAAACCATGAAATATATTTAAAATTGTAATTTTCACCTTAGTTGGAGCAAGAAAAAAGGGAAGCAAAAGAGAGCAAAATGTCTAAAAAACGAAAATCATCAGATCAGGATCTGGATCATTTGTTAGCTGCAAAGTTTAAAAAATTGAAACATAAAATAAGTGAAGAAGACCTTATCAAGTCTATAAAAAAACACAAAAAACAAAAAAAACAGAAGAAAAAGATAAATAAAAACAGTAGCGATGATAGTAATTCCAGCAGCGAATCAGATGAACCTAGAAAGAAAATATCAAAAAAACATGAAAGAAAGTCACGTCATTGTGATTTAAACAATGAATCAAATGAGCCTAGAACAAAATCATTCAATAAATATGAGAGCAAGTTACATAATCATAATTCAAGCAGTGAATCTGATGATCATAGAAAGCATAAAGAACGATGGTATGAAAAAATAGATACAAAGAGACATAGTGATGAATATGTAAGGCAACATATGCAAGAATTTAGACTAACGTTAACAATACAATATTTATAATATTGAAAAATATGTTGATTTTATTGCTTATTATTTATTAATAATTTGTTTTATTTCAGAAATCAGGTGGAATGAAATTTTCATTAAATAGAGATTCATTACCATGTATAAATAATAAAACTCAAGTAAAAGAAATAAATAAAAAGCAGAAATGGATCCCACCTAAAAGAACGAAACTTTCTGAAACAGAAAAAGAAAGGCGAAGACAAGAAATGTTATCTAATGCCAGTGAACGTGACAAACAACGTAAAATAAATGTCAAAAAGTATGAAGAAGAAGAAAGAAAAGAAGCAGTTAATCAGGAAGTATTCGATAAAGCTTTTATACAGTGCGTTAGAAGTTAAAAATCTTGATATATTGTGCGCTAATTGACGAACTGTGAAAATAAATTTTCATTTTCTTTTTCAGAAAACATCTGGCTAAAGCTGCCAATAAAGAAACTGTTTCATCTAGGATTAAATCAAATATAAATCACATACAACGGTCTAATTATTCAATGGATAAGAATTTTGCTAGAAGATAGCATTAAAGGATATACGGATAATCATGCGTGATATAACTAATATACTATATATGTGATAACACTAGTGTATTCTTTCAAATATTTGTTAACAATTTATTTTTTCTATATATTTAAAATAAAGTATAACAATTAAAAAAGTATTTGACACAATATAAACAGATAGTGACATTAATAATAGCATTTTTCTTTTAAATGATTTTTGGTTCAAGCAATTTTACACATTTCATTTGTTTCTAAAGCATCGTGTGTTTCTGCAATATTTGTGACGCAATCTCCTGTGAGAACATTGTTTACAACAGCTCTTGCTAAGAAACTTGTTGTAAGAGAATAGTTCGCCGAGAAGAAAGGTGTCATGTCGGTCTTTCTATCCACATTATGATCCTTTGTAAATAAATATATTTATGAAAACTTGAATTAATATTTTTTTGTTTAAATTCGGTTTCAGCGTTTCTTACCTTGCAAAATATGATAAAAGCATCATCGACCAATTTGTTTAAATTTAATTGCCTCTGAAAAGTCAGTTCTGGATTTCGCAATAAAATTGTTGAAACAATATTTAATAGCTACGAAAAAACAATAAATGTATTAAAAGTACAAGATCTGTCTAAATAAATAAATAAATATATATATATATATATATATATATATATATATACCTCAACAACAATCTGTCGATATTCTGGGATGGTAATATGATGAAGAATGGATTCAACAAGAAGAGCAAAGGTTAATTCCGATCGAGTTAAATTAGACAAAGTAGGTTGCTGCGGTACTTCTCGGCCATTAACACAGATACCTCCAGGGCATCTCTCAAGTACTTCCCAAACTTGATTATAAAAATGTAAGGGTACTCTACACAGACTCCCTTCGATCTTCCGTCTTCCGAGAATCGATAAGCTTTTCGGAAAGTTACAAAATTTTAATTTGAGCAATATTTATGATGTAGTGAAAAAATCATTTTTACTCACTCTTCGTCTGCGGCCCACTCTTTGACTGTCAAAACTTTGATTAAAAGTTGACGAACCTCGTAGGGACTATAATTTTCGATTGGCTTTGAATCTTTTCCGATTATTTGTAAATATAATTTCATGGCTTCTAAAACCCACCTGTAGAATAATCATTTTATAAGATACAAAACGAGATCAATCACAATTTAAAAAACAATTTCATACCCAATTCTAATTTTGAGGATACCCTTAAACATTTCCGGATTTGTTCCAATGAGACGTCCACAGTATAATAATATTTCTTGCTGTAATACAGCATGAATAACATTATGAGGCTGAATAGTGGAATACATTACTGATTGAATTTCGGCAGGTGTCATGGGTTTATCAAAAACAGTTTCTTGGTGTCCAATAACTCCAACAGTAATCTAAAAGTACTATATTATAGAATTGTGTGGTTCCATTTTCGATAAAAATATTTTATCGTAAAATAAGCGACATACCTGTTTGCCTTTGACAAGAACTCCTGTTATAAAAGGACTAATACTATCGACAGTGTGATTCAATATACTACTGCAATAGCGTACTGCCATCCAATATCGAAGACTTCCGGCTTTTTGGTACAAAGATGTAAAAATATCACTCACTAAAATCCAAAAATTATTTACTTAATATTGATCTGTATGGTGTTATTTTTTATTTAAATACAAATAAATTTACATTTAGAGCCATTTATTTCATAATTCGGGCCCTCTCGCTGTATAAGTATTCCGTATAATTGACATTTAGCATATAAATCGTTGACACTTCGAATAGCATTTATAATGTTTGCAGTTGATTCACTTTTAAAGTTCTAAAAAAATAATCATTGAACTTTAATTATTGAGGAAGTAAGTTATAAGAAAAAATTTTGATTTACAGATAAGTCTTTGATGTCTTCGTTGTATGACAGAGCTTTTGGCACATCAGTCAAGCTTTGGTATCCAATGTAATCGTGCTCCAATTGTTTGAATTGCGTCAATTCCAAATCAGTATCGATGGAATTGATGAAATCCAAATGTTCTGTTGTAAAAGTTGAATTGAATTGAAAACTTGTTACAGTAAACGAAAGTTCTGATTACATTGTACATATAAGCAATTCTTGAGAACTCGATTCTTACCTATACAAGACGAAGATATCAAATTTTGCAGACGACCAATACGAACTTTAGTCCCATCACAATATCCTTTCTTGAGCATTGCAAAAAGATCTAACATTTCTTTAAACTGCGGATCTCTGTAAATAATTAGAACATGAATTATTTGAGCATATATTCGGTGTGGATCATGTAAACATCAATTTTTTTACCTCATGTGTTCTTCTCGGATTAAAAGACATACTGTAGGCCTTCCTGACAGTCTCCAGTATCGTCCTACAAATTGAAGCTCAGTTTTGATGTCATCAATAAGTAAGGCCATATCACGGTATAAGTAAAATTCAGAAACCTCAAAAATTAAAGGATAGCAGAGTACAGTCATTCCACACACTCGATAAATCTAAAATTAAAAAAATGATTTCAGAGCACTCTATCGCGCAGAAGCTTCAGCCTTAACTTTTTTATTCACCTTACTAGTTCCTAATGAACCAACTGGTCGAGCAGGTCGCCCTTCAAGTCCTAATTTTTCATTTATTCCAAGGCATTGATAGACTTTGACTAGTTGAGTGGAAGACAAAATTTGGACAGGTTCAACTTCGTGAGGTGTTTGAGTTTGTATTCCATAAGTTGCCATCATAGCTTGCAATCTCATTGACTCGGCAATTAAAACAATTTGTACTACCAAATCAGTATGCGTACCCTAAATGAACATTTAAATGAGTGGGTGACATTTATACAAATACTTAGTAAACATGCTTTTATTTATTGTCATTCTTTAGTGTGAAGCTTCGTGTAGTTTTATTACAATTAATACAACAAATTATTCAAGTTGTACAAAAGAAAAGAAAAAAAGCACGTTATAATATACTTATATAGAAAGCATACATAAAAAGAAGCACCGCAAAAAATAAAGAAATGATAAAAAGTGGATAGACTTCCTATTGTAATTAATATAGAGATACAGATTACAGTTAACGTAAAAATAGACGAAAGTTCGAAAAAATGAACATTTTGAAAGCTATTGAAAAAGAACGAAATAAACATTCAGGTGCAGATTTATAAAAAAAGAGAAATATTTTTTAAATTTTGCAAAAAAAACACAGAAATATTAAGCATCCAATGTAACTATTTGAAAATGATATAGACATGCCTACTCTTTTTGGTTTGGAAAGTAAATATTTCTTTTTGTACATATAATCAATAGTACATTTATTTTAGCAGGTAATATACTGATTGAATGCTACGTATAGTACTTGATTTCGCCTGTATAAAACGCAAGAAAAAAATGAAGTTTAAAAATAGGTTTTATAATAAATTTGGAAAATGTAGGAAAAAAAATTCAGTTAGAGAGTAAAAAATCCTATATCCGAACATCTAAGCACTTTTCTATATAAAAAAATCACGAATGTAAGTTAATCGTTACCTGAAATGCCGAATAACGTCCTGCTTTTCTTGGCCTATTGTATGACGGCAAATAGCGACGAATTGGATCTAATTCGTTGATGTGTAACAAACTGGCAGTTAAAAGTTGAGCTATAACAAACATTGCTTGATTCCATAAATATATTGGAGCAGCATCATCTCCTCCTTTGTGGCCTCTGCCAATATCACTAGGAACTTTGATTGTACTTCCCGGTTCATTTTTTTCACCTTCTATACTATCCTCTGGAACGTAGTAGTACATTGGTACAACAGGATCTGAAAAGTAAATAAAACTTAGTTATTATCAATAACGCCATTGAGACAATTTTTTATTCACTAATGGTTGTATAATATAAACCTCCATGCACATCCTTTGATAATCTTGCTTTCAGTAAAGTTTGATATTCTTCTATTTGATCCGGCAAGCTATTGAAGACTCCATCAATTATCATAAAAATATAAAATAATGGCCATTCACATTCTATGTTATCAAATTCCTGAAAATAGACAATGTTAGTTTAGCGAAAAGCCCAACAATGAAAAAGGATTTTATGCTTACTTTTATTTCTCCAGATTTATAATATCGCTTATCAGGATCCTCCAGTACAGTTTTATAACCATCTCTGCCAAACCGTTTGAAACCGTAATTTCCTTTTAACCTTCTTATTACATTAGCTTTTGTTTCAGTATATAAAACTTCTTCATGTGTAGAAAACGCAGGAAATGAAATTGTTGGCAACAAAGCAGCATCCACACTCTATAATAATCAGTGAAATGAATATTTTGTATGCTTATGTTAAATATTGAAATTAAATTTGCACACCTTAGAACTAGATTCTCTTGGAAGCATAGTTTCAAAAATGCTTCTATTACGATTGTGAGCATCTATATCAACATAAATGACAGACCAAGATGCACCCTTTTCTCCAAATAGATTACAACCATTGATGGCTTCAAGTGCACTTTTGGCCATGCCAATAGAACTGGCATGAATTTCTGGTGTACCATCATTGTAACGACTACCTCTTTCCCACATTCCATAGTCAGGTGTTCTATATGCTCTTTCAACATAGTAAACCAGATTTTGTATAAAGGCAACTTCATCTTGAGTATAAATTATTTGCAGTCCAGATGATATCATTTGTACCAAAAAAATCAAATACAGAGATACAACATCAATCTGCAAAATTATATGGATTTAATAAAATAACAATAAAATATTCAAAAAATAAAATTTTATACGTTATCTATATTTTGATATTACTTGCAAATGATTGTAGTCTTCATCTTTGAAAATTACATCTCCAGTGTCTAAATGGAACTTGCAGTGTAGAGCAAATCGGTTGCATTGATTTCTTTTGAATAGCTCTACTCGTGAAGATTGTTTCATCCAACATTCTAAGATACCTCTCATACATTTTATTGCAGATTGACCTAATTCATATGATTTACCTCGATCATCATCTATACGTCTAGAATGACAGTTCAATTCATGATTAATTTAGTAATAAATTAATCATTTGTTTCAAAATATACCTATAAGCTTGATGTAAACTCCAAACAGCAGCAGCACAATATACACTTTCTCTGACACTGGCTATTTTTTTGTCAGTTGAAATCTTTGGAAAAAGACCTGTTATACAACTTTGATAGTGTAGAATTTGCCGCTTAACTGAAGATAAAACAGTTGCACTTTCAGAAATCTTCATTCATATGAAACTAAAGACACAGGAGAGATCTTACCAATTCCATAATAAATATCAAGTTGTCGTATAGTATCCTCATAGTTAGAAATTTTTAAAAACATATCAATATCAAAATCAATAACGCTACCTTGCCTGACATTTCTAAATTGTGGTTGAGTTCTGAAACAACAAAAATATATTATAAATTAAAAAATATTGATTATTGCAATAAAATATTTATCTAGGATAGATAAGCTAAAGTTTTATTAAAAACTATACAGACCTTGGCACTCCGTTAGGAGTAGTAACAGCTACTGCAGCCATGATATACTTTACTATTACTTAATACTTGATGTGGTTATTGTAACATGAAATTATTTCAACTAATTATCTAAAATCATTCGTTAATATAGTTCTGAATAAAATTTGTTTTTTTCACTACACTCCTAAATTCAGTAGCTTCACTAGTAAAAATTAAATGATTTTACTGCTATACCTAGCTAGAGGTGACATTTGCAATTGCTATACTGTGACATATATATACATGTAGTAATTTATTTTTATTTATATCAATACACAGTAGTGTCAAACTAATAAATCTCGTTGTCGACGGACGTTGTATGTACACGTCGATAAAAGTTTAGCTAATATTGCAACACTGCTTTCGCTGCGGGAAAATATGAAACTAAGGAAGAAAGTCACAATTATAACATGAAGTATTAAAATTTTTTAAAATTCATATAAAAATGATATGCCAATTCTTCAAACTGATTTGATTCAAAGTTAATCCAAACTGTTAATCCAAAGATATACAAAATATACTTTAATATGTAAAAACAAGTTTATACTTACATCGACATGGACGTAGTTGAATTATTTTTGTAGAGATTTAATTTCTAAATTAGTAATATGTAAGTGTAAAGTAAGATTTAATGTGTAAAGTAAAAGGGAGATTTTTAAGCGTATCATCACACTGATACATGACTATTGTCTATTGTGTCGAAATTAAAAGCATGCATGTGTGCGAGGAACAATTTACTATCGCGCATATAGCACGGGTAAATTGGTGAAGTGGCACTTGCAGGCATGCAGATATTATAAACGTGTAACATAACCTCATTTCCGCTGTCAAACATCGGATATTTTTATAAAACATAATGTAAATAAACATTGCTCTGTATCGGATGTTGAATAAGTTTCAGCGAACAGCTTTCCGAATAAAAAAACATCAAAAATGAATAAAGAGAGACTTCTGGCTGCCAGAAAAAAAGTACAGTATTGTTGCATATTTATAAGCTGAGAGTAGTTAAAACGTTGTTTTATTGTCATTCGACTATTGTATATTGCGTAAAAGTTGCAATCTATTTGATCTTTTATATTTTACAGCTCAAAGAATTCCAACAGCATAAACATGAAATGCTTGGAGATACACAAAATCATAATGACCTAGAAAAACACAACAATGATTATGTACAGTATTTCCTTATTTTATAATTGATACAAACAATTTTCCTAATAATAATATTTTTAATAACTTATAATTTAGATTTCACGAAAGCATACACCTATAAACTCGTCACCAACTCCACAGCAAAGCCTTGCTCAGCATTTTGAACCTGATTTAGAAGTAAAAGAAAATCATTCTAATGAGATAATTGGTATGAAGAATGTCAACCAATATCCTCATTGTATAAGTTATGAAAGTCAGAAAAATTATTTTACATTAACTAAAGAACAGGAAAAGAAAACAAATCAAGATAGTTTTATAGCACACGAGTCAACCCATAAAGATGCATCAGTGTCTTCATACAATAATTTTGTACCTCATCATAGTAGAAATGGAAGTAGCTCAACAACTTCTTCTCAAATAATTCATGAAAATAATGATCAAGATATTGTTTCTCAACATTCATCAACTCAACCTATGGAACATTTCAATTTCAATTCCAATACATGTACCAATGCTTCTAGTTCTTTGCAAAAAGAACATTTATTACAAATGGCAAATGCAGTGGCTAATGTTTTAGAACACGAGCAGAATTTAGATGAATCCACATTAAATAACAGTGACCTGGAGCAAAGAAATCAATTTCTCACTTGCTGTCTTGAAGAACAGAAAAAGCTGGTAAGCCAGTTACATATTCAAGTTAGTCAATCGGTAAGAGTTGAACTTTTTATGGTTATAAAAAGTAAATATCACAGTTTTGTAATAAAATGAATGAAACATTTTTTTGTTTAACTTTAGAATAATAAAATTGCTGAATTAGAAGCAAAATTGAGTACTAAAAGTGCAGACTATGAAAGTAGGCTCATTCAAGAACTAAATCCCTTGAGAGAGCAAATACAATTAGATGCACAAACAATTGGTATTCTTGTTGGAGAGAAAGCTGAATTAACTGCTGCAAATACCCAGTTGCAAACAACAATTAGACAAAAAACAGGTACACTTTAATTCAATTAATTTAGGTTTACTCAAAAAAAAACTGATCATTTGCTATACAATATTTATGACCTGATTTTGCAGAGGATATTACGGAATTATTCGGAAATTTTAAAAGCTCACAGCATAAAATGGTTGATTTAGAAAGAGAATTGACAACTATTAAAAACAATATGGAAGATCTGTCAAATGCTTATCAAGAATTACGAAAAAAATACGATGAAGCATTAGAAACATCAGCAAATGCAAAGTAAATAAATCATTGGAAATATCGATTTCTTGTGAAACAATTCTCTTTGAACGATATATTTTATTTGCTTGCAGAAAACAAAATGAAGAACACGAATTGGAAATTTCCGAGATGCGTCAAAAACTCAACTATAAAAATACTGAACTAACAAATTTGCAGCAAGAATTCCAAGAGAAAGTGGCACTGTTATCTTTAAGCGAATTAAGAATACAACAGGTGAGAAACAAATTTCATAAAAATATACTGTTTTACTTATTTGCATAATTATAGCTTTCAAATGGCCCACAAGAAATAAACGCACTTGAAAATCAACACCACGCGACCAAAGTACTTCAACAACAATTGTCGCGAATGAAAGAAGCGTTTGAAAGTGTAAGTGGTGAAAAGGATGAAGTAAATAAGAAATACCAAAGTTATTTACAACAACTAGATGAACGACACTCGAAACTACTAACAGATGTAAGCTTTAGCCTAAAATTCAATTTAATTCGAATCAATCGTGTTCACATCGTTATTCTTTATTTTTTAAAGCTTGAAAGTGCAAAAAGGAAAATTGAAGAATCCGAAATTCGCGAGCAGAGTTACATACAGAGATTATCTGAATTAGAACAGCAATTGCAAAGAGAAAAGTCCAAAACTGTGCCGCCAGTGGAAGATCAATCCGAAAAAATTGCAATTTTGACTAAAAGTATGGATAATTTAGTGTTGGAGCACGAAAACTTGCAGTCGATGTTAAATGAAAAGGTAGATATAAAAAATATTTGATGATTGAAACATTTGTATCAGAGGTAAATCAATGCTATTTAATTCCAGGAGAATGAAATCGAAAATTTGAAAAAAGATTTGAAGGAGCTTCAAGACATCAAAGAGCAAAGTGCCGAAGCAAGTAAACTGGCGCAAGCTCTACAAAGTGAGCAGCTTGGAGCTTCGCGTGCAGTATCCCAGAATCACCAATTAAAAATACAACTTGATGAGATGCACGATGCTTTTATAGCTTTAGTAAGTGGCTAGTATGAAATTAAAGTGAAACACTGTAACTGATAAATAAAAATGTAAAATTAATTTTCAGAGCAACACAAAATTAGATTTAACAGAGCAACTGCAAGCTGAGCGCACTATTGGTAAAAAGTTGAACGCCCAGCTGAATGAGGTGGAAAACCAAATGGAACAATTAAAGGAAGAGTTGTCCCAAAAAGAAGCAGCATTACTTGAACTTGAAAAAGAAAGATTGCTCGCAGCGCAAATTGAGGATCAAATTCAGCATTACCAAGCACAATCTCATAATGCAGTTCCATTGCAGCAGGAACTTCAAAAAGCTTTGGTACGTCATTTAGCAGCCTTATGAAGCAAGATAAATACCAATAAATAATACATTGCATGATTTCAGGTAACAATTGAAACTTTGAAGAAAGAGAATCAGTTGCTTATTTCAAAGTCCCAAGCCATAGAAACGACTACTGTAACCGCAGAAATACATCAAGAAAATAGAGAAACTATGCCGGATATCACTGTCACTACTGGCACTAACGTGGACGAAATTGCGGATTCGACAACGATAAGCAGTTTCTTTACAAATGTAAATGTAAGTTCTGATTCTCTCGAAGCTGGAGCTCGAAATCCCTCGGAAAAACTTGAAGATGATGCTGTAGACACTAGTATTTCGAAAACGCAGTTTGTGATACCAGAAGCTAGTGTTATTCCAAGCGTGTCTGAACCAATGAAAAAACTCGAAATAAGATTCAAAGAAACTATGGAAAAAGTAGCCGAGCTCACGGATGAAAAGCAGCGACTGGAACATCTTGTTTTACAATTACAAGGCGAAACAGAAACTATAGGTAAATAAATGAATTTTCAGTGTTTTGTTTTTCTCCGTGATAATTAATACAGTTCGATTTTACTGAAGGCGAGTATGTAACACTTTACCAAAAGCAACGTGCAATCCTTCAAGAAAAAGCGAAAGAAAAAGAAAATACTTTTCGGCAATTATTGGAACAACGTAATCAACAGCAAGAGCAATTGCACAAATTGAAAGTGCTTGTGGCAGACCTACTGAAAGCCAAAAATACCATTCCCAATATCACGACCGCTACAGCAGCTGAAGAAAATATGCATACTTCGGAGAATCCAGGTATAATACATACCTACTTCCAAACCTTTTTTAAATATTATTTGCGTCTACTTATTGTGTAAATATTTTTACAGCAGATAGTGAGACTAATAATATTGAAATTATTCAAGGGCATGTAAATAAAATTGACGAGGCAATGAATCAAACAGATAAAACAACTTCCCAAATTTTGGATCTTTTGACGGAAATTAAAGACTGCAATAATTCCTGTATTATGAAACCAAATTTCCATCCTTGTCCATGTTGCTCTGGTAAACTGATAACAGTCTAGCGGTTATCAGAACGCAACTACTATTTGAATATTTATAAGAAATTTGTTATGAAGTGTATTATACAGATTTTGCGTGAAAATGCAATGAGTATTGTAATAATTGTATATAGGTGCAGAGACTTTCTAAATTTGATTATGTATTACAAATTTGTTATCTACACTAATTCATTTGTGCAATGTCATAAATCTCTACAGTCAAGGATAGTTATAATTTAATGGCTAAAGCATATTTTGAGAGAAATTTTAGTAATATAATTCTAGTTAAACATTTCTATGTAAAGGCATTTTTTAATTATTATTTCTGAGAAAAAAAATGTAAAACTGACTTGATGGATAAAACTTTATATGAATTATCATTGTCAACAAGATATTGTAATATATATTTTATTCATCGCAAACTACGTTCTTGTTATTTAAAACTTTTATGAAACAGTCTTTCAATCCAGCGTTCAATAAAAAATAAAATTTATTAGATAAAACGTAATATAATTACACTAATGGTTGAACTCTGTTATTTCATCTTACCATAGTTGTTTGACTTTGCTAAAATCAGAATCATTTTCATATACAACAGATAGTTCATGAATTGTAAAGTCAATATCCTATCTATAAAGTAATAATTTAATAAAAATTTATTGAAAAAGCACAGCAAATAATTAAACATATCGAACTGGTATGTGATTTTTTTCTGAGTAGCAAAGAATTTCTCAACAATAAAGATAGAATAATATTTGGTATGTTGCAGAGAGTGACATTAAAATAGTTAATTCACTGGAAAATTTTGCAAAAAAAATAGCTTAAAATTTTAACAAATTATTTAAGAAATTATCTATTTTCTAAATATAAAATAACAGATTTACATCGGTCACGTGGAAACTATTACTTGCGTGATCAATATTGTTCTCCGATTTCGATTCCATTAAAATTTCCTTTGTCAACAAATCAATCATCTTACGATACAATACGACTCAAATCGACTACGATAGTAGTCGTTTTAATATGTGTTACTCATATCATTTGAAAAACTACTTTACAATATGCTCAAACTTAGTTGAGACTCATCTGTTGTTGAGTGACTAGTTGTCCGTTTATAATCTAACTGCCCCAACTCGTTACAAATAGTATCTTGATTTGATAAATTCAAATTGAATTCACAAAGAAGTCTCTTTTACACTTTATCAAGTTTCAGAAAAAATCAACGGCTTCACAGCAATCCTCAGTTATACTGTTACCGTCATAATCAGAACGTCGTCTCGAGAATGTCGAGAAAAATACTGCATTCACCTGTTGCTCCAAACGCTAAATTTCTTGTGTCAATTCTAACAATGTAGATGCCGAACGTTTTATGGATTTCAAATGACGCGCTTTCAAATTATATTTATTTGGATTATCTCTTGTCGATGCGTATTGTTGACAAACTTTTACAAAACAGCTGTATATCTTTTCATAACTCTTTGATTTACGGTTCCTTATTTTTTGTTTTTATCGCAACACCATTATTTTGTACGTAAACAATGTTTCTCCTTTTTCCTTGATTTGTTTTCTCACTAGATTGCTTATCAGGAACTTCAATCTACTGAAGATGATGCAACGATTGACAAATCCTTTTTGTTTAAAAAGAGTAACTTACCTTGTCAACCGCTGTCGACCACCACTCTTTTGCGTTTCTTGATTTTCTCAATTTGAAAATCTGCCAAAGATATATCAATCGAGATGATTAATTACTTATATTGCTTGGAAGAGAGCGCAATCACAACAAAGATCAATTAGAAGGATATACAGAGCAAACTTAAACTCTCGCACATCACAGAGTAACAAAGTAACGCAGTGTCAGTTAGGCTATTCTTATTGAAATTGCGATGTATGAAATTTCGGTATTGGGGAAAGGAATAGTACAGAGATAACCATTTGCGCTTTGATTCTGCACGCTCATGTTTGTATCTATGAAATCGCCAAGCGTGCTTAAAGTGCTGCTTGCATGCCATTCCAAATTATTTGTTGATGCGGATGATCTGCCCTTGAAGAGTGATAAGTATAGATTTATCAGTAGCCTTGGTATTACTTGTTCTTTATTATTTAGCTCCCGAAACTTGCTAAAGCGTATCAATAAGCTCATCAGCCAAATTACAGCATGTCAAGTGCGATGCCTACGCTCTTTCTTGAACTAGCCAATGGCAATTGTTAAAGATTCTTTGCTGTCGATATCTATACTGTACGAACATTAAAAAGCCTTATTGTTAATCGATAAAAAGAGCATTTGTTCAATATGTAGAGCAAGACTCAATAAATAACTTTGTTTTCTCGATTTTTAAAAGTATCAAATAGGATAAAAATTATTATCATCCAGAATTAGTGAAAAACTTCGTTTTCAATCTTCGAAAATTTATACTTAACTATATTAAGCTATGCACTTAACTAAAAATTTAAAAAGAACTGTTCGTCATTAAATTTATTACATTATCTGAAAAAAATTTCAGATTGAAAATAACTATTTTTTCATATGCTTTGCAAACAATTGTATTCCAAACAAATTTTTAAGCAAAATACAGAAATCATATAAAATAGAGTATTTCTAGCCTGGAAACTTTGAATTGCCTACGAGAAGATACAAGTGAATAGCGACCTCGTCCGATTTCCAGTACTCAGTGCACCTTTTCGCGACACTGGCTATTCCTTCAAAGGCGCACTCTAAATTGTTCTGTGACTGATGAGAAAAGCAGATCGAGTTACTAGTCATAGTCTATGGTTTGAACAACATTTACAGTCATCAAGCTACCTCGCAAGTCGCGGAACAATAATCTGTATATAAATTTATATATTACAAATAATTATAATTATTTATAAATTTGGTTATAATAGTGAGAATAAAAATAGTTACCATGTTATTACAATCAACGTGTCTTTTTCCTCCTGGCTTATTCATGATCACCTCATATGTTCATTGGAGTTGAGCCTATTCTATGTACTACGTACTCTATACTTCCTCAAAAATTTCTCTAGTGTAACTCAGCTCGAATTCGAGCACAAGATTTTACTTAATTTTTCTAAGTATCAACTATTACTACTATTTCACACGTATTTTCGATACTGGTACTCTCATTACAACCTTTGAGTGACAGTAAATACCTCCAAGAAAATACAGTTATGAATTCATCTTTTAATTTTTAATGTTGAATTCCTGCATAAAGTTCAATAATGTAAAATTTGAGCGTTTCTCAATTTTAGGACCATTACGTTCAAATGCTCATCAACGTTTCACTTATATTTATTCATTTCTTCTCTTGCTTCATGTTTTTATTCTAGAAATATCCATTCACATTTATTATCATACCAGATCAATTAATTGTATATATTACGTCTACTTTTTTCTATATGAAGTTCGATTGAAGATATCCTATTCTTTTTTAGGTTTTTCGTATACGTGGATTATTAATAATTGTTTACTTTGCCGCGAGAAAAGCATATCGCATCTACGCAGAGTGCGTAAGTGTAAATATTTGTATATATACAACTTATAAAACTACTACAATCACCCACCATATAAAACCATGTATTGATAATTTGAGAGGTAAAAATTATAGGAAGAAATTTTTACAGCTAACTTAAAAAATTTATTCACGACAATAATTTTTCTTTAAATTCACTATACTTGCAACAATTATTTGTACAATTTTATGATTTGTATGTAATAGAAAAGCCTAACAATAAGTCTTAAAAATAATCCTCTGGTCGATGAAAAAAATATCAATTAACAAACGTTTATAAGAAGCGTATCAAAATTGAGCTAATAATAGAATACAAATGACTCTATCGTGTATTAAGACTGCGATTTTTAATTTTTGACAAATTGACAACCGACTTCTTTTGTGAACACATGTCAATTACTGCGTTTATTCTACTCATAGTAATAAATGATATGTAATAAGTTTACAAAATAAAAATAAAAATATACTAATAAAAGTTATTAAGATGACTTTGTAATAAATCTAATATAATAAAATGTAAGGATCAACCACTTACAATTTTTGCAATTTAAAATAAACAGTATTGTATAAGTAAATAGGTAAATAGAACCATATCTATAATAACATTTACTAAATTTTTCTTCAAGCACATATCATTTAAACGATATATTCGGAATACTATGTTCCGCGCTTTGATCATGTTCAACCTGTATCGCATCCGAAGAAAGGCTATCAAGAGTGGATATGGTACCACTGGAATTGGTCTCCGAGTTTTCTTCTAGCAATCTATTTGGGGTCGACGTTCTACCCTTGACAAGCACAGATTTATCAGTGCTTTTGTTTGCATGCTTTATTGATATCGAAGACACATCGCTGACCTCCGGAAAAACGTGCATAGTGCTCTCGTGGTGAGACGACTTTTTCAAGGGTGAAACGAGTCTTGCTGCAACAGTATTTATGGGCGTGACATCGGAACTAGATGAAGAACCTAAAGCGCTAGCTTCGCGAGTTTTCTTCAACGTTGCAAGTGCCCAATTTAGACCAAGTTTTTTCAAGCCCTTCTCCAAATCTTCCGGCGAGGTTGGACGTTTCAACATGTTCAAATCCGACGAAGGAGTGGTCGAGATTTCAGAAACACCTGAAACGTTGGATAAACTTCTCGAGCTTACCGACGACAATTGACTTTTGCCACTATTTTTACAGTCGTTTGGACTATCTTTTTGCACCGGTGATACAGACTTGGACTTGACTTCTTCGTAAATTTCACTAATCATCAGGTCATCTATCTCTTCATCGGGTATCGAGGGCAATTCCGAAATTTGACTAACTCTTAAATAGTTACCGTCGCCATTATCCTGGCTCTGCTGTAGTTCTTCGATATGAACATCCGGCAACGTATGTAACGAGTCAGAGGATTCGCCCTTTTTTGGTCCACTCGTTGATAGCCTTATCTTCTCGAGCGATGTTTCTATTGACTTGTACGGTGATTTTTCTACACTTTTCGATGCCGATTTGTTGGAAGTATTGAGGGATTGAGGTGAACGATGTGGAGGTAGTGGGGCTACGTGTACAGACGGTTTATTTTTGCTTAATTTCACTTCTACTCTCTTTGTTGACGAGGGTGATCCAGAGGTGATTGCTTCATCGGTTGATAACCTTTTACGACATTTAATTGCAGAACTTCTCGTGCTTACCTGACTTTTGTTTACTGTATCTGGGGTATCGAACTCGACAATCGTAGATAATTCGTGCACTGGAGACACTATTTCTGACCTGAAAAGGATATGATTGAAATGCGTGATAATTGATAATTAAAAATAAATATTAACTGTATTTCGTGAATCGTACCTGTATGGTCCACTAATTAATGTGACAGGTGGTCGTGCTCTGCCTCCGTTATTCGATGAATTTTTCCGCGACATTTTCGGTATTCCAGCAAGTAAAGGTACGTACTCTGGATTGCTCATCTGTAGAAGAGATTTACTTTAATTACGAAGTTTTTTCCTCTAATTTAAATAATCAATAAGTGCAATGTTAAAAATTATGCATGCCTCTAAACTGTCAAATCGATTATCGTCATGATTATCCGTAGAAGCCGCAACAGCAGTAGGAGCATTCTTAGTCGTTTCATCGTCGTGCTTCACCGGCGCTTGACTTGATTTCAAAAGATCATCATCAGAATCTTTTGATTTATCAACTGGTAGTACAGATTTATTAATGCTTTTACTTTGCTCAAGGATTTCCTTGGATAACTGCTCAACCATCTGGTCCTCGTTCTGTTGATGTTCAGCAGTTACCTCGGTGCTCGTACTCTTAGTATCCTGCGACATTCGGAATCGATCGATTCTGAAGTTCACTTGCTCACTGTTCAAAATTTTTGGTTTGCTCTTTTCGATTGGCGACTGCTGTTGCGGTAGCTGCTGAGTGGCCGCCGTGGCAGAACTTTTTGTTTTTTCCGTGCTTACCTCGAGACTATCGTTCGTCAAAGTATCCTTCGACCAGTCGAGCGACGGTGATTTCTCTCTGGCAGCAACGGTAACTGCGAGAGGTGGTGATTTTGAAGAATCGAAAATTTTCTGCGAAATTATTTTTTGAGATTCTACGAGAGTTTGTTTTAATTGTGCGTGTATCGACTCGATGCTCTTCACCACTTGATTGATGTTTATACTTGTTGCTGTGGACGGACCGCTAGGAATCGTTTGAGTTCGAGCCATCGTATTGGAATCGCCGGTGGAGGTTTCGATGGATAAATCCACGCCTGAAAAAATCGATTATTGTAAATGGTATCGATTTAAGAATATATTGGACAGAAAAGAAACAACGATTAAAATCTTAGACTCTAAATGAATGAGGAAATCAATCAAACAAAATTCAAAAATAGCCAACCTCTCTGCTCATTCCGTACTTTTTCGATCAAATCAGTAAGCGAAGCAATTCTTTGAGTGCAATCCTGTTGCAAGCTCTCATACTTCCTTAGAATTTGCGGGCAATGCTTGAGCGTGTACTGATTAACATCTTCAAATTTATCGTGAAAAAGTCTGCAGCCAGGATCTCGACAATTGCATGTTCTAGGCCTTTCCATCGTTGATTTTCTAGCAGTCGTCTGCGTGGTACCTTTAATCTGCGTTTGTGTAGTATTCGATTTCGTCTGCGTTTGCTTAGCACCCGATTTTGTCTGTTTTTTTGTATCAGTCTGTGCGTGAATCAGAGACATAAACTTCGTCAAGTTTTTATTAACTTTATTATTTCTAACTTTCATATTAGAAGGTATTATCATAGTACGATGTGAGGGGGTCTCTGGTGATGAGACCGGACTCACTTCTTGTGCCCTTCGTCTCAATTCCGCTGGATCTAGCTCAAACAGTTCGAGGATCATAGCTCTCGTGTCATTGACATCATCGATAAAGGCTCCAGGAGTCGTAGTCGGCGGACTGATGTAAGTTGTTGATGCGTCCGAGGTGTCCTGCAACTTCGTGACGATACGTTGTGACGTCATATACCTGCTGTAGAACGAATGATTGGCTATGGTTGAACTCGACGACGAATTAATCGAGGTACTTGAGTCTATTGACACTTGTGTGAATTGTTCGCGATACCTGTGCTCCTCGAAAGATTTTGCCTGGCGGGAGGATAGTTGAGGTTTCTTTGGACTCGAGTGGTGAGATGGTGGGGCTGACTTAGACAATTTTTTGGATGGAGAAGTTATACGACTACCAGGTAAAGAACGCGTTGTTTGGCCAGAAATTATAGGAGATTCTCGCTTGGATGGTACTGCTAGAAGCTGTTTTTTTTTCTTAGGTAATACGGTGATTTCTTTCTTTTCCGGATCGATTGCAACCTCGATGGCAGCACCTTCCTTCTGCTCAAAAGTTATTTTCACCGGCGTCTTGGTAGACGCGTGACGAACGTTTTTAGTAGATTTCGCAGACATCATGGAACTGCTTTTCGAGAGCTTTACATTGCTTTTCTTCTGTTTAGAAACTAGCGTAACTTCCTTCTTAGTGACGTCTATCACCACATCCGTGGAGACAGAAGAGTTGCTGCTGCACATGCTTGTACTGCTATCAACGTTTGCTTGCGTGACGATTTTCACCAACGGATCTATGGGATGAGGTGTTTTTTCTTTCTGTTTCTCCTTCTCCATTTCTACCTGTATCTCTTGATCACGAGTAGTCGTAGTCATCGTGCTACTAGATGTTTTAGGAGTAGGTTTAGGGAGTGGTGGCCTGCTTATAAATTTCTTACACTGCGAAGCTACAATTTTATTCGCGAATTTGATGTTTTCATCGCTAGACATATTAATTACTTGAATTTCTGGTGGTGCTGGCGGATTTAATTTCGGTGTTACATGGGAAACTCTGTTGTGACTCGTTGACGTCGTCAATTGATTAGCGTTGTTGTTAAATAAAGATCGTAGGCTAGCATTAAATACATCGTCAGGTAAATTTGGCCCATATTCTTGTAATAACTGTCGCTTCAACTGTTCGATCTTGATTAAGAGTTCAGAAATTTTTCGCTTGCGTATGTACTCGTCATCTTCTTCGGAGCAACTAACTTCATACTCTTGCTCATCTATGCATGGAGGCTCTCGCCACTCATTCGCTGAGGTTGATTTACAATGCATGTAATTTCGAGGTGTAATGGTTATAGGCCTTTCTATTAGAGTTTCATTCGTGGCTGGATCTCGTGAATTTCTTAGTATGCTTTCGAATACTCGATCCATCTTTTTCTGTCGCCTCGTGAGGTTTTCACTGTTTTTAGATGGAGCCGTCATCTGTCGATTCTGAAAAATGTAAAACCTCAAATTAATAAAATATAGATAAATTTTTTTCCTTTTTTGATTTTAGTTGTTTACCGAGGCTACTTGATTTACTTTTAAGGTTCTTTCCTCTTTAGACAGCAAATCAAGATTTTTTACAAGTGCTTGATAATCTCTTTTAACTTTTTCTCTGAGGATAGCATCATGAGTTTGTTTTTTCGATTGCTCTTTCTGACTTGCCATCAATGATGATTCTTTATTTTCCAATTCGATAACTTCTTGCGCTAAATCTTGAGCATTTGGCTATTACGGAATAAATATAAGATTATTATACAAAAACAATCAGTAAGCGTTTAAAAACATAATTCATTCGTTCTTACCACGTTCTTAACGTTAATTCTTTCAACTAATCCAGGGGGCCTCTCATATTCTTTTCTCTGTCGGGTTTTATGATCATACATACTGATTTTACTTGAAGCTGGAGATGTAGGATGTCTTGGAGTTTTCTTCACTGATTTAGCGTTATCGGAAAAATATGACGAATCATCGCTGATAGTTGAAGAAGATGTAGAAGTGCTAGATAAATCAGAAAAGCTTTTTTGGTAACGCTTCGCGCTATGCTTTTCTATATTTTCTGATTTCTTAGGAACAGAACTTGTAACAGGAACTGTTTTACGAGGTTCATTTTCATCAGATTCGAACATACTTCCTTTATGTACTTGCTCATATGTATCTAAAACGTTTTTAGAATCATTAAACGGTTTAACAGGACTACATATTTTACTGGGATTTGTACAGGCATTTTCTTCAGTTAGTGTTCTATCTAAATCATCATGATTATTGTCATCATTGTTTTCTTCAACAGATGCTGATACGTGAGGTATTTTTGTTTGAGTTGAACAAACCTGTTATGTTTATAATTATAATGTTTATAACTTGCAAGGTTTCAATAAATTTAATCATGAAATATCTACCTTAACAAGTTTTGGAGTTTTCATAATAGGTGACTTTTTTGAAACAACAGACTTTACTTTTTTTCTTGTGGATATGGATGGTTGTTTACTATCTGCCAACTCAAATGGTTTGATATTTGTTGTACATGACTTATTAGGAATATGGGATACTAAACAAGAACGCTCATTTTCAAACTCTCTAACTTTCCGTAACCTATCTTGCTGTTTACTATGTGAACTTACAACCTGCAAAAGATATTATTAATTTGAAAAGTATTTGTTTAGCAACTAAAATTAATAATTGAAATATACCTTTTTAGATTCCTCTAGCCTTTGCATTGCATGTGTACCCCTTGCTTTAGCTAATACTCTATTCCGTTTCTGTTCTTCCAATCTAATAGTTTCTATATCAGGTTGTATAGCAGCATTTTTATGAGCTAATCCTATGTTTTCTATGTCTTGGTATCTACGATGAAATTCCATCATTCTTTTGTCATGTGCTTTTCTCATTTCTGTATTTTCATCTCGCTCCAAACGATCAAGTTGGTCTTTTTTTGCCTGTCTAGCACGTTCCAAAACTGTTTTGGAAATAGCTCTCGACTGTTCTTGAACCTTATTTTAGAAATAATTGAAGTTTATTACAGAACACATAAGCTAAATAATTAAATTTATGACATTTGATCTCGAATCAGATTAGGTCATATAAATTATGATTATTATAAAATCCAAATATTGTGAAATGGCAAAATATACGAGACATCAAAAATTTATACAGATTATGGGATAATTTTACGTATCCTCTACTAAATAAAAGAAAAAGAAGAAATGTTTATACTAACTTGTTCCAGCCGTAACCTCTTTCGGTGCTCTCTCTCACATTTCTTAAGATTTTCAAGATCCGATAAAACCATCTTGCCCCTACGTATACTAATTGGATTACCATTAACCGTAACATTAATTGACATTGCAGCTATGCAAAACAAACTATAAAGCTAATAAAAAAGCTCATTTGGAAGATAAGCAACAAGATGTAAACATTCAACTCGAATTCAAGAGAGTCAACGGCCATTGGAAATGTCGGCCAATCAGTTTCGCGGCCTCTGCCGCAGCCATTTTTCAAAATAATAAATCGGGTATTGGTCAGTCAGCATCACGTGATCGATCGTGGGAAACGCGCGCGCTCTGTGACTGTGATTACGTGATATGCGCTCCAATTTAAAATGTTTTGAAGATCTAATAATCGATGAGCTTCACTAATTGCTGTTGTAGTAATCAATGATAGATGAAACTTGCTTTAAAAAACCATGCTGACTGAAACGATCATTTTAATTAAAATTAAACGGTATAGATGCCAGATACAATGGGAAATAGATATAGTTCCATTATGTCCGACCTTGTCGTTTCATGACTGTAATGACTCTTCAGTTTGAAAAGCAATATATCACACTTTTTCGAGTACACGCAAATATGCATATATTGTATTCACCCATGATAATGTTTCGGCATTATATTTAATAATGTATTAAAATTTGAGCGTCATTTGACTTCTTTTGTACTTCGTACGAGCAGCAGCGCTTAGCATTTTTTCCGTACGTGTTTCCATACTTTTTTTCTTATAAATGTTTTAATCTCATTATCCAGCATTTATCCATCATCGTTCAAAAACAAACGAAAACCAACGATGAAACGATGATGTTTGTTAAACGATGGTATAAGGTCTTTTACATTAAGATTCTTAAAACGAATTTTTTCAAATATGCATGAATCTTTAACTAACTATGAAGAAATATAGCTGATTTTAAAGATACAAAAATAACAAACATTTTCCGAATTTTTGGACGGAAGCTTAGCATATAAACCACTTTCTGAAAGTCATAAATAACTGAAACTGTTCTGCATACTTGTCAACTTGTTGGGGGTCCGCTAATAAGCAGATCTAAAGTAATACTGCACAAGAACGGAAATGACCGCTAAATACAGAAACACAACGGACTTTGCGGATGCGATCTATTTCGGGTGATTTTTGCAGAATAATAATAATTCGGAGGCACCGTATGTAAGTGAATGTGGGCGTTCTCGATGTGTGGAGAGGCGGCGTCTGGCCAAGTGAAACGGCCGTTCATTAACAAAGCAGCATCGCCGTCGTGTGCAAAACTGCGCGTATGACTCATCGCAATATTTCCGATGAGCTTTTATCGAGCGTGCAACAATGATTACGAAAATCCTCTCGGCTTGCTAACAGCCCCTAAAGAACCGTTAGACATTTATTATTCCCTTAAAGATGATTAACGAGCGCAGAAAACCTGAGCGATTATCTGGATTTATGAATCTGCGCGGCTTAACAAACCTCCTGCCACGTGCTAGTATATGCATTATTTGTCATTTGTTCGTAGTCGCTGCGCAACTCGTGAATCTTAATTAGCTGCAACTTCAGGCTGAATTTTCTTTTTTCCTTCGCTTTTCTTTCCAATAGCTGTATTTTTAGACGAGTATAGTTCGTAATAACGGCATGAACGAACTTGCACGAGTGAAAATAACTTTCCCGCCTAGAATGCTGTGCGAGAAATTTCCCAACGTCGTTTGCACTACTAATGATTAGTACGGATTTGTAGCAATGCTCATTTCCAATAAATTTCCTTAATAAATGTCAACATTTATTTGCGGACGGTAACATGCGACAACTAGGATAAATAAATCATCGGAATTTATATATAGCTGTATGTATGTACATTTGGTGCGCTTAATGGGTCCAGTAATAGAGATATCATTTCGAGCTTCATTTTGCTCAATTGATCAGATTTATTGACCGAACGTGTAAATTCCTTGCTATCCGCCGTATATGATGCACTTTATTGCTGTCAAGAGTCATCCAACGTTCTAACATAGTTGAGCGTGAAATCTGAACATAAATTAACCGACTTGCAGACTAACGTAAATTTGTATCTGAACATCAATGAACATGAACGTACTTAATAAATATCGAAAAAATCAGCTATTTATCAATGTGCAACGCGAATAATTGGTAACGAGTGGGAAATTTTAGACAAAGGCTATTTTGAAGAGCGAGTTAATTGGGCGAAAATAGAGTAAGTGGATAACGTCTTTGTGAAAATGAGATCGGTAAGACATATCTGCGACAAACGCGTGCCATGGCGCAGATCTCTTCAGTTTCTTTTGCCATGCGCTAAGTCGGCCAAACTATAACGTTTCATCAAAAAAGCCTGTCCGTATTTTAAAACAAACATACTATAGTTTTCGACTATACGCGTATAATAAGCATTTTCATTCAATTTTAATGTCATATTTAGCGCTTAGAATATTGCAATTTTGACGTCTTTCTTTCAGAGACATCCTGTTGGCCATGAGTGAATTTTATAATAGTACGTAATTTTTAAGTGAACTTAATTATTAATTTGGTTGTTTTGTCTTTGTAAATGTACTGATGACATGTAATTAAAATGCATCAATCCATCTTGCATTAAATTAAATATTCGCGCTCGGCGTTTCTGATATGGTTTTCATTACTCATCAATTAATACTTGGCCGCATAACTATTTTGACATTATTCAGGCATAATAATAGTTCATTCTAAAAATACCCAATTGGAAATGGACAATTTCTGTCATCAAAGATTGCCAGTATGCGCCTTAAATTATTGATTTACAAGTCAATAGAAATTTGATAGAAAACTATCGTAATTCAATATTTATCATGCAATGAATGCATACGCAGAAATTGTTGGTCAAAGTGAAAAAATTAAGTTTTCTTAAAATAAATCTGGCGAAGAAATGAAAAGTTACGTAGCGAGCTATAAAATTTATCGTCACAGCAAAAGAAGAACCATATTATTATTTTATGATTGAGGTCAGAGTCTATTTGCTATGTTCAATATTTTAATCTTTTAACGTATTTTAAATAGCAAAATTTACCCACAAATTTTTCCTTTGATTAATAATATTAGTACTACGATCAAAATGATTCTAAATCGCTCAATGTTAAATTTAAAAACAGAGAACAGCTTAACGCAGCGTGCGCTACACTGTTCTCGTCTCCGACTTCCAAGTTTGAGGAAATTAATAAGATTTAACAATGATCCTGGAAAGAGGAATTGAACGCTGACTAGACCCATGTTTTTTGATTTTTTCATATAAATGGCCAAAAGATCCACCATATCTGCGCGAGACAAGCGCAAATTACCTGGAGAAAGCTCTGAAAAGACAAGAGGAAGTCTCTCGGCTCTTTGAAAAAAGCACTGTCTGTAGTTGGCATGCCCATTACAGAGCTCATCGAAACGACGCGATCGCCGCTTTCAGAGAGATTCGTCATTTTATAAAAGTCGAAAACCACTATAATAAAAGGGGAAATAAGAGTCGCGCGTGGGACGGTGGGAGGGGGGGAGGGCAGTGGGGTGGCAGTAACGAGTCGTGCCTCAGCGGCCACCACTTGGCACGCATTCTCGTCTGGCGTATTCTGGCGAGCGTGGCTTTTTTCCGACGGAACACGCGCGGCAGCGGCGTCGCATCCAGCCGCCCGTGAAATAACCGCACGTATCTTTGTTTGTCGCGCGCGAAGGATGAGCGCCGATCACTTATTTTCGGTCGCAGCGCGCGTTCGCAGACATTGTCGTCGAATCGGCAATTATCAGAGCGACGAGCAAGGCCCAAAAGCGCAGTCGGCCTTGGGTGTATCTCTCGCCAAGCCCGCGAATATCCTGTTTTCGCTCGCGCGCACTTGATCAATTTGGCAGCTAGCCGCTGCACACCACCGTCGCCTGACTCTAAACGTTTTCATTATTTTCGATGTCTCGCGCTTTTGACGCGGTTAATGCGACTGTTACTGATTGTCGCGGGCTATATGCGTTTTGCTTGTAATTTATCTTACGCTACGCGGCTTATTCCTCGCGAGCCTCGCTGCGCAAACCTATTTTTGCCGATAGACATGTGAGTGACACAAATAGTTTTTGTAGTTGTGGATATTATGTATTTTGAAGGAGCCTTGAAACGCATCCGCGCTGCCTGTCTGTCACCGCCGTAAATGATCCGTCGGAAAAATGCTTATAATCGCTTGCTGTAACCCAGAAGATTCCACAAGTCCTTTTCCTTGTGGGCCATTTTAATGTTGTGATTTTGAAGAATCGCGTCGGTGACGGCGAGGATCGGGCTCCGTTACGAAAAATCTTGGATGTACGAATAGAGGATGCAACGGAACGAATCGCCCACTAAATACAGCTAAATAAGAAGGGGCGGCAACGTGAGCTTGGTTGGCAGAGCAGCCTGTCGGCCAATCCTGCGGGCAGCCACGAGGAAAGGAAGTGCTCCAGCAAGCGCTGCCTGCGACAATGTGATTTCGGCGTATCGTCGGGCTCTCGCTGCACCGGTGTCGGCTATAAGTACGGACCAAACGAACGAGGCCAGTTATCGAGTGGACGATAACGTTGATGAATCTTGGCTTGGCGCACCAGCGCGAGCTTTTGCCGCGAGCGAGGGCGTGTATCACTTTTCCGCGCGCCTGTGCCGCGCACAGGAGAGGGAGGTAGTTCAAAACTAACTATTTTTGCCGAGTTTGCGCCGCAATTTCTAGCTGGTTTTGCAAACAGCGCACGCAGTACGACCGCTCCGCCGTATCTTTTTATACGGGGCCGAACAGCCACGAAGCTCCTCAGGTGTCCGCTGCTCGTCGTCGCGCCGATTACTATCATTCAGAATGGTGAGCGAAACTGTTAACGCTGCCTGCTTCTCATTTATCTCCTCTCTTTATCTCTTCTTTTCTTTGTGCCTCGGTACCTTCCAACTACTTCGCCAGGCTTCGTGTCTTTTCATATTTCGTCTGAGCGCTTCAATTGCCTACTGACACGTACACTGCTGAGCATCACATTCTCTTCATCAACGTTTGACATTTGTTGCCTACTAATTAATCCAAAGAGACACTCGCCTAATCGCCGCAAATAACAGATTAACGAAACAGTCGAACGAACCGAACAAAGAGGAAGCTCAGTGTGGAACGTTGCAATCGATAGGGAAACATTTAACAAGTGATGAGTGGCCATTGTTGCTGCTCTACCTTGTGGCACGCGAGACGCCATCCAAGAGCATGATCCTACTGACAATCATGATCTTGTTCATAATCTACACGCTGCTGTATTACACCTGAACAAAAAGCACACAACTCCGAGCATTTGAAAGTGACAAAAAAGACAAAAAGCGAATAATGCTGATAACCAGGAGGAAGACGAGCAGAAGATGGCGGTGATGCGCAAGGCATTCCAAATGTTTGACACGACCAAGTCGGGCTTCATTGACACCCTCAAGATCTCCACAATCTTGAATACGATGGGTCAATTGTTCGACGATGCCGAGCTCAACAGCATAATCGAGGAAAATGACCCGGAAGGCACTGGCAAGGTGAATTTCGACGGTTTCTGCCGAATCGCCGGCAGATTCCTCGAGGAAGAAGACTCCGAAGCCATGCAGGAGGAGCTGAAGGAAGCTTTCAGATTGTACGATCGCGAGGGCAACGGCTACATCACCACTGCCACCCTCAAGGAAATTCTCGCTGCCCTCGATGACAAATTGACCAATACCGACCTCGACGGCATCATTGCTGAGATTGATACAGACGGTTCTGGCACCGTGGATTTTGACGGTTGGTATTTTTCGTGCACCAGTGAGAAAGCATACGAAGGCTCCGTGAAATACTTGACGAGATCGTAAGTCATCCGTGAAAATAACTGCCACAGGCATTTTCGAGAGCCGCACCGCGGCCTTTTGACCTCGAACTAGTCTCTTTCTCGCGAGTATTATTTTTGTCGATGGCTTTTTTCAAGATACTCCTCAGAACGTAACTTATTTTACAAAAATAAATACGTTATGTAATGTCTCTGTGTGTTTCTGTGGCTTACGAGTTACGTATTTTACTTTTAGTCTGTCATGCACCAATTTAACTGTCGTGGCACATTTCTGTTGATTTTGCTTCGCGTCTCTTTCATCGTTCATTGTGCAATGGCTACACTCGGGTTTCGGTAGTTTTCTCTAGATTTTCACTTCACTTTTATTCGATTACGTTTTGTCAACGCTAATAGTTATTATTATTTTTAGACTTGCCGTTTTTATCGATTACTGTCACTGCGATACAGTTATTTGTCATAAATTGTTTTAAGGAATGGATATAGACTTGAAGGGTATAACTCTTCAAACGATTTGCAAGTCTGAGGCAAAATCTTCAAAAGTTCAGCACAAATTCATAGAATTTATGTGTACGCAATGAACTCCAAAAATTGAGACAATACAAAAACTCAAATTAATCCTGAGCGTTGAGTCAAGCCCAATCGATACTAAATTCAAAACTATATTATTTTGATAAAACATTTGTAAAATAACGTACTAATTTTGCTTAACTCGGAAACTTTTCCAACGGACTTGCATAAATAAATATCAAAAATGTATTCGTATGATTTGCAGAGTTCATGGAGATGATGACTGGTGAATAGAAGATCTTGAGAACATCAATGAAAAAATGTATGTTCGTCAACTGAAAATCGAAGCGAATATCTGCGATACTTCTTTTGTGACTCAAAAATAAGTATCTAAATGTTACCACGCAAGGAACAAAATTATTTTTCTATCGTCAATCGTATAGACAGTTTTAAAAAATCTGTTTTTTTTTTAACATCTCTATAAAAAATAACCGTATTACCTTAGTAATAAAGAAAAGAAAAGCAATTTTTTCAATAAAAATAAGTATTATAATGATATATAAATAAAATCCCCGGCTGATATTCATCATAAATGAAGTACGTGTAGGACGTGTATGTGTAAATATATTTAACACCGAAATTGTACGCTCAAACGAATTTATTTGATTTTGCTTAAACAACGTCGACACGTTATCGTTGACGTAGAAAAACAACAGGCGTAATAACGATGCATTCAGTCGCAAACGCAATCAAGAGTCGCAGTCAGTCGTCTCCCAAGCGTTTCACAAATAAAAAAGAGAAAAACGAAACATTAGAAAACATGAAGAAAGATACGATTTATAAGATCTTATGGCTAATTAGTACTCTGGAATGTACTCTTCCTGATGGTAGACAACTACATCCTTGACGTATATGTTCTTAACGTAGAAGGCACTGTCGGCGATAGGCCTGTCGAGAGGGAAGCCGAGTGGCTTATTGTCAAGAGAAACAACACCGCCGACTACGTCACCGATAGGCTTGTTCTCGTAGTATTGGTGGAGGTATTCGTCGTGTCCCTTCCATGTTGGGTACATGCCGGTTGGGTAAGTGCTGTGGTACTCGGTCACTCCCGGGTAATGTCCACTTCCTGAATACCCGTGTCCTTGGTACATGCCTTGTTTGTACATGGTTTGGTAGTACATGCCACCTTCTGGTTGCTGAAGCTTCTGTTGGTAAACGTATGGCTTCTTCATTTTGTACTCCTCACCGTAAACATGGTGTTCTGGGTGTTCTGGGTAGTGTTGACCAACGCCTTGTTGTCCTTGGTAGTGTTGACCTACAATCTGATGTTCAGGTACGTGGTGCTCTTGGTAATGGTGTTCTGGCACGTGGTGTTCAGACACGTGGTGTTCTCCTACATGATGTTCTGGGTAATGCTGGTCACCATGATGTTTCATGTAATGGGTTTGTTGCCAATGTGGGTAGTAATAGCTTCCAGGGTACTTCTTGTACAGGTAGCCCCAGTGGAAGTTACCTGAAAGTCAAAGAAAAAACAACATTTATATCATTGAACATTTTTCCTAATTTGACTAATAATTTAGTGGACTTTTCGAAAACGTACCTTCAGTAATGATTTGAGCATCGTACTCAGGGATGACGTCTACCATTTGGTAGTTACGATGGATCTTGTCGATTGGTTGTCTGGTGAATTGTTCGTAATCTTCATGGTCTATAACTTGGTAGTGTTGAGGTTGATACGTCTGCCACATTTCCTCGGTAACTGGTCCGTAGTGCTCAGGTTGATGATGAACTCCGGCAGTGATGACAACGAAGATTTGAAGTGGGAATCCATCCTTGGTTCCCTTGGGGAGAGCTAACCTAGCTGGCATACCGTACAATTGTTGAGGCTACAAATAAATAACAGAGTATTTATTTAATGAAAAATATTTAACGAATTTTCTCATAAAATAAACAATATTTTTTACCCAAACCATGTTGTATGGATGTTGTGAGTGAATAGCAGCATCTACGTGGTTTTTGATTTGGAGGATTGATGGCCAGTCATAGCTCTGTCCAGTAGCCTGGTGAGAATTCCTGACGATGACATTGCGCCCCTCGTTGACTAACGAGATACAATATCATTACAATACATTCAATAAATATACATATATTCTCTTAAAATATCTTACGGTCGTAAACAAATTGGTCAAGTTCGTAGAAATAGTGTCTGTGTTCGCTGAGATCAATTGGCAAACCGTCGTAGTTATATTTAGGTCCTACATAGACGCGAACAACGGCGCCTGGAATAACCTTCGCGGAATTTACGTGGATAATGTATTCATAAGGTTTGTGGTCAAGCCTCTTCAGGTGAGCTTTGACATGTGGGTAGGGCTGTTTCTCCTGGTGATATGTAACAGGTTGAGGGACAGCATTGTCAAGAAGAACTTCGTAGTCACTGAAATAGGTGACAAGGTCCCCAACGTCGACTTTCTCAATTTGCACACCCGGTACAACGAGGTCGTTGTATTGGTAAGCTGGTAGAGCTTGCTGGTAATATTGGAAAAATTGGAGGATTTTGGAGTAGAGTTGGTAGAAGATCGGGTCACGAAGGCAAGTGTAGCCGAGCTCAAGAGCCGATGGCTGGTACTCCCAGATGTTATTGAATTCGGGCACGTTGCCGTAGAGTTGCTTGGCAACAGCGGCAAAGTGGCCATAGAACCTTGGGTTGATGCTGTGACCAGTACCCTCGATCAATTCACCGAGAATATTGAGACCTTCTGGTTGGTACAGGGATAAGAATGTACCCTGAGGTGTGACCACATGTCCAAGATCGATGGCGTCGATAATTCTACGCTCCAAGGTGCGGATGATCTTGACGAGCTCATAGTTATGATGATGTGGAGTGATGTAAATATGCTCATCACGGCCCGGTAGGTTGACACTGTTCAAATAGCGAAGGTTGGGTTTGTATGGAGTTTCAATGTGCTCGTAGTAGTAGTCGAGTTCTTTGATGGGTTGGAGACCCTGTCCAAGACGCTCAAGGTTGTAACGGGCCATCAACTGCTGGTGTATGTAGTAGTAGTGGTGACCGTGACCGATCTTGTGGTGATGGCCTTCCTCTTCATGAACGTGAGAGTTCTTTTGAAAAAAAAATAATCGGTAAATCGAAATGAAAAAGTCTATACATACGAAGATACTTACCATGGGGAGAATGTAGCTAGCTAACATCACGTAGGAGTAGTAAGCGTTGAGACCGATATCTTCGGTGAAATAAGCAATTTGATTTTCACCGAAAGGTAAATATGAAGTGTAGTTAACGTGGATGTGATAGTAAGGCTCGTGTTCGATCTTTTGGTAGTCGTATCCAGAACGATGAATCATGTCGTACACTTTTTGAATTATCCTGGTATCGAAGAAGTAGTGCGGAAAGATCTCGTAAACAGGTGGCAGAACGACACCGTGCATGTCATGACGTTGGATAACAGCACTGACAAAAGCCTGTGGACCAGTCAATTCAAAGTAAGATCAAGTCGTTCGATAAAAGGAAACAAAGTTTACCTTGACGAATTGGTCCTGATTAACATGAACGCGAGCCCAGGCAGCGGTATGCAGGAAAGTTTCATAGTCCTTGGCACCGAGGAGGATCTGAACCAAGAGAGCAACTTCCTTGCGAAGTTGACTCACCGACAGTGAGAATGGAGTTCCCTGTGGTTGTACGTGACCGGTCTTGACAAGACCGACATAGTACTTGACAACAGTTGGGTTCTCATAGTGGTCCAGATGGGCTGAGAATTCATAGTTCATTCCAACTTCGTAGAGGTGCTCATGCGGTAGTTGTCCTGCGATGTTCTCCAGCAGGTGAAGCACATCTTGCTGTTTCTTTAGGATAACCTGGTCAGCTGTGAATTGAGCGAGAAGCAGCGATTAGGCCTAAGTTTTAACTAAAGTTCATAACTATTTCTTCGAGAATTATTGTTGTTATTGGTAATAATTAATACTTACCAGCATGGAGTTGTGGAGTTGTGGGTATAGCCGTCGCAACGGCGAATAGCGCCAAGAACACGATGCTTAACCGCATTGTGAGGCAAGTCAAGTGCATACCAACCAATGTTCATCAGAGGCCTTTTATACCAAATTCCTATCACTATCGTTAAGAGACAGCGCATGACCTTTCGATCCGATACGCAACGTATATTTCGACTTTGTAGCATAGCATCACATTGGACTTTTGCGTGTGGAAGATTACTGCAGGTTGATAAACTTTATCTACCTATTGCATCGCTATAATATTCGGACTATTTTCAGAGAAAATATTGATTTTTATAATATTATCTACTTTTTTAAATGTGCAATATAAAAAGTGTTTGATATAGTGCTGATTTTATAGATTCATTGAAGAATTTGATAATAGGGTCTCTCTTATTCGACATCTGAAATTGTATATTGTTGCAACATTAAAAATTTCTTATAATAATTTAATATTATAAACAGTTTTCATTGACAATATCGTATAAGTTCAACTTTTCGTCGCATACTCCGGAGTGATATAAATTTTTCCCGTTATAAAACATGTGGCTCAAAAAAATAATGTTTTCTAGAAATTACACAATTTAATAACGTTTCTTCTAGAAATATTTAATTAACTTACGATAAAATTATTTTTATGATTTAAAATTTTAATTATAAATTTGTGAATAATACTTTTTATTTATTTCTATCGACTTAAGTCTAATATATTATTGTGTATTTGTATGTAATTTATTATTGTGTAAGTGCTATTTTAAGTTATTTTTCATACATAATCTCAAATCCGTTTCACTTCTCCTTCCTTAAAGCCGCACCCTAATCAAATTTTTTTTCGCAAGAAAGAGATAATTTTGATATGGGCTTTCAGACTGCAGGTGATTATAATGCACAGACGGGTTATCATAATGCTGTTTGTTTCACAATATTATTCGTTTATACGCATTTTTATTGTTCAACATTTACTGTTCACTTTCTGACCAAACACTTTTAGCATATATAATTGCCAGAAAAAATCATTATATTTATTTAGCATGTTTTTATGCGCCTTAATATATATAGTAATAATTTTTATTCGGTGCTAAAGATACAAAATTTCGCACATGATAATGATAAAATAATTCCCTTTCAGTTTGTGTATGCAAAATTGTTGTTAATCTTAGTAGTGAATTGTCTTGAATGGTTGCATAGTGTTTAGAACAACTTGAAATATATATTGTATCGTAGTTCAATTTATTCGATCTTTCGAAAATTAATAGATCGCAAAACATAAAAGCTAAAAGCATTTCGTAATAGTTGAGAAAACAATATCATAATATTGGCATCTTAATAACATTCTTCCTTTGATTGTTATTTGTGTTATTTGTGTGTCACTTGCATTCGTTTTGAAGAATGATAAAAGGTTATTCGTAAAATGAGAAATACAGTAAAAGTATTATTTAAATTTATCATTTATAGTAATTATGGTAAGGAACTTGATATAAAACTAAATCAGTTTATACATATTGTATTTCATGCACTTATAGTGGCGGAGGAACAAGTTTTTTATCGAATTTGGTATGATATGTACCATGTTTGATTAATTGAGAAAAAATGGATTAATGTGCAAAATCTCAATTATTTCAAACTCATAAATTTGGTGAATAAGCTGTTATTTTGATGTATACTGTGATCAGTTCATTTTTATCAGAAACCCGCTACTTAGTATATATTATTAAAAAGCTCATATCTGCAAAATATAAAACATCCATATACGATATGTATAAATTGAAACGTTGATATAAGTGCTTTTTTCAGTATAGAACAGAGCGGGACACTTTCACCTTAGCACTAACTGGTCAATTTATTAGTTTAAGTAACGCATACTTCAAAATCAGTTTGCAAAATGCTATTCATGGTTTTATTAGAGCCCTTTTATAGGCACACACATTCAACTTCAACTACAGCTGATAGAAAATTTTTTGACACATGCTCATTTCTGATCTATGATATTGCAAAGATTGAGCCATTAATGTAATTTTTTCGCAGGGAAATACGGAATTCCATAAAAGGAAAAAATTACTCAACTAGCTTTGGAATACTGTGACAGGGATTTGGATCAGTTGACGGACGCTTTGAAGGAGACCGAGAGTTATGGTGCTAGGCAATAATAAGTAAACATTTATATATGTATATATATATATATATATAACTATTTTACTACATTTATTTAATATATATTCAATATTGTGTTTTTCTTTTTTACTCCTCTTCATAAATTTCTTAAGTTTGATAAAAATGTTATGACCACCAAATAACTGTAAACAGTAAAATTTAGTACAATTTGTTATAATGATATTGATTATTGTATTCGAATCTGTTACTATTCTCGTGTGTTACATAGCCAATTTCAGACTTAAGTTAACTTGAGTTCACAAAGTCTGTTCTCATTACTATAATAAAATACACACAATTATTGCTCCTCGCGAGTGTTGTCGTTTGCGTCACGCGTGTGCGGGCCTGGCCCTGCTAATAACATAAAAAAGTTCAACAACACGTACTTGCAATTTGTTTCGACATAAACAAAGCTTACAACTTACTCTGGCGCCGCAGAATTCTTCAAATCTGATTAAAGCTAAAAATCGAAGGACACATGTTTCACTTCATCCAAAATCTCTTAACTAACAGAACCATCAGAGTGCGCTTTCTCAACTTATTGTCGAAAGCGGTTTCAATCGAAAATGGGGTCCCACAAGGGTCAGTGATCAGCATGACTCTGTTTCTTATCGCGTTAAATGATATCTTCAAACTCATCCAAGCTCCGATTAAATGCTCAGCATTAGCAAACGATATAATATTACTTTTACAAGGAAAGAATATCAAAACTAGTGCCAAACTCGTGAAAAATGTACCAAAAAAATTAAATGGTTTCTCGAACACTACCAGATTCAAATTTTCATCATGAAAATGCCAAGCGATGCTGTTTCAGAACTACGGCAATCACAACCAAGACATCCAACTATTTATCGGCAATCAACCCATTCAAGTTGTAAATGAAGTCAAAATTCTAGGCATCATTTTAACAAACGATTATCATCCGATTGGGATCCACACATCAATGTACAGGACGAATAAATACATTAAAGTATCTATCCACAAGAAACTAGGGACTATATACAAAGCTCTGATTGAATCGAAACTAGATTACGGTTGCGTAGTATACGAATCAGTCAACCAAACCACATTCAACAAACTAAATGTCATTCTACACGAAACATGAGAATCGCATAGAGAATGAGCCTAACAAACAGCATCCTCACTGAAAGTAACATGATGGCACTGTACCCAAGGCAAAAATAGCTAGTTCTCAACTACGCAATCAAAATCTTTCACTCGCCAACCAATCAAGCACATTACCTTCTCTCAAAAAATCTCAACTTTTACGATGAAAAAAAACCAAGATAAAGAAAACCCTTCCACTATCGAGCAAGAAAATATCTTAGACTATCAATTAAACTTTAACGATTTTCTTCCGTATGTAACCACGCTCAACGATCAAACTACCAAGAAGAGAGAAGCCGAGCTAACCATATCACAACCATGTAACTCCAATAAAAATATCACCTCAAAGAAACCCCATTCCACATTTAAACAGATCACCCTATTGATGAACAATATCGGAGCTGCTACGATCTTACCTTCACAAGAAAAAATATTGCTAAGATTACCAAAATATTATAGATCTCAATTTTCATATGAAATATTAATTCTATACACCCTATGCAACGCCGTCTTCACAGATAGAACAATAATTCACATGGGCTCCGAATATTTAATCAATCAATTGCATCAAGAACACTCACAGAATATAACTATTCAACACATTCAGTATAAATTGAAATCACTCAAAGGATTAGTTGAAATAAATTGAACTAAGTCTAATGATAATAAAATCACTCATGAAATAACTCGATAGCTAAGCTATCCCAATGAGTGTAAAATAAATAAAAATATAGGCCTTAAAATAATTAATTACGAAATAAACAGAGAATTAAACAACACATGATTAAGTAATCCAAACTTTGCTCGTTACGAAAAATCAAAAACCACGTATTTCAATCCAACGCAGCTACCAAGTTCAAAAGAAGAGATCAAATTATCGTCACCAGACTCAAGATTGAACACACTTTTCTGACTCATGAGCATCTGTTAAACAAAGAAAAATCACCGAAATGCGAAAAATGTCAAACTATATTGAATATTAGACACGTACTTTTACACTGTCTAGAATCACAAAACGAACGACTAAATTTTAAGTTAGCAAGCGAAATAAAAACTCTATACTCAATATTGTTCATAAGTGCCAAAGGGTAACTGAATTTCTAAAAAAAATTGAAAATTTCGAACATTATTTAGTATATTTAAATACGTATTATAACTTTATATTCAACTTTTTTTGTAAATAACCTATGTATGAATGTTTTTATTTTTTTTATATCTTGGTACCACTGTCGCTAATACGCTCCCTGGGAGATGTGACAATAAATAAATAAATTTAATAAAATACATACTTAATCAGGAGTAGAATAAAAATAAAAAAACAAACAACGATATGGCTGCATCGCAAGAAACGACGGGTACATCTGAAAGAACTGTCGCTAATGAGCTGAAGTTAGCAATTTCCAACATCGTTACGCAACTTTCAAATGGACCAAATGAAAACGCCGCTGCGTTTTCATTTCCATTTACATTCCAAGAATTTCATTCTTCTGACGGTACATCGGTCGAAGATTTTTTCTAGAGATTCGATTGGGCACTAACGGAAGGGCTTCATAAGGTGCTTAAAAGCTTAAACATCTGATGTTACCTGGCACACCAGAAAGCCATATTTACGAACAAATAAAAACTATTTTTGCTCAACATTTCGATTTTAATAAAAATAAATATGCAAAGAACAATACTTTTCGTCCTATTGTACAAAGTGATATTTTTCTCGACAGATTGCTCATTGAACAATTTCTTCGCTGTCTCAGTGATCGCGATGTGTGCGATGTGGTTATATTTCAAAAATCTCTGAAATATTTAAGCCTACATATGAAGTTATTCATGCACTTAAAACGACGAGACATTCTGCCACACTATTGAATACTATATATGTCTTTTCAGAAAAAAAAACTAATGCTTTTCTATCTACTTATTTACAAGTAAAACCGAATAGGAATTATCAAAGAAGAAAATTTTCACTTTCTTGAAACCGTTACTTTGTAGAGCAGCGGAGCTTTCAATAAAGTGCTTTCAAATTTTCCTATGTCGCAGGACGAAACAAGGAACAATCTGCAAAAGCTATCGTCCTGTTTGAGCTGGGTGGTAACCATAACTGAATCACACGCCGATTTAGGAATTTTGAATGCCGCATTTGACTATAACTTCCTTACAAGCTCTCTCAATTAAACAAGACACAACTACAACTGCTTCTTAAAAAAATTCAAAGTCCTTGACAGATTTATGTATTAATGACGAATAACTAAACATATCGAGCATATTTAGCATATTTCAATTTTAAGTTACAATTCAAAACTACGAAAGCTAACATAAATGCCGACGATTGTTCACGAGCTTCTTTACTAACTACGATTAATATTATCTCGAAAATAACAAAGGTTGAAATGGAAGAAATTGACAACCGAATATCGACTAACTCAAGAAAAGACATAGGCAAAGTTATACAACTGCTTGAAGATGGAAAAATTCTCTCTAACTACGGATACAAAGCTGCGAAAGCGAATATATCTTTCTTTAGGTTGCTCGATTTTCGAGTATCGCGTTATCATTCTACTTACTTTATATTAAATATTGTATTTGAATATATTACTGTTCTCATTTGTTATATCACTGATTTCAGACTTCTAATTTATTTTATTTCTCTCTTTTTTTCAGTCAATATTTTTAGTTATGTTTTAGTTATATTTTAATCATAGAATGATATATGATCAGAGCCGGATTTCGCTGGGGGGGGGGGGGGGGGGGTCTATAGCCTCGAGCTCCGAGTCTTATCATAATTTGTGCATTGTATGTACATATCTATGCATTATTTTATTTAGTTTGTTGAACACTTTCGATTGAGTTATTTTACTATTAAAAATAAAAGTTATTTTTTCAATAATGTTCAATGATTTATTACAAAAATATATGATCAAAATTAATCTTCTAAACTATGTAATAATTTAACTATCACCCGAGTTTTTCCAGGATTTCAAATTCCTTAAGTAAGCCCCATTGTCTTTAGTCTCGGGCCTTGAGAATAATTAAATTCGACTCTGCATATGATTGAATTGTATACTTTAATCTGCCATCGAAAATATTATAATTATTAAGATAATCATCTGCCTTATGTGGATACGAAATGATTAATTATGTAATTGATTTTTATTACGCAAATTTCAGAATGAAAATTTCTATAAACTAACATTTCTGGAACAAATTATGGAATTACTAATAGTTCTCAAGCAAATTCAGATTATTCAAAACAATTACATCTTCTATAACCTAACTTTTGAAAAGATTGTTGAATCTTAGATATTAAATAAAATGATGTTTACGTCCAAATTTGAGAGTTGGTCCTTAATTAAATAATTAAAAACCCTAATATATAAATTTTTTCTGGATTACGTTTCGTTGGATAGTTTGCCAAACTCACTCCAACTGTGAGTTTGACTAAACCTCTTAACACTGGCACTAACTATTGTACATAGTTATTAAAAATGAAAAGAAAAAAGTGGACTCTGTATAATTGTGAAAATTTTGCTTAACATTGATACTTATATCATTTAATTATTTTTATTGAAAGATCTGAAGAAGTTGACAAACCGTCTAAAGAAACGTTATTCAGAAAAAATGTATGTGTTGGAATTTTTAATATTATTTAATTAGAAACCAGCTCTCAAATTTGGATGTAAACATCATTTAATTTCGAAAAAATTGTCAAACCATCAAGCGTCCAAAAATTGTTGATGAGTTCAGTTAGTGAAAATTTACGAAAACATATTATTGATGATGAATTTCATGTGGTAATCCAATGATGTTAACGTTTAGAAAAGCATGTTAAGTTATCACCGAAAACATCATCAATCAATAGAAAATGACAATTCCTCGAACGCTATTCTGCGATACGATAACGGTGATTACGAAGATATGGCGTTTTTAAAGCCGTAATTTAAATTAACAGTGACAAAGTATATGAAGAAATGAAAAGTAATATATGGTAAAAAATTATACTATATGGTTTCTTTTCTATGTATAAAATTAGAATAAAAGTTATTTTGTATTAAATGTACATGCAAGATTCACTGAAAATAGGATTACACAATAATTTTTCATGATTCAAAATAAAAATGTATACGACTACTAATAATTATATCACAACTGTTTAATTTCCCTATAAGTATATACGCAATGCGCTTCTACTTCAACGCTAAAGCTCAAACGGATGCAGTTAACTCTATAAATAAAAGCCTCGACCTACATGGAACGACTACTAAACTGAGAAAAATAAAACTATATCGACAACAAAATAGGAGTGTAGATAGACAACCTATAATTGTAATTTCTTATTTAAAAGAAACTTGAGCTGATGTAACTTGATGTAGACCTACGAAGAATCACAAGCCTCGCAAAAAAAAACAAATATTCTTGCAACTCTATTTTTTGAATAAGCGCTCCAGAGGTCCATAGCACGAGAGCGCATGTGCACATCTGCTGTGTATGAAGATGCGGTGCGGGACGCGAGTGCGGCGCGCAATCTTGCGGATAGATTCTCTCCCCGGCGAAGTGAACGTTCGTTGAATATCATCAAAACGGGTGCAACGAAGATAGAGCTAGGCAAGGGACCGACGCGAAGCCTAATACATCAACTCTCTCTTTTTATCCCTCGCGTAGTATATGTGTGTGTGAGAAAGGAGGAACGAAAGTAATAACCTTGAAAAGCCCACCCTCGAAGCATCGTCAGAGGGAGCCTCACGTTGCGGTTGAGAGAGAAATTCGTCCACTCCGCAAGCCAGTCAACGGCGCTTCATCGATGGTATAGAAAGAGAACGAAACAGAATAGGCGATATCACGTTTTGTACTTCTCTGTCATTGTTTACGTAAAGATTTTTTTTTGGAATTCCGAATGCGGAGAACCGAAAGAAAGGATGACAATGACGAAGGTTAGGTCGTCGTCGGGATGTTGAGTATTGTGTTCTTTCATTAGTGTCACATTTCAAAGAGTGTTACGAGTACTTGCTTGAGGTGCTTGGAGCATGAAAAATAAGGATGTGTAGCAGCAAGTGAATTTAAGCAGAGAGAGAAAAATGGTTGTGACTGGTAATTTGGCTCATCGCACCCAAAATTCCGCTAGAAAAAATGTCAGGATTTTACTCGTGGGTGATCGAGGAGTCGGCAAAACATCTTTGATATTGTCACTAGTGAGTGACGAGTACGCTGAAGATGTTCCCAGTAAGGCAGAGGAAATCACCATACCTGCCGATGTCACTCCTGAGCAAGTGCCCACAAGGATTGTTGACTATTCCGGTATGTTTAAAACAATTGAAAATCACCCGTCAGTATGACAGCATCTTGATTTTATTAACGTTTTTATCACTTAGCTGTGGATCAAACAGAGGATCAACTTTGTGATGAGATCATGAAGGCACATGTCATCTGTGTTGTCTATTCAGTACCAGACAGGGAAACATTGGATAATGCAAAATCTTACTGGTTACCACTGATCAGAAAAAACACCTCAAGCAGTCGCTGTCCTGTTGTACTTGTGGGCAATAAAATTGATGTTATAGACTATTCAACAATTGAAGAAGTCTATCCAATCATGAAAGAGTTTTCAGAAATTGAAAGTTGTATTGAGGTTAGACATTATTTTGTTTTATAGCTTGAAAGTTATACTATGCTGCCTAATGAATGATATAAATAGGTTACTACATGCAAATTAACATCAAACTGTAAATTAGTAGCAAGCTTTACTTTTTACTTAATTCATTCATTTACATTAGCTTATAACTATTCTAATTAAATATTTTTTCAGTGCTCTGCCAAAACATTGCAGAATATTTCAGAAATGTTTTATTACGCACAAAAAGCTGTTTTACATCCAACAACTCCATTGTATAATTACGATTCTCAGGAGGTAAGTGAATTATCAGTTAGAATATAATATAATTAGTTACTATGTAGTAATTATAAACAAAAACTATCTTTTACAGTTGACTGAAGAGTGTAAGATAGCTTTACAGAGGATATTTAGGGTAAATATTTTTTTATAAAAAGGTGTAACTTGAAAATAAAATTATATTTATTAAATTTTTACTTATAGATTTGTGATGTTGACAACGATGGTCTATTGAGTGATGCTGAACTAAATGCATTTCAACAATGGTGCTTTAATACTCCTTTACAACCTCAGGTGCTAGAAGACGTGAAAGCTGTCCTGTCTAAAAATATTGAAGATGGAGTTTTCAATGGTTTTGTTACAATGAAAGGCTTCATGTTTTTGCAATGTTTATTTATTCAAAGAGGAAGAAATGAAACTACATGGGCTGTTTTAAGAAAGTTTGGCTATGATAATGATCTTCAAATGTCAAAAGACTACATTCATCCTCTGTAAATTCATAATAATACTGTTACTTATAAAAATGTGTGAAGTAGTTGATACAATAATTAATCAAGTGACGTTTTACAGTCTGAAAGTTCCTTCTGGTTGCACAACGGAACTATCCCACAAAGGTCAAGAATTTTTGACCCAACTTTTTATGCTTCATGATCGAGATAGGGATAATGCGTTATCTCCTCCTGAGTTAGATTCTTTATTTTCTAAGTGTCCTGTACCACCATGGAGAGATGAATACAAATATATAGTTGCAACTAATGAACAGGTCAGATATAAATGAAAATATAACTTTTATTTTGTAGAGTTCTTGTATTATTTACAAGTGATTTTATAAATCATGAAAAATTTTAGGGATGGATCACTTATCAGGGGTATATGTGTCAGTGGACTTTGATGACATACATGAATGTCAAAAAAACATTAGAATATATGGCTTACCTAGGGTATAATTTGTACAATAATGAATGCCAAACATCAGCAATTACTGTAACGCGAGAAAAGAAGCTCGATCTTGCTAAAAAACAGTCGAGTCGTAATGTTTATTGCTGTCATGTCATTGGACCAAGAAGTTGCGGGAAAACTACATTGTGTAGAACGTTCGTTGATCCTAAACTTGAGGTAAATAAATCAAATGAAACTGGTAAGAATGTACTTAAATATATTCGACAAAATGAATAAAATGTCTATTGACTTTTTTTACAGACACTAAACAATGACAATGTATCAAGCAACTCACATGTCACTGTAAATACAGTCCATGTTTATGGGCAAGAGAAAACTATAATTTTAAGAGATATAAATATTTTAAATGTTCAGGATGCTCTCACACCAGCTCAGATTCAGTGTGATGCTACTGCTCTCGTTTATGATGCTAGTAATCCAAAATCTTTTGAATACATAGCCAGGATTTATATAGTAATTCACAATTTCATAAATCCAATCACCGCATTATACAAATTGTAACGGTAATTATTTCTTTACAGAAATATTTTGCTGAGAGTAAGATTCCTGTGTTAATAATAGCGAATAAGAGTGACCTTCCAGAAGCAAAGCAGGAATACCTATTACAACCGGCGAGCTTCTGCAGCAAGTACAAATTAATGCCACCACAGCCTTATAGCATTTCGCGAACTGTGCGTCGCGAAATCTTTGTAAAACTGGCTACAATGGCAGCCTTTCCGTAAGTATACATTTATTTTTGTACTTTTATTTATTTTACAAACAAAAGTACAACTATCGTGAGAAAGTATGAAAAAAATTTTATATTCTCTCTCTAAAATACAAATATGTAAATTACAAGCACATAGAATAAACTGAATATATTTAAATTTTTAAATCGAACTCGCCGTGAAATGCATCTTACATATTCATATATATATATATAATTATATATACTTGAATGAACCTTTGCACAGTTAAGAGTGACACGATAAAGAATTTTAATCAAACAATAGTTAGGGTGATTAAAATGCATACTCTCTTTTTTTATTATTTTTTTAGTTACACTAATATAAGTTAAGCGATCTAATAAATGAAAAATTTCATGTTTAGCCGCTTTCAAGCAGCGTGGGTATTGTTTTACAAACACAGGTTGGTCTTTTATTAAAAATTACACAAATAAATGTTATTATAAAAACATCATTGTAGTCAGTGAGCACTGTTTCAAACATAATCATTTACACTATGCTATACACGTGATAAACACAAATTTTTCTTTTTCTCCTATATCACGGTTTCAATTCGAATTGGCCAACAGAGCTTTTTCGGTCATGATAAATCATGGTTGTTGGATCTCTCTTTTTTCAGCCCATTGAGGCGAATGGTGCATATGTTGCTTCTGAAACCATTACCCAGTCAGTGGTGGAGCTCTGTTGCAAGGTTCTGTTGCGTTTCTTCATGTTTGAAATTTCTGTGATACTCACTTATTCAATGTGTTTTTCTTTCTTTAGCTCGCCCGCAGCTATACATATCTGAATGTTTTATAATTTGCCGTTCTTAACAGAAAAAAAATTTTAAAGAAAAGAGTGTGCTACATATATAATAACAGTGCGGCTGCATGCGCATGAAAAGCTTGCAATTTTTTCCATAAATACCAATTATTAATCGTTACCGTTATTATTACTTAATTGCTTTTTATGTTTTTGGTGAGCGATTAGAAATCGAAATTTTATTAAAAAAAAAAGTAATGCCTTTCGTTAGTTAAATATATCACTTATGAATTTTATTTTTACAGACACATGAAACAATTTGGATTGATGCAAGGAGACTCAATCGTCTGGTGGAAAGCTGGAATTGGAATAGCTGTGGCAACTATTGCGGGTTTCGTGGTCATGCGAATTTTCAACACTGATAAAAGATAGTCTACCATTCCCTCTTTAACTTTTATGGCACCTGTTTTAACCCAATAAACGTTCGTTTAAAAAAACGCGATAATTAAAAAAAGTCTGTTATTTGCTGACATGTATTTAGCCGCTTGTAAGAAATCCCAATTTAAAAGTATTCCAAAGTAAGAAAAATTAGAACGAGTAATATTATGTGTAAAAAATCATTGACTTTATTACAGATATTTTCGACAATTGTTTCTTCGGTGGAACTATCTGCGTCATCATTTTGTACTCATTTCAGATCTGCAATAAAGTCAAATTACATAATATTATCAAAAATAACACTTTATTGCATGATTTGGAATTGAAATCTCAAATCAAAAAGGATGCTTGGATCTTCGAATTCGTACTAGTTATTTGTGATCAGATGAATGCCTGTTTAAATATAAATAATTTTATCTTTTATACACCATGATATTTTTATTTGTACATAATCTTATTTAAAAATGGAATATGTATATGATTAAGTATGTTTATTTACGCATTTTTATGAAAAATTAATTTCGAAAAATTTGATTAATCTATATATTGAATATATATATGTGGAAAAAATTGAACTGTACACGAAAAAAAAATTACACTCTATTTTTAATTTACTAAAATTATCAATTTCTCAACACGAGTGAAATATTAGTTTATAAATAAAAGAAACTGTTGTTGATATTTCATATGAAATTCAAGCCATTACATTGTTAGTAATGTTATCTGATGCACAAATTCTTCAAATACTTCAATTGTATAAATGTAATTAAGTTGAATTGATTGAAAGGCATCATTGTGTTCATACATGTATAATAGAACCTTATATATTTATTACAATCATTGAGAATGTATTTTTAATTGTTACTCATTTGGCATTGATAATCATGAATGCTAAATGATTTATAATTGAAAGCTTTCTTACTGCCAGACTATAAAATGGATCCAGCTACCCTTACTGATTTGAAGATAAAATTCAATCCATAAATATAACATACTGTATTTCTGTTTGCAATTAATCCATGCTCGTCTGAGAGATTCACAAATGAGTAATTCGGTCTCATTTTGAGCACATCCTAAAAGCTGCTGCTCTTCGTACTGGCAAGGCCCAACTGGTACTTCACCATCGTTAGGTACTGAACTAGACTCGCTTCTTCCTGTTATTTTGTCACCAATAACTGTACCCTAAGATATAAATTTTAGCAATACTTATGACTAAATAATGACAATGTCGAAATTAAATGTCAGTAAAACGTACCGCAGCGACACCAGCTGCTGTTCCCGCAAATGTACCAAGAGCACCAGGTTGTCGAGGCTGAATAATGATTACATCGCCCCTATATTATTTCAAAATCTATGTTACTAGATTGAACTTTTAAACTCAATAAAGTCAACGTTTTTGTAAAAACTACATATAAATATTCATTTTATAAAATGTGTATCATTAATGATCATCTCAAACTGCACTTATTTTAATAATTATAAAGATAAAATGTTTCATGTTTTTACCATGTATAATTTTATCCAAATATAACTTTTTAAAAAGATATTTCCCTTAAATCAATTTTCGCCGACTTCAAAATGAAAAAAGCTCGACTGTACAGTCGACCTGCACTTTTATTATATGTTTATGCTTATTTCAGGAATGGTTTAACCAATTTTCATACAGGTGGTTGGGGTAGGTTTATTTGAAAGTGTAAATTTCTAGAATCATTCCATTTTATTAACAACCTGATTAAAGTTGGCTATTTTTTTCAAATTAATCTTGTAGCTTATACAAATAATGAATCCAACAAACTGAATTGTAAATTAAATTATAACAGCTTGTCTTAGTTATAAATAAAAATAAAATTATTTGGTCTTACGAGCTCATGCCAGGAATTTCAACAAGAATTTAATCATTGAATTTCAAATTATTTAAAGATTTTTTCAATTAATATACATATACACACAAATATTTGTATAAATAGATGCAGAACAAAGAAAGTTTCTTGGATAAAAATTGAGCTTTTAAATATTTATTGAATGAAGACTTATCAGTCATTGCACCAATGAATACATAGGCATTCTTATCTACTTTACAATGATAAATAAGCTTTGATTTTCTAAGGTGGCAATAGCAACTTCATGCAGTAAATCTGTAAATATATTAAGCATCAAACTTAGATTACATATCATATGTAAGCTATACTTAATATAATTTTCCTACAATAACTACCAACAAAATATCCATTATTTATGTTTATGAATTATACTAATAAGATTTCTCTTATTATAGATTATGCATAAATAAAACGCATGTTCAGGATTATAACAATTAATTTTATTTCACTTTTTCACATGTAATGGAAAATCTTATTTGCTGTAGGATTTGAATAAACGCAAGCATAAATAAAAGTACAATAATATTTATACAAAATTATAAACCAAACAATGATCAACATTTCTTTTACTTTGAAAGAATTTCCAATTAATTACTTCACTAACTAGAGTTCGTCTTCATTACAATGCTAAACCTGTAACACAACAAAATATTCCTTAAACTTCAATACTTAATTGAACAACTTTTCTCATAATTTTTTATTTTATATGAGATACTCACCATTAGCTGCTTTGCATTGACGAATGGCTTCATTAAATCCTTCACATAGTGTGAGATCAGTTTGGTTTTGAGCACACTCCAAGAATTGTTTGATCTCCCAAGCACAGACTCCAGTTGGTTGAGTAGCACTCGGAGCAGCAGCTGCTGGTGCAACTGCAGCTGGGGCTGGTGCTGCTGCCTCACTGGAACCACCGCTGAACATTCCAGTCATAGCATGACCAATGGTGTGACCTACTGCTGAGCCAATGGCAACTCCACCAGCCGTAGCAGCCATCTGGCCCATCAGTGATGGGCCTTGTTGTGTGGGTTGAGCCATCATAGGTGTTGCCGCTGATGCTGGTGCTGGTGGATGGGCTGCTGGTGGTGCTGCATGGCGTGCTGGAGCTGCTGCAGGTCTGACACTGAAAAACCATGTTGTGAAATAGTTATTTTTTTAGATATGACATGTGGTACAAAATAACAATTTAATCCAGTAATAATTTGTTCACTGACATACTAATTAGCTACATGTCTGTATTGATTAGTCATCGATATTACCTATCGTTGTTTATCATAGAAATAACATTTTTTTGTTCTGAATATTTTAGAATTATTCTAGAAGTTTCTTTTTTCACTTTCAAAGAGGTTAACTATGAAGGACAACCACGCTCAAGGCCGCAGGCGTCGACCTCAAGAGGCGCCATAACTTTGTATTACTCCGATTTATCATTAGCACGAGATATCACAATTAGCAAGAAAATTGCCCTTTGGACTCGATAACGTCAATCGCGATCTTTCTAGAGTATGAGAACGTGACGTAACGTTCTCATACTCTAACGTTATAGCAACATTTTGCACGATCAAACGAGACAATCCGGAAAACTTGTAAAATTCAATAAAGGATTGTTCTACTTACGTCCTAGGTGGAGGTCCAGATGCTCGTCCACGTCGTGGCATATTTATACGATTGTTTAATCAACAAGAAAAAGTTGCTCTATTGAGGTTTAGAAATTTATTAAAGACACGTTATCACTCACAGAGATTCAACTTGCGACTGATTTCGTAGCCGTGTGATGCGCAGTGCGCACAACTTTTACGCTTCTGGCGCGTCGATCGGCGATTACGTAATAACGAGAGTAAGAGTAGGGAAATATAATGATTGGACCGTTCAAGGGATGACCAGAAATGACGTGAGATTCTCGACATACTTCACGCTACATACTGTCTTATGCATATATATATGTATATGTAAGATACAACACATGAATGTATTATGCATGCATGCATGTACATATATACGCGTAATTAGTTGTATACACATGTCTACACGCGCGCAACAGACGGAAACATCGCAGACTTTCCAACGCAATTTCACGTAATTATTGCAGCGACTAACGTAAAAAGTCGTATTGAAAAGTTCAGGCATTAATCAACAATACAAGATAGTTAAAGCAATATTAATATACTTGTAAGGGCATTGTTCCAAATTTGCTTTTAACGAATTTGCAAGATTTCGCAAATAGTGCTGCGTTTATTACGACTAAAACATAGAATTGCATTTTCTTCGTCCGTCTTATCATTTAATATTATCCTCCGGATATTAAATAATCTTGCCTGAAGCTTGGGAGCTTTTCAAAATTGCCAGCATTTTCTCGAATAAGTGGTACTAAGTTCAAAGATATCATGTTTCGAAAAGCTTGCCTACCCTTTTTTCCGTATCGTCGGCGAACCTGCAGCTTTTGACTTTGACGGTGTCGTTGACATTGATCTTCTTGACTGCCCCATGCCACCTTTGCGAGACATTATTGATTTTTACGTGATTTCTGTATTCTGTGTACGTGATATCTACTATTAAATTTAGAATCCAAAGTATATGATATTATATAGTTTTTTGAATCTCAAATGACAAGTTGCAAAAAAGGTTAAGATCGAGTTGGTTTTTTGTTTTTTCAATGTGTTTATTGATTTGACGTTACTTCATTTTCTACTCAAAATAAACAGAGAATTGAAGGGCCAGGTAGAATAACGACTTGAGCTCGTGAGTTTATCACACTAGCCCCTGAGAGTAGGCAATCGCCGCCATTCAAGGAACAAAAGTTTCCGATTAAAAATCGTTAACAAATATTATTCTGGCAACAAACTTCCAGCGAGAAAATTGTTCATAACGGTTACAAATATATATCTATAAATTTTTAAAAGTCTATATATAATATTTTCGAAGATATCGAGAGTTATATTAACGTATCTGTTTGATTCGACTACCCCGTGTGTGTTCTAGTAACGCAGTATTGTCAGAAAAACGATAAAATATCTTTTATGCTTTGAATCAAACTTTTCAATATAGCAAATATCTATTTTCTGATTATTAATTAATCGCCAATAAGTACATCTTATTTTGATTGTCGACATACTTTTAAATATTATTTTATAAACTAGAAGTAAAGTTTTATTATTTTCATCTCTATAAAAATATTCATTGATATTCGCCGTGATTAGTACATGTAAATTATCTTCTAAAATATCGTATGTAGACTTTTACAATTTTTTAGACATATATACCCGAATAATAATTGTTAATATTTTTTTAAACTGAAACTAAGTCCGCGCACAGTGAAGTGCAGTTAATGGTTGCGAAAAAAACGGATCACAAGGAGAAAATAGAAAAAATTAGTTCTTAAAATTACTACATAATTATTGTATCGGATGTTTGATTTTTTTAAAGCGTACCTGTTTACTTGTCTTTACCTGTGTATTTACCTGTTGGCAATTAATCGATAAGAAAATAGATTTTTGCTTTATTGAAAAGTTTTATTGTAATTATAATTTTCTACTTTTTAAAGATCAATTATCAATAAATAAAAAAAAATTATACTTACTATTTTGAAGAGTTTCATTTCAATGGTAAAAAAAAGAAAATTCGATTTCTTTAAAGTTTCATAAGTTTTACCTGTTTGCAATTAATAACTAATAAGTAAATTGATACTATATTGAAGAGCTTTATTCAAAGCATGAAAGATATTTTATCGTTTTTCTGACAATATTGCGTTACTAGTGAAAAATATTATATTAATTATTATATAGACTGGCAATAACTTTCTTGCTGGAAGTTTCTTGCCAGAATAATATTTGTTAATGTTTTTATAATCGGAAACTTTTGTTCCGCGCATAGCGGTGATTGCCTACTCTCAGGGGCCAATTTGATAGGCTCGCACGCTCAACTCGTTATTTTATCCGGCCCTTCAATTACACGTTTTTACACTTGATCTTCTAAACAGTTACTTTATACGATTATCGCTAACTTTTCACTGATTCATTTGCATATGCTTAATACACACCGATTGACTGATAACTTTTTAAACATAAATAAAGCGGTGGATTCTTCGTCAATTCCTAAATCTATTCATTAGTCAACCTTAATTAGTTAACCTTAACTAAAGACCTTGTATCGATTAAAAAAAAATTTGTAGCTGTTTAAACAATTAAGTAGTCCTATGTTACAGGTTTTTCTTAGTTATCTATCATATCTTATTTTCTAATGAATATATTTTCTAAATCTGAAAGCAATGCTTTATATATCACGAAACATGAACAAATTAGATGCTATTTACTCGTGTTATAGATCAGGAAGTTGATAAAGTTTTGATTAATATCAATTATTCAAGTTCATTCATTTGTACAATTATTATTAATAAAATATTGAATTATTCCTATCAAATGAAAATAACTCAAGAAAAACTTTAATTTTTAACAATTTTACTGTAATAAATTGGTTAGAAAATTTAAAATTAAAAAAAAATTTTTTTATAAAAAATAATTCAAGTAATTAGTCACGCATGGTTATAATAAAAAACTAATTTACCATTCGCAACCATCAGTGTAGATTAACAGTTTGATTGTGGTAACTATGTGCAGCACAATTATTTTTGAGTGACTGTTTATTTATATATTTTCTAATTTAACTATTAGTTTAAATGATTCAAACGGTTGCGAATAGTCAATTGTTTTTTTGTTATGACCATGCGTGACTAATTACTTAAATTAGTTGTTTAAAGAAAAAATTTTTTTCAATGCATTTTTAACTTAGTTGACAATTTTCATCGTCTGATGAGGGGATCATACATAAACACTTGGAAACCTCGTAATTATCTCAATGTAATTTTTACTCGTAGTGAGTGTTAATTTGAATTACCAAATAAAATACTATTTTTTGTAATATATTTTATTAATTAACAACGTACAAAACTCCATGCAATTTTCATAACGTAATTTAGCAATACAATTCCGATTATATAATCAGTAATGTCATTACCGAAATTTTTACTTTATACTAATAGAATAAAGGTGATTAAAGCTTTTTCACACAAGTGTGGGAAGTTCAAGTGTAGTAGGCTTATGTGAGCAGGAAGAGAAGGAAAGGAAGTTTCGGTTGGTGCCCTCCCTCATTCGTAAAAAAAATGAAAAACTTTTAAATTATTAGTTACGAAATGAATAATTATTTCTTGAGAAATATTTCTTTGAGAAACCCTATAGATTTTCCCGCATTTCATCCCCATGCTAATTGCATTTTCTAAGGCTTCGTGCGGAAAATAATAGTGCTCAAATTGGGGAAACCCATACTCGTCCCGTCTTTTATGACAGGCCATTACGCGTCAGTACATGCAGTATAGATCTGCATGTACCTTTACCTACTTTTACTTTTCGACACTCCGTGCGGAAAGTGTTTTTCCCGCACGCTCGGCATAGTACATTACGATACAAGTGCGGGAAAGTAGATTATAGTCTCGTGTAACGATTACGCCCGAGCGAAGCGAGGGTAGAATAGTACACGAGACGAGAAACTCTTTCCCGAACATGTGCCGTATCGTATTTTTTTATACGACGTGTGGAAAGTGCGATTTTCAACGTACGTTTTTTGCCGAGCGTGCGGGAAGAACGTACTTTCCGCATGGAGTGTCGAAATATAGTGTACGTAACTTGTGCGGGAAGTAGATGATTCCTGCCCGGGCGAAGTTTTTTTCTTTTTGTTTTCCTGCGACAACGCCCGTGCGACGATCACATTTTACGCGTTACGTAATGTACTATTACCTAGTCCTGTTAACGAACTATACCGATTGAAATCTTTTGTAAATAGAACATAATTTTGTAATAATAAGACAAAAATTAATCAAAAAGTTTTCATTTCAAGCCTAGCAAAAAAGTAGCCTGAAATCTTGTTCAAATTCCGTTATAAGTGCCGCGTTAAGTAAATAAATCGATGTAAATTGACGTTGATGTGAGATAAATTAACGATTATGCTGATTGGAGGTAACAAGTGTGGTAATTTCCTTTTGTTAATCGTTAACTGAAACATATGAATATTTGGTGACTCTGACAATAATTCAATTTTTTTCGAGATAGAAAGACGTAAGAAACGACAATGAAATATCATACAATTGTATATAGCGTGTCATTGATCTTTCTTTTTGTCTCATATATATATCACGTCAGCCTCTGCACGCTCATAAACTACGCAGAGAGAGGTCTTCAGAAATACTTTTTTAACTTTAAAATGCGTCGCTTTGTATAAAGATGCAAACAAGAAAAAACAAAAAAACTTGTCAAAACAACGTTCACGCGTAAAAGACCTTGCGGAAGTATATAACTTGCATCTGCCCGTTTGACAAAGTAATAATAACAATATTTGCTCGTTCGTCCTCGCGATGCACGGAAAAATGTCAAGTTAGCCAAAAAGAAAGTGAGTACGAGAAATCTTTTGTCCGCAAGGTAGTTATCATCGCCGCTGAAATAGATGCCAGTAATATACTTTCTTGAATGAGACAGAAGAGAGAGGGAGAAAGACTATGTTGAAACTGTTATATATTTACAACAGTGCAATCCAATAAAGATGGAGAGAGAAAGAGAAAGAGAAGCCATGAACCAGAGATTGTTTGCCAAAGATTCGACAGATAGCGGCGATAATTTATACAACTGGTCGACGACTCTTGTCTGCATGACAAAAAGATGAATTCCAATGGCAGCGGAATTTTTCTTCTTTTTTTTCTTTCATTATAATATACTCTTCGTTGACAAAGATATGC